CTCTGTTTACTTGCGTTACTTTAATTTAAAATAATGCTTCAATATACTTTTATTAAAGATAAACCTTACTTTATACTGCTGTTTTCCTTTTACTGGTAAACGAGGAGAAAATTTTAAGCTGCTACTCGCCACAAAAATTATGCTACGAAGATGAGGGCCTAACGTCGTAAAAATCAATCAGTTCAAGGTAAAATCAACAACAGCAAACACATTTGTACATCTGCGAGTTTTAACAGGTCAGTACATTTGAGCATTGTCGACAATAAATTACACATCCAGGAGTAAATCGGTGTCCGAACTTTGATTTCCCATGATTTTATTAAAAAAAAAGAATCATCTTAAAAATCAGAAATAATAGCCATAAAACTATTTGCCATTAGATAAGTACTGTAGCAAATATTCTAGAAATCCCGATAGACACCGAGGCGCGATAAAAAAGAAAAGCTGATGTGGCGGATTCTTTCCGAGAAATATGACGTGTTTGTTCGAGAACATTCTGGAATATTGGAAAGCGTTCGAGAACTTTCAAGAGAGATAGGCGTTTGCTATATAAGCAAATCGAATCGAGTGTTTCGAATTTTCGAGTCAGTTCTAACATCGATTCGAAATGAAATATCAGTTACAAATAGGTGATAAATACTAATTTACTGATATAAATTTATTTCCAGACTGTTATAAATTTATTGTTAATTAATTGTAAATAAATAAAGCACGTAATTAGATCATGTGAGGGTAAGGGTTCTATTGGCACAACTGCATAATATAAGCTCTTTTGATGACAATCCTAAGTCAATAGTAGTCTACTAAAAAAATAAATTTACCTTATTTTTACTCACATAGCAGACCTATATTCATAGTATATACCATGTACATTCAACGTGGGATATTGTATATCCATAGAATGTGGAAAAGTATGTCGCAAATGTCCGATGTATGTGCATGCGATATAAGTTTGGCAGACTTCACATAATACATAGTATATACGTTTTGGATGTCTTATGTATATGCATCAGACATGCTATGTATATTGGTATACTGACAACTGGATATATCATGAATATTCCTGTAATATGCAAAAGATGTTCAATAGGATATTCTATGTATGTTGTATACATTCAGAATGGATGTTCTATAGAGGTTCCTCTAACATTCGGGAAGTTTCCTAGCGTCCATACCAGATCTGGGCAGTATTCGATTTTGTAAATACTTTTTAGTATTCAAATCCTTTAAAGTATTCAAATACTTTGTAATTAAATACTTTTATGGAAGCAGTATTTGTATTTGTAACTCAAATACTTTCACAAATATTAGTCAATTTCGAAAGAAAATTCAAAGGGCTGTAACTTTTGAACTAGTAGCCCAATCTTGGAACTGTTTGAAATTATGGATTCTACAGGCCACATTCTATAAGAAAAAATTTTTTCGGTCGATCTGAGACAATTTTTTTTCAAAAAAAGGCAGTGTATAACCTTCCTTTTTTACCAAAAATCGACTACACCAAAATTTCTCGGGAAAACACTTTTTCTTATTAATTTTGGTGCGTAGAATCCAAAACAATTCGTACTTTTTCGATCAGACTTCTCAATCAAAAGTTATAGACTAGAAACCAATTTCGAAAGAAAATTCAAAGGGCTGTAACTTTTGAACTAGTAGCCCAATCTTGGAACTGTTTGAAATTATGGATTCTACAGGCCACATTCTATAAGAAAATTTTTTTTCCGGGTCGTTCTGAGACAATTTTTTTTCGGGCCTCAAAAAAGGGAGTGTACAAACCTTCCTTTTTTTACCAAAAATCGACTACACCAAAATTTCTCGGGAAAACAGTTTTTCATATTAATTTTGGTGCGTAGAAACCAAATCAATTCGTACTTTTTCGATCAGACTTCTCAATCAAAAGTTATAGACTAGAAACCAATTTCGAAAGAAAATTCAAAAGGCTGTAACTTTTGATCCAGTAGCCCAATCTTGGAACTGTTTGAAATTATTACTTTTACTCCCCTTAAATTTGTATATAACAATAGAAAAAAACATAAAATATATATGCCTATCCTATAATGAATATACATAGTATAGACATAAGATGGACAGGATATTCCCTGTACATTATGGATTTAAAATGTATATACATAAGATATCGAATGCTATGTGGGTACCGTTTTGAAATAGTAGGCCATGGATTTATGGAGATTTTGTTTTGTTTATTGTATCCATGGCAGCCGATACCAATCAATAAAAGTGGCTAGTTGTAGAAATATGCGATTTCAAAATTTTGAAAAATATGATATAATATAATAATTACCTATGTATATAATACAAAAAATATAGGTTGTGATACATCAAAGTAATCAGGAAAACGAATGAAAAAAATTGACCTTAAAATATATAGGATGTTGCATTTGAAAAATAGCAATATTGGGCCAAATCTCAGAAACGGTGGTTCAAAAATTTTTTTAACTACGCCACTGGATTCTTCGTAAAAATATCTACATCTACATGAGTAGTAAGATATAACATCCCAAAAAGCCAAACGTTTTCACCCTGTATCACAGAAACAAACGTAACTAGATTGGTTCTATTTATAGTATTAAAAGTTTCACAAAGACACAAGTCGCGACAACCGCTAGTCTCTGTAATTAAAAACAACTGATATACACTGCAGACTCAATCAAAATAGGACACTCGGTACTAGTACCTATTAGGTACATTTGCGATCAAAAATGAGTTGCGGTCGAGTCACTTTGGAATTTTTGTTTACATGGGAAATCGTACTAACTTCCAAAGGCGCACCACGCCATTCATTTTTGAACGCCCGTTACTATAAACAGATACGGTCCATGCGGCATACCGCATACATTACATTTTTACTATAACAGCTACGTGAATATTTTGATTATTTTTTCGAATAATTTGGAAAGGGGGCACGGCCCACTCCTGCCCCCCTCAAATGGCGCCCCTGGTTTACGAGTACGAAAAACTTTTGGCTTTCGTAAATTTAGAAAAGGCAATCGATAGGGTTAAGGAAGCGATAAATAGAGTAAAGCAGGATTTTAACTCAGGAATCAAAGTGTAATTAATTAAGTAAGAACTGGAAGGGACTAGTATGGAAAGTTTTGGAGGTCATTCGGTCTAAAAGTGTTAAGGAGAATCCACAAACAATTTCGTTAGGATTTTACCATAGGGGAAGTTTATATTTTTGTCCTGGCATCGTTTTGAAACGTCAATTTTGGTTAGGCAACTTTCAAGCGTAGGAGTGGGAAAAACGTACACTAAATTTGCATTTTCAGAAGGAAAAGAATCGCTGCAAGACAAAGCACGCAGCGGAAGGCAATCAGCTGTCAGAACCAATACAAATATCCAACGAATTGGGGAAGAGAAAGACCTGTACGAAAATGGTTTCAAAAAATCTTTCACAAGAGCAACACATCATGAGAAAAGACATAACATCGATTGAAAATGACTCCCATTTCTTGGAACGTGTCATTACCACAGCGTGTTCGCACCTCCAGATGCTCATTGTGCTTATGAACATACAGTGCATGCTTACCAAACGTATTAACAAACGTGACAATGATACCACAAGGAGATTATGTTGTATTTTAATACTTCAATCATATGTACGTTTGGCATCATTGCGGTGAGGAAGAAGGATAGCGTTCCCGAAGAATGACACAAATCAGTAAAAGAGGCAATTAATCCATAAGACCCATACTGCATCACTGCATCCTCCTTTACTCGTTTGACTTGAGTCATTGTGACATTTTTGTCTTTCCGATATTCCAAACTCTTTTACGGGATGAAGGGGATATCCCCCCCCCCCCCAGAAGAATTGAGTTATCATCATAGCTATTAGGTATTTAGGTAATACTCCGCTATCCGCTCCGCCCACTTTAAAATAAAGGCAATAATTATATAGGTATATAATAGAGAGCAATTTTGGTTTTGGTTAAAGTCTAAAGTCACTAAAATCTAAATATTCTGTAGTACTCAGTATTCACTATTCAGTGAGTGATCAGTGTTGGCAGTCAACGATTTGGCTATTCGGCATCGATCGGCAATTCGCTACATTGATGCCCAAAATAACAAGTAGGTATGAGGACAGGAATTTTTTTTGCCCATAACTTTTGATTGAGACGTCTAATCGAAAAAGTACGAATCGTTTTGGATTCTACGCACCCAAATTAATCAGAAAAAGTTTTTTCCCGAGAAATTTTGGTGCAGTCGATTTTTTGGAAAAAAGGAAGGTAACACTCCCTTTTTTTTGCCCAGGAAAAAAAATTGTCTCAGATCGACCGGAAAAAAATATTTTCTTAAAGAATGTGGCCTGTCGAATCCATAATTTCAAACAGTTCCAAGATCGGACTACTAGATCAAAAGTTACAGCCCTTTGAATTTTTTGTCGAAATTGATTTTTTGCCCATAAATATACCTATTATTCAAAGTTTTCGTTGACTAATTAAAGCAAAAGCAATAAAGGGGCCTGTCAGCAGTAAGAAATAAAATACCGTTCTAATCTAATCTTTTTCGCCTATGCAACCCAATTTCTATTTCTTACCCCCTCCCTCCTCCCCCTTCTAGTACGCACTGGGTGACTGTATGTGCCACGAACTTGTTTAATCCCCCCCCCCCCAGAATAAATTTCTACGTACGCCACTGAGTCACCCGATGTTTACAATATGCGATATGTTTGCCGTTACTAGAAGCATCTGTGGTTAAAATTTTAAAAAAATATCTCCATAAACAAGAAAGATGACATTGCGCATGCGCACAATTAATTTTTACAATATGCGATATGCTTGTCTTTACTAGAAGATTCTTTAGTTAAAATTTTAAAAAATTATCTCTATAAATAAGAAAGTTGGGATTGCGCATGCGCACATTAATCCTCAAGATTTTTCCTGGTTGAGGTGCCAGAGCTACCGAATGCAAAAAACAAAAACGAACTAAATATCTTGAAAACTGTAGTAGTTAAGTAAGGCCTCGGACGGACAGAGAAAGTGGCCATAAAACATGAGTTGGAAAATATCTATGAATTAAGAAAAATTCTTACCTTTCGAACAGTTAATATGGGCGTTTTTTCACTAACACTCTCATCGTGCTGCTTGATACTTGGCAGTTCCTCCTCGCCTTCGCTTAGCGGCCGTCGACGTACACCCCAATTGAAATTATCCGTGCTCTCGCCCTGCGTAAACGCATTAGGCGAAACAGTGAGCAGTTCCAAGTGCTTACCTCAATGCTTTCGCTTTCGTACTCTAAGAAGTCGAAGTCCTTAAATACGCCGAAATCGGTCGTCGTGTCGTCTCTGCGCGAACCACCGCTGAAGTCGTTGTTGGCGACAGATACCTCTTCCGTGCTTGACGCCATGCTCGATTGTCTTTCCATTAAGTCGGAGCTTTGACTGAATATAACCTAAACAAGACGGTTTTAAAATAAACTTATGGAATTACGCTGGAGTTTACTAACTGATGGACTCTTTGGTAAACCAACGCGTTGGCCACATGCTGTAAGAAGATTAACTAGGCATTCCCGGACACGTCCCTATAACAGGTCACACAAGTTCAGTGGGAATTTTTGGAATATGTCAAACCTGTGACATCCACGGACGCTTCCATCCAGATAGAGGGGCTGTATCGGCAGGACTTAATGAACAGGACCGTCTAGGAGATGCGACCGGTTTAGTGACAACTCCACTGTCCTCATTTTTAACTAGCAGCCGACGGCCAATCACGGGCGTTTGCGAGAGATCGAATGTAAATTCCATTGTCCGTCCTGTAAGTGACCATTGTGAATGTGCTAAAACAATTTAGAATGGTCCAACCTGGCAGCTCCTTCTTCGTAAAGACTTCAGTGTCAGTAAAAGAAGGATGAGGGACTGACGTCATTGAGCCCTCCCAGTAGCTGTGTTGAACGGATGCGGGCGGTGCAACTAATGTGCTCGATCTGGTGACCACCAGCTTAAGTATCTTCAGAGCTTCCTTCCAATTCGGTCCTTCGATGTACTTCCCAATGACTCGCAGTAAATCTGCATTCATCGGTTGTGCGGCGGCAGACGCAAGATCCACGTAGTGCAAAATACAGTGCACAATATTCAGAATTGGCAGCTGCAGCGTTGAAGGGCCTTTTTCTAATACCTCAATCAAAAACGCCAACATGTTCAAACTAAGGTGTGAGTAAGTATCGTAGAGGTACTTCACGACGCATTTGGTCCACTGGAAACTCTCCTTGCTGAAAGTTCTTCGACTGTACAAATTCATCACCGTACTCAAATTTTCCAACTTTTTGCTCTTTTCCACGCTAACCTATATCGCAATCGTCAAAATCGCCGAGAAATTGCCGGAGGTACTCACTTGAGCAATGTTGTCCGCGCTGCGAATGCAGAGCTCGTTAGCGTCTTCGTAGTTGAGCAACATATACGGAAGCAAGGCGATGACGTTCATCGGAAATGCGATACTCTGCGAAGGATCCACCACGACCAGGTCAAGTAGCGGGGTAAATTGCGACAGTAACGCGACCACAGGTTCGTAAATGTTCGGATGTGTACACCCCTAAAAGAACGCATGGGTTGATAGCACCACGTGACGTACCTACCTTTAGCAACAAGGCGTGCACGCCCGGAAAAGAACTCCACCTCAGTTGCGTTTGCAATTTCTCCACCTTATCCCTAGCATCCGGTCGATCTAAGGGCAACCGGTGCAAAATGCGCGCCAAAAGTCTTAAGGCCAACAGAAACTCGTGCTCATAGTCAGACTCCAGCAGCGAGACTGACAGCCAGAACAGTTGCGCAAGAATCGTGAGCTTGTCATCTTGAGTCGCCGAATCGCTCAGCATTTTCAAGCTCTGCGCCGATCTTGACCGGGACAAATTCGATCCGAACTTATTTTTATCAATCTCGCAATTTCCGCGATTGCGCAAATCTTTGCTGTCCGTCGCGGGGGACCCGGAATTTTTCCGCAGCACGTACGATACGGAGTAGCTGGTGCTGCGAATGTGTCCCACCTGGTTGAGGTACGAAAACGGCGGAATTGCGTCGGCTCCCATCATGTTGCCGTATGGGTAGCGTTTACCCAACGGTTCCTTGTTGTTCAAATTGGGCGTCGATTTAAAAATGTCCTTCTTCAAGTCGAACGGGCGGAAATCGGATTCTAGGGAGTCGACTGCTGATTCGAGCGTGAGAAGGAGCTCGGTGACGTAGCCTTGCATATCTTCGCCTTGTTCGGCGACGGTCTCGACTAGCCGGCTGAGAATGTCGGAGAGCATTCGGGATGATATTGGGACTCGGAGCGAGCGATAGATTTGCAACGAACGGCCGGCGTAGTGCCTGGATGAACAACTGAGTCCTAGTTGCAGCGCAGTTTGTGCCCACCTTTCGTTTATGTGGGCGTTGGGTAACGACTCTCGAAATACACGCAGGATGTGCTGAAGGAAGATGTCCATTTGATCGGCACTCCTTACCAACCACACCTTCGCTGTGATATCCTCGTAGTTCCACAGCGGTTGATTTTGGCGCGTAGCCAAAAAGTCGATGAGCGATTTTATCACGTCCGCTATGGTGATATTTGGGCAAGTTTCTGAGGCGTTCCACGCTGGCGATTCTTCTGAAGTTACTATTACAGGGGGCGCACTTGGTTCTTTTTTATCTTCAAAAGAACCCCAAAATTACAGGAAAAGATCCCAACTTGTCACTTACCGATGTTGCTTGTATCTTTATTGGTAGCAATTGACTCTGAGGAAGACGTATTAGGAGCCGGCCCTTGAAGATAAACATCGAACGCAGGATTCGTTTCTAAAATGTTGTGTTATTGATTGTCAGAACTGGGAATCTCATACCTGTAAAAATATTTTGCGGAACTGGCAATGCGGGGGTCGGCAGACCTAGCCCTAGTAAACTCGTTTTGCTGTTTAGAATAATATGCGCCACTATTAAATGGTCGTTATGTTGTGCCAAAACAATGAGTAAGTTTAAGAGAAGTTGTTTACAGTGTTGGTACACTAACGGCCTGGTGTTATCCAGACCCAAAAATAATATATGTAACATTAAAGGAACGTGTATAGTCCAGTCTAGTTCGAGACCATCGACAACTACATCACAAAGTAACATCACAGCCACGTTGCATCTACAATCATCCAAAATCGAAATACACACTTAGTGGAACTGAATTTACCTATGGAAACCAGATATTGGTTGCGAACTATCCGGTAAATATTCAGTCAAAGGTGCAAAATATCCACCATATTCCGGCATAGGTAGCGGATGGGGTTGGGGTACTGGAATGTCAAATTTATCACCGGCATTGAGTGAGCGAGAAAGCGAGAAGAGATCCTCGCACCCTTGCAACTGAAACAACTGTAAAATCCCTGTGAACACACTGAAAGAGCGCGACAAACCACACTTACATCGGTTTCTGTCGTTGGCGTCGATACATCTTCCGATAGATTCGCTCCCCCGATAACGCGCACTTTGTCTAGCCTAGGGGAGGAGAATTCGGGCATGCCCTTGATTGTCGAGTCAGTTTTGGGGGACGAAGATTTCATCGGGTCTTCGCCGCTGTGACGTTTGGTGTGAATCGTGCCCTTCTCCACGCCGATATCATTTCGGTTATTGTAATCAGAGGTGCCTACGCCTCCGGTACCATCGGAATGGCTGGACGCTTTTCTCATAACGGTCAGGCGATAAAATGGGGGCGTTTCCGTTCGCTCGATTAAACAGTTGAGGGTTTCGACTGTTTGCAACTCGATCATCATCTCGTCCAGCAAACGACCGGGTTGTACTCTAGCCAGGTATAGGATGACGCGTTTTGCCTATATGAGTGCGGTTAGAAGGGTTTTGGACGTGAGCGGACTTACATATGGAAGGAGTTCGCAAGGCGCCATGCCAGAAACGATAATTAAATACCGAATTATAACCTTCATGTTGTTCGGCCACGAGGTACACAAAGTCGCCCAAACTGCTTCCATTTCTTTCGGATGGTTGTCGCCGAACTAAAACTGTTTAATTACCACCTTTCCCAACAAGCGATGAGTTACCTTCGCAGTAATGTAAAAAATGTTATTCAGTACCATTTCGGTTGCTTCTGCAGAACCCCAACCTTCTCTTCGACCTCCAGCCCGACCCATATCGTTGGCGTGATACTGAAGACAAGGCGAGTTTGCCAGAAAGAAACAGAGATATCAAATGTAATTACCTGGTAATAAAAAAGGGGATTAGCCGGTGGAACGTTAGGGTCAACTAACTCCATGTTGTGCAACCACGGCAGCAAGTACTGCAACAGTAGCTGACGGAGTTCGGGCCTTGCAGTTTGAAAACGATGAGTGATTTCTGAAATGGAAGGGAACACTTTCGCTTTGATTTCCGCATGATAGTTCAACACAGTAAAAATGAAAGTAATTGCCACGGTTGTTATACCAAATGTTAGGTGAAGGATCAAACACCACTAACCTGAAAACATTGGCATTGTAAGCTCAGGATGGAGGTGAGCTAGTTGCTCCGAAAGATGTATCTGCGATCGACAATACGTGGTGGCCAGAAGTGTATCCAGAGTGCTCCTGCCTTTATCACCTTCAGCTGAAACAAAAGAATTCGTGTGAACAAAGAATCTCATTCCAAATGGCATATAATATACTGTTGTGTAAACGTACGATGGTTATCGGTTAATTTTTGTTTAAAGGCCGCACTGTAATTATATGGGACATTTGTTAGAATTATATTAGGTGTTTGTAAAAGTTTATTTAATTTTAAGATAAGTCGGCCGCTGCCAAAAGAGTTGCGCTTATCGTTAAACGTTAATTAATTTGTGAACAGATGGTCGCAGATGTGCGTATTTTAACAAAATAATAAGGAAGTGGAAACGGACTTGAAAAAAGAAAGGCAAAATAAAATAAAAAATAAAATTTGTCTATGCAGCCCAACATGTTTTAAAATTACTCCAAATTTTCAGTGGTTAAACCCATGTTTTTTCTGCAATAAAATGTACAACCCAAAAAAATGTCAAAAACACACAGCTAATTTGCATCCAGCTGTTACGTTCACTTGTCAAGAGCTTAATTTGGAATGGCAGAAGTGCTAACTTGAATTTAAGCTAGCACTTCCACTTCAACAATCGGTTTGAGACTAAACAACACATTCTGCAAGTACAAATTAATACCGGCGTGTGTCGCGCAGGGGCGTAAAAGGGCAACTGCGGTACTAAGGGTCCCTGGTTCGCATCCGGGTTCAGGCATGGATCTTTGTAAATGTATAGTGGGTTGGGTCGGTAGAGCAGCCTTGGCTGAAACCCTGCCCATTTAAAAAGTCCAAAAATAATAAATAAATAATTATTATTAAATTCAGAATTCTTTCACCTTGTTTCATTTTCTATATTCCTTCACCATCTATATTCGACACTCTCCAACATTTCCAACATTCTCCAAAATATTTCTGAAACATTTCCAAAATGACCTATACTTTCCAAAATTGTCTAAACATTTTCAAAATTTCTATAAATCCATGGCAGCAAATACATGGTGGAAATTTTGTCTGGAACACTGAATATATCTTCAAAACTACAGTTTTTGCAAAGAAGCTTTTTATGGTAGCCACAATTATAAAAACTTTGCTACCAATCTACGTATGTACTTTAAATCTGTGGTCAGTGGCGTACTTCTGGATTGTCAAGAGGGGCATATTTTTTAACGGCCACTACTAGTTTTCATTACATATGAGTGAGAGCACACTTTTTTAGATATAGCAGCATAAAATAAAATGGGTGCACTTTAGTGATTCTATTAATGTATCAATGAGAGCCTGAAAACTTTTAGGTATGGCTGTGTGAAACAGCCTACATATGTATAGCAGTTACGTAGAGAAATAAATTATTTACGCTTTGTACCGTTTCCTTCCTAATTGGGTAGAAAATGACAAAAAAACGAGCCTCTTCAGAAGATCTACAAGGAATAGTCCGCCTACGTCCAATCGATCGAAACTGAAGGGATCTGCTTTCATATAGATAATTAATAAAAAGCAACCTTAATATGGTTTTTAAAGGAAAGTAGTGCATCTGCAAGGTATAATTTAATTGCCTATTTATGTAACCAAGCAATGAAATACATTTGTAAAAAAACGAATAAAGAGAGAAAAAAAGCTCCCATCTCCAACACATTTACTTTATATTTCCATTTCTCCTTTCCGTAACGAATTCGATAAATAAAAGCGAGCCAGCTTTCTGACAGACGTTAATAAAATAAATCTAGGATAGTAAGTTCTTTAAATGAGTAAAACAGGAATCAGCGAGCAAATATAAATTTACATCGGTTACTAAGAAACCGGAAAAGTGAAGTGCTTTGAAAATGTTTTGCGTTTCTTTTTCATTCTGATGCTTTTCGTCGCGTGGGAATTTGGGAAACCGTACCGTAGCTTCTTAAAAACAGCAAAAAAAAAAGTTCGTAATTCCCTTGTACTTTTCGAACATATTAAAAAGGGGGCAAAGTCACCTTTTTATTACAGAAGTTGTAAAGCAAAATCAAGGGAAACCAAAAAGATGTATGAGAACGGACACGCCAGTTTTGCAATTAGCACATAAGCTTGTATAAAAGATATATTTGCATCCCTTCGCGGTAGTGTAGGCCGGCCGACGGAGAGTTACTGTCATACAAGAAGTGCAACAACAAAAATTTATTCCGAAAGATATGAAACAATTTTTTTTAAATCCCTGAGAGACAAAAAATCTCGCTGCCAGTTTCAGGAAACTTTACTTTTTCGGAATACGGACAAACCGTTTTAAAAACTTACTTGAATTAAACAAATAGGGCCAACTGTGTGAGAAATTAACCTAAACAAAAATGCACGCTCTTTTTACCCTCGCTAAAACTAACGGATAGCAATGGCAGCCAGTAACCTCGTTTTTACGTTGATTCCAGTATTTAAGGGAACATCACTTCCGATATAAAATAATATCCACGGTCACACAGGTCCCTGTGAATCCATCCTATAAACAGGCTATAGACATAGAGGGTCAACAGGTAAGGATACTGCATGGCAAGTACAATGGTTCAAAACAAAAAGGCGATAAAACAGGGATCGGGGTTAGCGGCCCAAACTGTCGAATCTCGGAATCACTGGGGCAAAAAGCCACTGTCTTTCAAGCAGATGCCTATACCATAAACCTCTGTGTTCTCATTAACCTAGAAATGTATAAGAAGGGGGCACAAATAGATATCCTCACAGTCAAGGTGCACTGACGGCTGAAGACATTCTATGCCGATGCGAACCTGCTGCCGGGCAAGGGCTAAATGACCTCGGCGGGGACAAGCTGCAACCGCACGAGATATCGGGACTAAATCCCAGAGTAGTAATTAGTTTCTTCAATCAACTAAGACTACTCCAAAACGGGTAAGGACAGTCCAAAAATCCATAGAGGATTAGGTGCTTAAAGACTACACTCCCTTACCCTCATACACAGTATACAATACAATACAGAGGTTATCTCACTAATCCCAAAATTTAATGACTTCTTCATGGTTAAATTGGAGCTTTATACGTCAAAGCGTTTTTGAGTTCTCGTGCGAACGGCCGGATTGACAGGGGGTCGGTCAGACCGTCAGACTATTTGACGATGCGTATAATACTCGCGCTACTCCCAAACAAAGCCAAAAAGATCTTGGAGAGATTATCTGTCACTCGTTAAATTAATGATCGCATACGGACCTTGGTGTGGAACGGTCGAAAAAGTTTCTCAACGTATGAACATCACTACCTACGGAATTGACGACAGTCAGTCTTCGTTGCCAACGTAATTAAATTCGTAGATAAGTACGTTTCATCAGCGAACCTGTCATCATCAGCGAACAACTGCTGATTATTTTCTAAATGTTATTGACTATTACTCCAGCGAATAAATATGAATGAATTAGCATGGAAGTAGCACCCCCCAACAGAATTTCCGCATAATAAAGATGATAATTAATTAAATACAAACACAACTTTTAATCGTTTGGATTATAAATTCTATTACGCAACTACCACTGAAAATATTTGTTTTTATACGATCGTTATATACAGGCTGTCGTGTGAGATGAAGTGGCATTTTTAATGAAACAACCTTGCTTGCCGCTGAGCTCGGTGTTAGACACCCAGTATCGACTATAATTAATTATTCAAAAGAAAATTAATTCATTCGGAAAAGCTTGCGGGGAATTATCAGTACGAATGGAAGAATCTGCATTTCGCGCAATCTAATTAGTAATTGGATAAGTTTGAAAAAAGCACGACAAAAACGGTTTACCTCCACAGCGTGGAAAACGAATAACTAATGCATCGGCAATTGATTGCATTGTAAACTACAGCCAAGAGGGAACGGTTTGTTTTCATTGGCAACTCTGAATAATTAAAGAAAGTCGATTCAAGTGTTAAGAAGTTTTTATACCCCCCAACGTTGTCTGGGAACTCGAAAATGATACAAACGAAAAATAAAATTGCTGCGACACTTTCTTATGAAAGGAAACTCACAAGGTCACGTACGCGACAGTTGTATTTCACCCCCTTTCCAAAAATTTGGAAGTGAGTCCGTATAATTTACGAACATTAGAATGAACGACGCGCCTTTTGTCATAGGCCGGAGATAGCGACGCGACGAACTTTACGCAGTCGGAAAACAACCCTCGCGAAAAGAAGACGTCCGAAAATCGCGCGCGCTTTTCGCCGATGGACGAAACGAAATCATGAATTTCACAGATTTTTTGTTTAACGGAACAAATGCGACCACGCTGCACGAATTTAGCGCAATCGAGCTGGTGCAGTTGTACTATACACCGATTCTCGTCTATTTGGGTACTATTGGAAATGCGCTATCGATGGTGGTGTTTTTCAAGACCAAGCTGAAGAAGCTCTCCTCGTCGTACTATTTGGCAAGTTTGGCGCTGAGTGATAGTGTTTTCTTGTTGTCGCTCTTCGTGGTCTGGTTAAATATGGTCGATGTCAACTGGTTCAACCAACATGGTGTTTGCCAGTTGATGGTTTACTTGACTGGAGCGTGCAGCTTTTTGAGCGTTTGGTTGGTGTTGGCGTTTACAGTTGAACGTTTCATCGCTGTACGCTACCCCTTACTAAGACAGTCCGTCTGTACGGTTTCGCGAGCAAAAATGATCATCTCAATTCTGGTAGTGTTATCGATATTAATATTTTCGCCCCTCCTGTTATTTGCACGCGTCCAGGTGGTGCCTCAGAAGACGACCGAATTGTGCACGATCGACTCAGATTTCGAAAATTTCGCAACCGTCTTTAATATAATCGACACGGCTGTCACGTTTGTGATTCCCGTTTTTGTAATCGTGATTTTAAACACTTGCATCAGCCGCACGATTTGGAAATTGGGCAGCGTACGCCGAAAGTTAACATATCGAGGCGCCCTTCCTGAGGTTCCAACGCACAGCAAGAGAGAAAGCACGAAAGGTTGCCGCGTAAAACCGTCTGTCCATCTGTCTCAGAATAAAATAACAAAAATGTTGTTAGTGGTGTCCACGGTATGCTTGTGCTTAAATTTCCCCAGCTATTTAATGAGAGTGCTCACATATTTGATCGAGGTAAGTTGTTGACGAATGACAAATTCTTTTGAAACATTTGTCCCAAAGATGATAGAAGCTGAGGCTATTGCAAATACAGAATACGCCAAAGTAAATAATTTACGACGGAAATAGAAACCTTTTATTGCCTCAAACGTCAATATTTCGTAAATAAACAAATCGGTGGATGATTCAGAGTAACTTGTTGCCAAAATTTGAAAATAAACAATATTATTTCGTAATCTATAAAATATGCCATTACATATTAAAAAAAAACTAAATAGCCTGCACTACACGCCTAGGAATCCACTTAAATGCTAAAAAATAATGAGTGGCTGAAGAGGTGGTTGAGCAGTAAGGGTGGTTTGGTATGGTACACTTCTTTTGTGAATTTAAAAAAGTAAATTAATCTCTCGCAATAAATCAAAGTTAATATTATTACAAGGCATAAGCGACCACCATAACCCATCAAAGTGTAATCCCTAGCGTATTGTCCGTTTTCCAGTTTGAGTGTAAATATCTCAATACCAATCTAAACCAATAAATACCCTATTCTATTCATTAATTGCATATTTTTTTTAAAAACCAAAGAAATATATCCTAACTGATTGTTTCAATTGGTGTAACCAAAGGTTCGGCCAATTTTGCAATTCTTCTACAAGAATTTAATGCAGTAAATCGTATACAGATAAACCAAGAAAATCATTCCGCCGACTTGTGCAAATTATTTAAGGCACTCAAGAGACTTTTATACATTCTGATACAGGGTGAAAATTTCGTCTGGAACACTGGACATATCTTCAAAACAGAATTTTTTTTAAGAAGCTTTCTGTAGTAATTTTCTGGTGGGTATAAAGAAGGCAACAGGCAAATCTTATTTTATTTTCTGTAATGGCGATCGATTTCGGGCTTAATATTTATTCCCCATCATCAGGCCGTGCTGAAAAAGTACACATTGTGTATTTCTATAGTATCTAAAATTATGAAAAAATTGCTACCAATCTACGTACTTTGAATTTGTGGTCAAGGGGGGCAACTTCTAGTAAGAGAAAAACTCAAATTAAGGGTAATTTGTTAATTAATTTTATAATTTTACTAGTTTGATCGTGATTTTTGTTTTGTTATATTAAAAAAGATTCATTCTTTAATTGTATCTACCTCACGAAGAATAGTGCTTTCTATTAAAAAAGTAGCCCTCTTAATTCTGTAGACGCACGCCACTGTAAGTAATTTTTATAAATTTTTAATGATTTTTGATACAATAAATTGCTTTAACATAATAAGTAACAAAAGAATAACGGTTTTGTTTCAACGCAAACTAGTGAAATTATAAAATTAATAAAATTAATTTATTTTAATTACTTAATATAATAAGTTTTTTATGCTGCTATATATATGACGAAAACTAATAGTATTTAATAATAATTATAATAATAATTTAAAGTACGTAGATTGGTAGCAAATTTTTTATAATTTTGGATTCCCTCAACTTTCTTTAAAAAAATCTTGCTTTGAAGATATATCTAGTGTTCCGGACAAAATGTTCACCGTGCATCAAACAAAACATATTAACACTTTAACACAATTATCACTAGTTTTTTTTTACCTACAGCATCCAGCATTCATTATTAAGAAGTGAAAGGCTGAAAATTTTACTTTCTGCCCGTCCGTCCAGAATAGATTCTTTAATTCTATTTTCGGCAATCAGTGCCTTAGGTCTGCCTCTTGGCAGTTCGTATTTAATTACGTATTTATCAATAATATAATTATTTATGCACCAATTTCATTATAAAAACGTTGAAATGCATGATCTAGATGGCCAAATGTCAATGTGACAACGCGAATTTTCACAGATAAACAGTTTCATTTTTATACAAAACGTTATCAATTTGATCTTAAAATGGTTTTAGTGTATTTAGATTTGAAAAGCCACAGAAAACAATATCTCGTAAGATACCTAACGGTTTTTGGTTTCCCTCCCCCATGTGATTTTCTTTATGGTGCCCTTTTCAAGTCAGTTCACAATGGAATTTTGAAATCGGAGTGAAACTCGGCGCCCTTTGATACAGTGTCGCCGCTTTGGTTTGTCGATAAAATAAATCATAAAAGTAAAATATAGTAACGTAACATTCACTTATATTATGGGACATATTCTAGGTTTAGGCGGTTGCGTCGCCTCTCCTCGCGCATCCAGCGAACTGTACAGTGTCCAAGAAATGAAATCACAACCTGGAGAAATGAGAAACCATAAGAGCACAGTCGGTTAAATTAGAAAAAAATTGCGTATTTTAGGACTTAGTAAAATGATGTGTTAAAAATTCGGAAATTCCTTTCAGTTTCGAATATATTGTTCGTTTTTTTTTCTGGCGTATAAAAAGATATCAAAAAAATATCACTTCCTCATAGGAACTTTGTAAACTGTAGAAAATGGTGCCCACAGATATTCACTGCTACGTTTCGTCTTTGCAAACCATCATCAACTTACCATTTTATATGAACCGAAAAATAGTACAGAGTGGTTTAGATTGGACACTTTCTTTCCATTAAAAAAAAATGAGAAAATCGCTGACGCAAAACGAATTCCGCTATCTCTAATGGTTAGGCCGCTAGGGGGCGTTTCTGGAATTTAGTCGATTTTCTTGATACCCCATAACTTTCTTACTATTAATGATAATTGATTTTGGTAAAATCTTTCTTACAGCACTTTTTTATGTAGAATCCATCGCGATACATAGTTTTTATACAGAGGGTTTGGTTTTTCTTGTAGGATCCTAAACTACATTTTTTCATTAGCGTAAAATTACCTAAATTTTGGTATATCACTTGTTCTATTTATCTTAAATATTATTTGTAATACCATTCCATTTTATGCATTAAGATATTGTTATTGCAGAAATCTAGTTTCCATGGCGAACAACAAATGTTCGTTGTCGATTTCTCCACTCCTGCCATCTTTTGTTCGCAATAAAAACTTAGATGTCTGTAATAAAAACATTTAATGCATAAAAGGCAATATTGCAAATAATATTTCATATTCATACATGCATCAAAATTTATGCTCTTTTCAAAAACTACTTAAATAATAAACAATTTCTAACATTTTGGTGTAGTAGGCGTTCACCAAATGTCAAAATAATACAATGGCGGTTCCTTTAAATGACAATAAAGAATCATAATGTTGGATTCGTAATAAAAAATACTACTCAATACAGTATGTACTTCTTTTTCCGGTACATATAACATGTAAAGTTGATGATGGTTTGTTCAAAGACGAAACGTTGCGGTGAAAATGTGTGGACATCATTTTGTAGAGCTTAAAAAGTGCCTATGAGGAATTGTTATTTGTTTTTTGTTCTTTTCAAACAGGGTTAATTTAAGTTTTTTTCGAATATCTTCGGAACCGATCGGAATTTCCGGATTTTAAAAATATCATTATACTAAACCCTAAAATACGCAATTTTTTTTGTTTAACAGACTGTGTATCTCTTATGGTTTCCTATTGCCCATGCTGTGTATTCTTATCTTGAACACACTGCATGATCACCTAGCGGGATGACATATACTTTACAGCAAAAAAAATTTATAAAAATCGGTCGAGCCGTTTCGGAGGAGTTCGATCACAAACATTCCTTTTTCATATTCATATTCATACAGGTATATAGATTACATAAAAATGTCGCCCTTGTATAATGTTATTGTAAAAATACTTTTCTTTTTAATAGTGGAGGTCATAGAATTAATAATCACTGGTAATTCTATGGTGGAGATGGAATAAACAGTTCAAACCAGTGTACAATATGCCTATTATACAATCCAAAATTCTGCAACTGGCACTTTACCCCGAACGGTCCTTGTGAGAAAAAAACCTAAATAATAACATTTGTAGGAAATTTTATGTAGGTATTACAATTCTGAATTGAGAGTTAAGTAGCGAAAAAATTACTGCGACACTTTCAATAGATTCCGGCAGGCTAAATTAAAATAATGCAACATTAACATGCTAATCAACTTCGCGTCGGAAACACGAACCCTCGTATTATGCTTAACCTCTTTGCAAATTGCCAAGTAAATTAAATTTGTATTTCAGGAAAGTTGATCGAATAACGAGGTTATGTAAAGAAGTCAAGCGTCTCCAAGAAAAGTTCGAAACTGCACACGAGGAAAACGTTTGTAATATGTTGTTTCCTGTGGAGATATTGACAATACGCATTGAAGTTCGTTCAGCATCCAATTTCTAACAGTCACCTGAATTGGAATGTTGCGTTATGTTCGTCATTGGCTAAAAATATGATTTTGTTTATTTTACTGGTATTGATTTCCATCCCTAAAGCGATTGTAAACATTTTCTAAATACAATAATAATAATAGTACACACGGATTCATTTTCATCCGAATAAATGAATTGGTATATATAGACATATTATTAAAGCCTTTTCAAACACCACTGAACATAATAGATTGGCAACGAAGAAAATTAAATAAAATGATTCGGGAAAATAACGACAAAACGCTCATTCTTCTGATTCAGCAACGTCCAATTCAGACAATTAATAAAGGAAAATAATATAACTGAATTTTTTTCAACGATAGAGACCTGACTCTAGAGTTGATACTACAAGGGAATATCCAAAAAATAAAAATAAAGGTCTTGAGTAACATTTTACATGCATTTATCAGTATTTCCCAAAGGCCTATGCGCGCAATGTTTTTCAACTCTCGATCAATTGACACACGAGCGTAGCGAGTGTGTCAAACTTTGAACTCGAATTGAAAAACTCCACTTTCTTCTCTAGTTGTACAAATAACTATTACAAACACATAATTAAATCATAATCATTAAAAAAATCTTTAAAGTGCTAAATCAGGGCTATGGTGTGGCAGCAACATTAATCGATAACTTGAACTTTTGTTGTCTGCCCGAAGAACGTCATGCGGAATAAATTAATTTTCAAGTATCTAATTAAACACCTACTTATAACGTTGGTGTTGCGTTAGATCTTGCCTTTATGAGTACATACCTACAGCAAAAATGTAAAAATAACAATTAAAAGTACAAAAGCGCAATTTTCAAGCACTTCAATAAAACAATAATGTATATCTAAATAAAATGAATTATTCATTAAATCTTGAGTTACCTACGCTGCACATGTCTAAATATCGAAGGATGCATTAGTAAATAAAATGCTTCATGACGGAGAACCACGTCCAAAGAATTTTACACTTCACTATCGAATGAATGAATTCATTCAGTCGCTAACTCGCTACATCAAATTCTTAGACAGATAATTTTGACATGTGTCTGTATCCTGCTTTTATGCTTTGCTACGACCGATATTGCGGGCAAGAGATGTTAAGAGTCTGTACATTTCCGCAAGCGTCCTTAATGAGGCGTCTAAGGGGAGGATGAACGCATGGCGTCACTTTCTGTCGTGTAGCTAATGACACGCGATGAACTGTAATAGAATTGAAAAACACCCCTTATGCGATTGATTATTAGTTAATACCAGTCCCGTTGCAGTATGCATGTATTTGCTTATTTCCTACTGGAACATAATTTGTCACAATCGATCTAAGGGCCCCATATTGTCCAATTGTATTTTAAAGAGGTGCATCACCTCTTTAATTAAGCACCCACTCGCCTAGTCCAGCCTTAATTGGCAAAGGTTTGAGGTCGCTAAATCTTTCGGCTCTGGAGGTAAACGACGAGCGAATAGAAGAGCGGACACACAAAACGAGTTTGAGGGTTGAGTTTTTCTCGATCTCAAACTTCCTACTTGGATATGAATTTTTTATCACCCGCACGTTAGTAAAGGCGCTATTGCATTGGGATAAAAATAACCCTCCGTTTTTTTTAACGTTTTGAAGCACCAGGACTCCGAATCAAACAAAATCTCGATGATCTCGGTCCATCTGCACTCTCATTTCCAGCTAAAGGACTGAACCGATTGGGATCAAATTTGATACATATTGTTAGACATATAAAGAGCTGAAAAGCTTTTGGGCAGAATCGTACACGATAATTTTTTTAACCTCAAAATATGTGAAGAATTTCACAATTTTACGTCAATATCTCTCCTTAAATGGCCAAATACACATAAATATAAATAAATAATTACTTCCAATATCAAATCTACACATATTGGCGTCGTTTACTTAATAATACGTAAAATTTTACAATTATCAAATACATCAATGAAAAATCATTTCCCTTTTAATTTACCTTATTAAAGGAACCCAACTAAAGAGCGTTTAATTTTTTACAATAAGGACGCCTTTTGTTTAAACAGTGTTTCTTGAAATTGATGTCTTCCGACAGATACTAAAAAATGGATGTCTGTCTCTTCTGTACAACGGATACAGCTTAAATTACCCTATATCGACTGGAATGGGGATTGAGTTCTGGGCCGTCGGATGTCTTATAGTCCCATCGAAAATGGAAATAAAACAATAATAAACGGCAATTGCTAACAAAAACAAACAGTGATAGGTCCGTACGGACGAAATCTAGGTCGGTTATCTAAAAGAAAGTTCCCGGTTTTGTAAATTATGAATTATTTTAAATTACATTTCTATAAGACCCAACTGCACACGGTAAAAAATAGAAAAAATCAAATTCACAATCTTTGAAAAGCACTTTCATCCAATTGTAACCTTTAACACTATTTTCTCTTTTTACAGCTGAGAGTAATCGAAGACGTCAACATTCCACTATTTCTTACAGTGCAACATTGCTGCCTGCAACTATTTAATACGAACTTCGGAATTAACTTCGTTCTTTACTGCATAAGCGGTCAAAATTTCCGGAAGGCCATGCAGTCACTGTTTTGCAAAAGAAGACTCGGACGAACAGGAACCACGGCATTTACAGGTGGGTATTGTAAGCCGAAAAATGTGTACGCGGCCCTTCTACACAGCTTCGCAAAAGATGGTAACAGCGGTTAATGTTCAAGAACCCATAAGTAATATATACACGGTGTCCATGATAAAAATGTCTATCATGGTGATCTCCAAAACCATAGAAGATACGACGATGGTCAAATTAGGGAAAATTTGCGCAATTAAATAGTTATGTTGTAAAGAAAAACCAGAAAATTCCGATGCTTTCCGAAGATTGCCGATTTTGTTTTTATTTTTTTCTGGCGATATTTATTTAAATAGACGCGGAAAAACACTTTTTTATTTCCATTTTTTGAACTCTACAAGACATCGTTGGGAGACTTTAAATACAACGTTTCATTTCGGGGAAATCATCATCCACTGTATTTCTCCGAAACGAAACGTTGTATTGAAAATCTCTCAACGCTATCTTGTAGACCTCAAATAGTGGCAATGAGAAGCTGTTTTTAATTTTTTTTGTATCTGGTCAAATATCACCAGAAAAAAACTAAAAACGAAATCGGAAAATTTCGGTTTTTCTGGTATATCTTCGAAAGTAATCGGAATTACGCCTTATCTTGTACATAGTGTAGGTATACCATCTTATTTTGGTCATATTTAACTCGGTCTGTAGTACGCTTATTCAGGAGTATAAGCTGAGGTGAGTGAGGTGACCTTTTCTATTGAACATCTTGTTTCGCACCGTGTATCTAAATCGCCAACTTTCTTAAATTTAATTAATACGGAGAAATCCTATACGCTCTCGCTAGATGCTATAATGAGATCCAAACATAAGAAATTAATCAAATTGAAAATTTTAATTTGAAATTGAAGTATCTTAGGTGCCCTTCACGCTAAAATTGATATTCATATGCATCTCAATTTCGCAAACATAAGCCCTTTAAATTGTTGCGTACTTTTTGCTTCTTACATGTTTATTACAAGTTAAATTCTGATATTACATTTTCGCTTTGAACAAGAAGTTCGCGTAAAATTAAACCAACTGCCAATTAAATTCATGGATGCTTGCCAACCCACTTCTCATATTCTGAAGCGAAGGCGCCATTTTGAGATATACTATATCAAACGGACCTGGACATAACGTCAAATGTTGAAATGTAGGAATTTGGTACCACTTCCCGCTGGATGTGTACTTAAAAACCAGATAAAGTTCAGGCTGCTAAAAAATTCTTTTCTCGTCTCAAAATCCACTACAAGTCGAGTATTTACTCACGTATAACATTGCAGATAACCCACAATTTTTCACAAATCCGAATTTGCTTAAATAAACATTTCCACGATCGACGTACTCGAAATTTAGGAGGTCTCGCCACTTAATACGTTTTTTACTCGAAGTCATAATGCTCTTCTTTACAGCGACTGGAATAGATTTTATCAACTAATTTCGAGTTCTAGTACTTGAAATCGAAACGCGAATCTTCACAAATACTCGAAGATCTTTCTTGCAAATAATTGTTATATTTTATTATTTTACTTATACGAGTCGCTCCTTCTCTAAGAATTAAAATTCGCGTACCTAACGAAGTACGTGACCGTTCGCGAAAACCAGCTTAGCATTCAATTTCTAACGCACCCAAAATGGTACGTTTCGACTCCGAAATAATAAAAGCTGGGCCGTGACCTGCATAACACAGTGTTTATTAATCCGCCTCTATACTTCTGTTCTTTTTTTGTTTTGTATAGTCCCGTCTACTAATTAAATAGGTTGAAAGTTTATTTTAAATTTAAATCAATCCAGCCCCCAAGAGTGTTCCGGACTGCGGGAAAACCTAAAAGCTTCGACAGCGCGATGTAATGCCTTGAAAAACTTTTAAGACTCTAGAAGTCATGTAGTAGGCTTCTCCTCAACTCTAATAGCTTTCAAAAGCATTCTAGGGCATTTATGGAGATTACTGTAAGTAATTTTAAGAAGTTTTATTTGTCGACCACCTGAGTGTGGGGTAAATGTAACGGGCATTTGCTCTTTATTTCAGGTTTTACTTGATTATTTTTTGCGTAAGAGTTAATAAATTCTTTTGTCCTTGTCAATCAATTACTTGCGTGCTTATTCGAATCCATTTGACGATCCAAATAGAATTCTCATGTTTAGATTTTCTTTTATTTGTACCCGAAATTTATTTTAGGTAGATTTTTTGGAGTCATTGTTAGGATTTTTCAGTTAATTTTTAATTATTAAATATGCTCTCTATTAACACGAGACCAAAGAAAGATATTTAAAGCGAAACGGTAAAAAATAAATTAAACAAATATAGCAAACGAGCTCCTGGGTATGGCTATAGCATGTGCAAAACCAAATTTTAAACCTGATGTTAGTTTTGCTTTTATTTAAAGTGTATATGTATGAAATTTCATTTGAATGCCCCCATAAATAAGCTGCGCATGCGCAAAGCCAAATTTTGACACTGATGTTAAATTTTCTTTTATTCCAAGTGGTTATGTACCAAATTTCATTTAAATCCCCCTATAAATCAGAAAGTTTGCACTGCGCATGCGCAAAACGAAATTTTGAAACTGGCGTAAAATTTGGTTTTATTCCAAGTGCCTATGTATCAAATTTTATTTAATTGCCTCCATAAATAAGGAAGTTGGCACTGCGCATGCGCAAAACCAAATTTTTAAACTGGCGTTAAATTTGCTTTTATTCCAAGTGGGTATGTATGCAATTCGGTCTGTAAATGGTTGAGATGCGCAAAGGGCACTGTGAATGCTGATCGATTAGGTTCAACTTTTGGAATTGTGTTTTATATGGCTAAAGCTATGCGCATATTGAATTTCATGCAATTCGGTTCATAACTAACGGAGATGTCAAAAGGGTCTACTTTATTTTTTGGGCTACATTGCCAATTCACGAACTCCGATCTACAAATTTGATAAAGAATCCACCTGCAAAATTTCATCGTAATCGGTCCATTCGTTTATGAGTTATCGTGCTAACGGACGGACGGACGGACACAACAAAATTATAAACTCGCTAGGAGCTCGTTAATAAATTGGACTCGCCGTCTAATGATATGGAAAAGCCTCATAAAGCTCTGACAAGTTGATAATGCGTTTCCTTTTCAGTTTCAGAAAGTCGAACTCAATCGAGCGCGTCATCAATTACGAAAAAAAGGAAGAACACCAACACCACAAATAATGGGATAGAGCAAGAACTAATGACGATTCATGTGTACAACTAAATGATCCCAGTGGTCCCCTCTATGTATCTCTCAGGTTGAGGCAGGAAACGCAAACGTGAAAGATGTTCCGATATAAAAATCCAACGTACAATTATAAACGTCAATGTAATCCAATATTCAAAACTAATCAATGTTTCAGGAATAATGGAAATTCGATGTTTAATGTATGCTGTAACTAAACCTTAATTAAAAGGTCTGAATCGTATTTTCTATTCAAATGTGAACGTTAATTAGTTGTTAAATACCCGCCGGGAATCTGTAATTTTTCCTTCCCTAAGGCGATGAGAGCGTAGACGCAATTTCCTCATATTTACCACAGAAACATAAATGCGCACCTTTACATAAACATTGCATAATTACACGTATCTTTGTGAATTGTAAACAAGATTTAATAATGCCCTACGCAGTTGGCTTAATCAGACAAAGAAAGTAAAAAATTTAAAGGGAGCATCATCAACATTTGTGTTTGATGGATAATTTCCTCTTGAAAGATTTTAAAATACCTTTCTTGAACAAACTGAGGTAGGTAGGTATTAATTAACGTAACCTTTAGTCAAAGCGGAAAAAATATAGAACTATGTATTTTTCTCGTTCTTAATGTTTTTAAGGGCTCAGTCCGAAATTCAACTTCGTTATCCCAAATTTAAACTATCACATTGGAATAAAAATAGAAGTTACATTCTCTTGACGGGTCTTTCGTAAAGAATTCAAAAGCTAGAGCCTATTTAGAGGTCAATTTCACGTTGGGCGTCTGAAAGATGAAAAATTCAGATTCAACAATTGACCTAAATGAGCACTTGCAGGTTTTTCATTAATTGATCGCTTTGAAAACGTTATCATCAATTGTTGCCTTTAAATAAAATGACGTAAGTACTCGCAATAGTGTAACATAATTTTTGTTGACGCCGGCGCCATAAGTGAGGTGACCAAGGAATAATTGTTTTTAGTTTGGTGTTTCATAAAAATAGTCATTTACATAAGTCAGGAAAATGACACATTGCTGGCGATTGAAGTACGAGGCCTTTTTTAATTTCCTGGGGGGCTGTATCCTTGATGGTACTCTAATGAAAGATCTCAACGAAAGGAATTAATTTCTACCCATCACAGTCCTCCTCCTCGACCTCTTATCGTGATCGGATATAATTCCTTACAAATCACAGACAGATTGTAGGAGGAGGTACTCGCAAAAGCCGATTGGGACGTCTGGAAGAAATTTATCCATTGATGTCAAAACTTTAAGAGCGAATATCTGGAAAACGGAGTGTCTCTTGAACTGAAATACTCAGCAAGCACAAACTTCATTTCCAACACGGTTTAAAACCGTGGAAAATCAACCCTCTAAATTTCGACAACCTGTAAAATTTCTATGATATGCAATGTGCATCTGGCAATAAATTGAATGGCAATTTACCTTGCTTTTGATTGAAGAAGAAATTGCAACCAGAAAACTGTATCAGAAAAAATATTAAATCGAATTAGTTACGCCGGCGACTAGCTCAATCGGTTCTCTTTTTACTTTACCTTTCTTACTTTAGTTTGGTTCCTCTAATATTAAATTGCCCAACAATTTGGGAATTGAAACATCAAAAATTTACACTTCAAACGCAATTTTAAGCTGTGTGAATAGCCCCTGAATTTGGTTGCCTTTGGAATTCGATTTGACTCCGTAAAATAAAAAGTCTGAAACGACTGGTCACAAATTCAGGGGTTTCTTTCGATAAAAATACAAATAGACAAAACAATAATTAACAGGTGATTTCTTTGATGCATTTTTAAACCCGACTATTTGAAATACTCTCTCTTTTTTCTGGAAATTAGGTTTAATGCCTTGGAAATCCTTTTAGTTAACTTTTTACATTGATTGGTTTTAACCGTATTTTAGTAATAACCCTAACGGGACGCAAACACACCCCTGACCGTAAAATGTGGCGTAATCCTTAACAGCTGGCTGGTCAAGTATGCGCGATTCTGCACAGATGGGTGCAAGGGTCTTACGGGATCGTGTTAAGGCAGTTAAGTTGCGTACGCGCTCTGGTCACGATCGTATAAGGGATGCTAATTAGAGCATCGGACGTATTAGTGAGTTTGGTGTAATAGCCCTTTAATGTGAGTGTCTCCCACGTGTAGATGGTGAGTGTCTCCCACGTGTAGGTGGTGAGTGTCTTGTGCAGGCCATCGTGCTGGTCGTGCATTGTTGTTGGGCTATGGTAAAACCCCTGGCAGATATCCGGAGGCTTTTAGAGTGCATTATGTGCATGTGCCTATGACGCGGTCCCGCGGGTAGCTCCCGTTGATTATACCGCTGAGTGATCTACTCGCTCGAGTAGATCATGGTGTCGACCCAATACGAAACATAAAGGCCTCATTGTTAACACAAACAGTTCGGGGGTGAGCTCGACCTGGATGTCGTTCCCAGGTAGGGCAATGAGTGACATAGATCGACGTTACTGATCTATTGGCCGAGGGTCCTAGTCAGAGGGCCAAGGATGTGTATCCTAAATAATACACGTACGCGCGGCGTAACCCTTTCCCAAATAGGTATGAGCTCCATCTTAACCCGTCAGGAAGCCATCTCCAAAGACGCATTCAACCCCAATCGCCAACCGGAGTATTCGGAGGTCCAGGAGAGCTTACTGCCAGTTCGGGGCTAACGCCACCCGGTGAGTTACTTAATTAATTAACGAGGATCGCGGTTAAGCAGTCGCGATATTTGTTTACATGACCCTTGAGCGCGGAAGACGACCAGTCAGACTGAATGCTGCCATGCCAACCCCTTATGCGTAGATTACAGAAGGACGTTTCTAATGAAAGGTGAGTTTACAGTAGATTTGTCGCATCTTAATAATGAGTTCTGACCAACAATTAGCTCCAATTAATTAGCGATTTCCTTAGTTGTTATATAAAATACCCCCCCTATTACAGAAGTAATTAAAAGAATATCTGGGAAGTAGGAAACTAAATCCTTACCAGCTGTACAATACCTACAGTTTTTTTTTCGAATTCTAAGCGAAAAACCGAAAACTTTCCCAAGTTTGCGAGCAGGTCCGTTGAATGAAAACCGATAGCAAACCCCTGAAGCAATAAAACCGTAAAATAGTTATTGCAAGATCTTAAAAGTCGATTCATTGTACTTATAAATAGGCATGGGAATTTTTTTTTATATATCGATAGGTATCGATAGTTATCGATATATCGAATAACAATAGGTAGAGCTAAAAAATCGATATATCGATAGATCGATAACTATCGATATATCGATACTAATCGATAAATATCGATATATCGATATGCCGATAACTATTGATATATCGATATGTCGATAACTTTTGATATATCGATATATCGATAACTATTGATATATCGATATGTCGATAACTATTGATATATCGATATGTCGATAACTATTGATATATCGATATGTGGATAACTATTGATATATCGATATATCGATACCTATTGGTACGATAAGATTATGTTATTATTGAGATTTCAACGAGCGCTACTATTTTTATTAATAAAATCCATTTTCGGGTTTACTCTCGTGTAAAGTTACTATTTTTAGTTGCTCGACGTTTCGGAGACTTCACTTTGCTCCCTTTCTCAAGAGAAGCGCTACGCCAACACATTTCCTAAAGATAAATTTAGCGTATGTTTTAAACCTCACCGTTCTCTACAATATCTCCTTAGAAATCCCAAAGACAATATCCCAGGTAAAAAACAAGGAGTTTACGAAATTCGTTGTACTAATTGTATGAGATCATACATAGGTCAGACTAATAGGAGTCTAAATGTCAGAGTACAAGAGCAGTTGTTGGCAATTAAACATCATACTACATCTTCTTCAGCAACACACCATCTGGACACTGGCCATTATACTGAACCAAACACTATAAAAGAAACGACAGTTTCCGAATTTCACAAATATGAAATAAAATACTTATCGATAAGTAAAATATATCGATAGGTAAGTACCCGATACTTATCGAGAGGTGAAAACAGTTATCGCCTATCCTTACTTATAAACGTGATGAAATAATCTAAGTATGATATACTACCAAAATTGTCATAATAAATTACATGGAAATAAAACTCATTTTAGTGAAGTCCATATTAAAGAAATCTGTAGAACAATAAAAACTGGCCCAAGATCTCCAAGTAGTCGTGGAAAAGCGGTTTCAAGTTACGATATAAATAAAACTGATACTTTTTAGTTAACTACTTTTTTAAAATTTAGTTCTGAAGTCTTGTTTTTGACTTTTGTTTAAAAAAATATAAATACAAAATTCAAAAACACGACATCGGTTGCACTACATTTCAAAATTTTACGGTAATTTACAAAACCCTAACAAAAAAGTTATGGAAGTTATAAAACGAGATAAGGCACTCAGCTCGCATTCGAATACACGACTTTTAATCCGGCTCATATTCAAGCACTTATTCCCCAACTCGTAGAAATCGATTGGCAAAGGTTTGACATTTTTTTTTTTAATGGCATGGAAGGTTATCCATTTGCCACAAGGTTATATAAGTTTATATAATTATTATTATATAATTATATATATTATTTATATAACTTTAAGTTGATTATATAAGCTGGTCAACTTTGTACAAGAAGTTGCATAGTAACTCAAATATTATTTTGGTTAAGAGAAAGTAAGTGAGCAACATTAACCGGTAATTGAACGTTATTAAGTAATAATCCATTGTAAAGTAGTTCAATTTCATCATTATTTTTTGAGCACTTAAAGAAGATATGGTTCATGTCGCATATAGAAGCATTATCGCATGAACACACAGCAGATGGAATAATGTGCAGCTTCGCGAGGTGAGCTGGGAATCTACCGTGGTTACATTTTAAGCGTGATATAGTAGCAGCTGACTTTTTGGAGAAGTTGAAGGTGAATATATGTGGGATGTCTTTTGGTAAGAAAGGATGAAGGAGGAAGTATTGGTTATAAGAACTATGGGAATTTTCCACCCATTTCTGATGCCACTTTTCCTCAATGCTTGCCTGATGCCACCTAATTAAATCAGATGCTGTTGAAATGTTTTTAGTTTTTCCAGTTCTAATGGAATCCTTTGCAAGATGGTCGACCATCTCATTGCCCCTGTATGACTTTTGGTCCGAATAAATGTGATATCTTTACTTGCTACTTTGTTTTTTATATCACATAATAGATTACATCTTTTTGGATTTTCCGTAATATTTTTTAAACCATCTAAAACGGATTTTGAGTCTGATACAATAACTGCTTCTTGTATATTATTATCCTCCAACCAATGTAGCGCTCTATCAATTGCCACAGCTTCTGCAGTAAATATAGAACAGACTGAAGGAAGTTTAATCTTCAAGGACTGATTAGTGTGAGGCATATATACTGCACATCCAGTGCTGCCATCTTCCTGTTTTGACCCATCCGTATATAATATTGTTTTCTCCAAGTGGTCACTCAATATGGATTTTAATATAATGTTTAGTATAGAGCAATCCGAGTATTGGGGAGTAATGATTTTGGTAATTGATATCAAGGAACTATAATCCATGTTGTAAGCAGGCATTTTTTTGCTACTTAGGTAGATATTGGGAGTACTGTTGGTTGCCAGGAAAGCATCTACTAATGGGGGGGGGGGAGGTTTTTATTCTCCAATACTTGTTTGTTAAAGTTTCGATTAATAACCCATATAGTTGCTGGATTAATTTAGATTCGTAAGACCTTAATTTAATTACAAATTTGGCCGATAACGATTCTCTTCGACTTTGCAAAGGAATTTCCTTACTTTCAGCAAGCAAAACAGATGTTGGAGTGGATTTCATAGATCCAAGGCCCTTAGGCATTTGTACTCTATGCGGTCGACACCTAGTAAATGACATTTGCTTGCAGCCCCATAAAACACGCAACCGTAATCCAATATAGATCGTACGTAGCTCCTGTAAAACATCAAGGCGACTTTGGGGTCTGCACCCCATCTTCTATTTGTAATACATTTGAGAAGATTGATACCTCCATCACATTTGCTTTTTACATACTGGACATGTTTTGACCACAGAAGTCGAGGATAATGCCAAGATATTTGTAATCTTTGACTACAGGAATTACATATCCTGATAGCATTATATTATTAGGCGTACGCAATCTGTGCCTAGTAAATATCATAATGGCCGATTTTTCAGGAGAGATGGTCAGTCCATGATTTATAGTCCATGTATCGACAAGTCGCATGATGTGCTGCAGGGCCTCCACACAATCATCATAACTTTTTTTTTGTATGTATATACAAATGTCGTCCGCATACTGCACACATTTTATAGAGTCGCTGAACAGATAATGTAAGTTTGCTGAAAATAAGTTGAATAGAATGGGGCTTAGAACCGATCCTTGTGGTAGGCCTATATGGGATATTCTTGGTCCGTGTATTTGGTTTAAGTGATCTCTAATATAAATAGTTCGATTAGAGAAAATGTTAGGAATGGTAGAAGATACTATGCGATCATAAATGAGTTGCTGTCGAGTCGCCTTTGAAATTTTTGTTTACATGGAAAATCGTATTTAAGTTGAACTTCCAAAGGCGACTCGACAGCAACTCATTTTTGATCGCCCGTTACTTTCCTTGAAATACCAATTTCACATAGCTTTGATTGTAATAAGGAAAGATCTACAGAGGTTTGACATCGCCGTTTCTTTTAGTTCTCTAGTTACAACGGACCGACGGACGGACAAAATCTTCAAATAAGTGATTTAACACACCTAATACAAGCAGGCGGGTCTGATTTTGGGTGATAGTTCGGATTATGTCAAACGTTTATAAACACACGTTTTTCGTTTTCTTAAATAATAAAGTATTCTATAATAAACTATCATTCCTCTTGACTTGTTCTACGAATACTTCAATAAGGAGAATTTCTTTCGAAAAATTCCTCTAAATAAGAAGTGAAAGTTAGGAAAAATGCGAATACAAAAAAATATGCACTAACCTTTATTGAAATCACTCTCGCATTGGCTGACGAATCTCCCTCGAAGATATCAAAAGCTGAAAATCTCTATATACACGTTTTCCAAAAGTGACTAAACTTGCTCCGATATTATGCAAGAGCACGTAAAATGTTAGAGAGAAATGCAATACATTCTTGAATAAAAGGTATCTACGGACAAATGGGCAAACATATAATAAGAAAACGAAGTAGGTAGGTACCTATACTCGTACCATGTACAACGTTAGTTGCATTATTTATTACGTTTCCGTTTTCACCGAAGAAACTCGCCTTGGTTCGTGTAGTAAAGATGGTTTTGCACTTTATTTTTGATCACGAGCGAGTGCTTCTTTTGTAAACGCTTTTAATATGTATTGCAGGACAGCTGCGCATTTCATATTGTACAACACAAAAAGAAGGCACGCACGGTGTGTATCAAATTTAGCATCTATTGAAAGGTTTCCACATTGTGAAAGTTTCAACCACTTTTGGAAACAATCATTAATCTCTTTTATAATACAATGAAAAATTGCAATTTCAAAATGAGAGCACCATAAATAATTACATTTTCCTATTTCGCGTTCTCATTTTGCAAAGGATTATAGCATTAAAGTACCTGCCTATTGTAATATTACAGAATATCGATAGCTGTCGCCCATCGGTGCAGCACTAAAATTGTGAGCATTGCTTGGAAAACGTTATTCGCAAAGTACACACGTGAAATGCACTGCACACGTGCGCCAATTACTCCAGCAAACATCGCGTTCAACCAACTGTGATTTTCCTTCAGCGCTGTCGGGGGTTTATTAATACGAGTAGAACATGAAATATTACATTTATGCGCAAACAGAAGATAAATAGAAGTTTTACCGACATTCAATTGCCCAGAGGTAAAAACTTGAAACCACTCACCTAAATCCCCCTCGGCCAACGGTCCAACAGCGCCAAAAAATCTTTTATCCAAAAGCTGCAGAAGTTGTAGGGCGGTGTCGCGAACGATCGGCCTGGGGCATCCCGTGTTCATAAGGGTTACGTTGATAATAGCGGTGTAATGATCGCAAGGATATTCTCTGCAAGTGAAAATTAATTATTGCGCATCTAACTTACGCTCTTACTTTGCGCTGAATATTGTCGCCAACGCCAAAAAGCAACCATCGGCGACGGCCTGCGTGCCCGTATAACAACGATCGACGACCCAGTCCAGAAGGTGTCCGATGTCCGGGTTACATTCCAATAGTAATACCACAGTTTCGCGAGCGAAATTGTACACCTTGAAAAAAAGGGATATATTACACTACGTGAAATTTCTGGCGTACGGTTATTTGCGGTTGAACAGTTAGAAAAAGAGATGACATGGGATGGTCAACCGAAGGTGCAGACTTCCCATATCAACAATCCGAGGTAAAAAACGTTTGAAAAAAAGGTGATAACATAAATTTCCGTCTGGTGCGCTCTGAAATTTGCAGACCTATGCGTACTTTAAGTTTTGAGTAGTGTTTCCTCATAAATAAGAAAGTTGACGCTTCGTGTGTTTGTTTTTAGTAGAACCAGTTATGCAATTGCGCATTCTGTACAAGCGCATACCTGATGTTAGTAATATGCGATATGTTTGCCTTTACTTCAACCCTCGTTGGTTAAAATTTCAAAAAAATATAGCCATAAATACTAAAGTTGAAATTGCGTAGTCTGCGCATACGCACTATCGTCGAGATTTTTCATGGCTCAGATGCCAGAGCTATAAGAGACCAAATTAAAAAAGAATGAACTAAATATATTGAAAACTGTACTAGTTAAATGGACGTACGTGCGGACATATTGCTAAAACCTAAAAGCTCTACATCCACCAGGAGGGGACGGCGCCCATAAGGCCCCAAGGATCACGGCCGGTGTGAAGTTGGCGTAAAAAAGACAAAGATTTCATAACGAACGCTAGAGGAAACAACAAAGGAAGCGTTAAGAAGGTCAGAAGGAGGGACCAACAAGGCTCGATAGCCATCGAACATCGAAAAACCCAAAGGAGGACACGAGAAAGCTCGAAGCCATGCATCGATACGGTCGGAAGCGGGCGTAGAAAAGACAAAGGTTGACCGGCGAAGGCTCGAAGAAAGCGCGAAGGACACGTGAAGAAGGTACGAAGGACTGAAGGAGGTGCGAACAAGGCTCGATAGAGATGTCCAAAAAGCTCGGAGACGACGTCAAAAAGTCCGAAGGAGGACCTAGAAAAATCCCGGACGTAAAGAAAACTTGAAAGCATTCATAAGACTTGCCAAGACACCTTATTAAGGCTTAAAGGAGGAGTAAATAAACAAGTATAAATTGTGCACAACTCTTGTGCAGATAAAGCGCATTTTTTAAACCGTAATAGCTTTTGTTTTGACACCACCAATGGATATATTTCTTGCAGACGTCGCAATCGCCCTTTGTGAGTACCCTCTTCCGACAATCCGGTATAAGGGAATATACCCGAGCACGATAAGAGGTCGAGGAAGAGACCTATGGTTGGTAGAAATTAATTCCTTTCGTTGAGACCTTTCATTAGAGTACCATGAAGGATAAAACTAAGTTCCACTTCCCCCCCCCTCCTCGCCGTACTTGATAAGAGGACAGAAAGAAAGGGCAGTAGTTGGTAGAAAACGGTCCCTTTCGTTGAGACCTTTAATTATAATACAATGAGAGATAAAATTAATTTTCACCCCCCCCCTCAGGCTCCGTCGCTCACTGATTCTCGAAAAGTTTACCATGAAGCGGAGCACATGTGTTTACTCCCCCCCCCCCCCAATTTTCTAAAGTTTAACTTGGCACCACTGAAGGCATTCGTATCAAAATCTGAGGCCAATTGGTTGTCGTATGTAAAAGTTATGCACGTTTTACTTTCAAAAACAGCATCTCAGGAGTGGGGGAGGTGGCCTTTTAGACAGCGAAATGTGATGGCCGTCTGCCACACGTTCAAGGTATAGGCTACCTACTGCAAAAAAATTCCAGGACTCTAGGACCATTCCCCTAGAAGTAGTTCGAAACAGACGGACGGACAAAACGCAAACAATAGCACATTTTTTTATTTCTTGAAAAATGTGCTAAAAAGGATGCGTTGTAAAAGAAGCAGGGTGGGAGATGTAAAGCAAGCAAGGTGTACGCTTGAAGAATGAATGAATAAGAGTAGAAGGAGATGCATCAAAGGCATGTGGGAAACGTAAAACAAGTAAAAACGTTTTCGCCCTAAGGTGAGTAACTTTAGCACATTTTCCATGCATTGATCAGTAATTACCAAAAGGTCATCTATGGTTAAAATTCAAAGAAATCTCTATAAGCTTGGCATTGCGCAGTTACCGCAGTCGGCGCATGCGTGATTTTTACAATGTGCGATATGTTTGCCTTTACTAGAAGCATCTGTGGTTAATAGTATATTATCATTGAGTAATCCTTCACTCAACGATATTATGCAATGAGCACTATTAAGACACGAGTATGAGAATTACGAAACGAGCCTTGGCGAGTAATGAATACGAGTGTCTTAATAGCCATTACATGGAAATACATCGAGAAAAAAGGTTACTGACAAAGAGCGATTGGAACGTTTGCACGAGACATATGTATGGGTGATGTAAAAGCTTCAAGTGCGAATATCTCAAAATGAATATGAATTGTTGGAAGAAGATGTTTCAAAAGCAACTTGCGTGCGGAAATGCTCAATTAGTCGTATCAAAGGGCTATTAATAGCGTTCGTTAAATTAAACGCCATTGTCAAGTAGGTAAGTTTGATTTCGTTTTCATGAATAATTAGGTGATTTTCTCTGATAACGCAATAAATAACATTACTACTCATTGAATAATTAAGTTGTTGTGTTTCCATAACAACACTTTTCCCTGCGGAGATAGGAAAGAGAAAAGTAAAATTTTCTCTAACGATAATGTCAAACTTTGGCGTCTACTACTCACTCGAACAGTGACGTTTTTGACATCTGAAGAAAAAATACATTATCACCTTAAACTTCTTGTATTAGCTAATTGTATATTGTTGTGTAAACTGCAGGGGGGTCTCGTTTCTCTAGGTTGAAATAATACCGAAGATGAGAGCGAACCACCTTGTGGTGTAAATGTACGTGTTGCCAACGTAGTTTCCGGCACAGAATAAGACCTTCACAGAACAGAAACATAAATGGCGCTAAATTGTCATAAAGTCACTAGATATAGAAAGTACCGCAATCATCCGCCATTTTTGGGCAAATTTGCTGCCAACTTAAAAAAATTTACAAATAAAATCTGAATAGCTGTAATTTTTTATAACCTAACTTCATAGTACTGTCATGTTTTATAAAAATATACACAGATATCTCCAAACAGGTGGAACAATCCCTAACATTAAAGTTACTAGAATCTGGTAACTTCCGCCATTTTTGGGCAAAAATCATGCGTTCTCTCTCTAACTCACGGGCCCAATGGATTGCGGTACTTTCTATATTTAGTGACTTTAAATTGTCAATGATTACAGCGTTTCCCGTGGTTGTACGGAGAACTATTTTTATTTCATACTATCTAGTAATCGCCGCTTTCCCAGACTGATTTGAGTCTGGTAAATCGTATTTTACCAGACTGAAAATTTTTACCAGACTGGAAATTTTGCCTAGCAACCGCAACTGACATCCATCTAAACGTATGCATTGATATTTGTCAAACTACTGTCATCAAACAAATCAAGTGATCGACTTTTGCTTTTATTTTAATGTGTACCTACAACATTCTAATCAAAATGGTATTTTAATAGAAATAGAGCAGTATGAAATAAAATGTTTTACATTATTTGTATGTCAAATCAGTTAACGTTACTCGTTTCGAAATTCCTGCCTCAGCTACGCTTCGGCAGTAAACATCTCACTCGTTAACGTAAACCTTGATTTACCATACTCATATGTAAATAACTAATCGCAAACTCAAATATTTTTTTGCAAAACCTGTAATTTCAATCAATTTCATGTCAATTTTGACTTTTGAAAGATTTAAAATATGAACAAGTTATGTGACGGTAAAAAGTGTTGTGTGGCGGATTGTAACGACAATTCAACTCATGTATAAAAAATCGCATAAGCCGCAGTGAAATTGTCACTTTGACAGCGGCAAAAGTTACCTGCACCTTTTCCAGCGACAAATGCACTAGTGGTTTTTTCACTTATTCATTTTCGATCCAATTATCGCATTATCCTTTGCCATATGACTATAGTCCGTTTTTAAACTAAGAGGAGTGATTTAAATAGCTCCCGCGAAAAATCTGCATTGTGATTGGCTTATACGGCGCCGTTTTTACACAGACGCAATTTGAGGATCTTGACAATTCAGTTGACATCTTTATTCGCTGTGTCATTTACAATTGTGTTATTCGTAGTTTATTTAATTTTGCCCTTTTCGTGTGTTTTAACTCTTGTTCAAATTTCAATTAAACAGTCAGTTCTTATTAGAACTAAACCGGGTACCTGTACTTGATTTTGTTGGTGCAAATACTTCGAAATATGGATTCCATGCCAAGTACTTAGTAAAGCGAACATTTCACCTGTAAAAAAGCGTACGCGTCTTAATTTGGCGCATTTATCGATCTCAGAAAAGCAGTTCATACTCGACTTATATAAACAGATGTTAAATGACGACCCTGGCACAAAGATGGTTACCATTGTTGCAAAAATTGATGAAGGCGCAGGTAAGAAACGAAATACACATTAAATGTTAATTTATCACACACACTTTTTTATATAGGAATTGCAAAATCCACGGTTTACCGAACAATAAAGGAGTATAAGAAAACGGGAGCTGTAACACCTTCTAAAACGTTCGGGGGGTCGCCCACCTTTGGTATCGCAATTTGACGAAAGCATAAAATCATCAGTTCGTCAAATTATTCACAACTTTTTCTACCTCAATGAACTTCCCACGTTGGACAAAATCAATAGTCGTGAAGATTTATCACAAATGTGTCCTTCATCTACTTGAACGTGACGACATAATAAGATGGAGACGAAAGCATTTAAAATCTATTAAACAATATAGGAACCAAGGACGAGTCATATATTACTTAGATGAAACATGGTTAAATGAAGGCCATACAAAACAGTGTGGACTGATGATAACGTTCGTACTCGACGACAAGCGTTTGAGGAAGGATTGTCTACCGGTTTAAAAAATCCTTCTGGAAAAGGGAAACGTCTCATTATTTTACATGTTGGCTCTGAAAACAGTTTCGTAAACGAGGGTCTACTACTTTTTGAAGGAAGAAAAACATCCATTATCACGAAGAAATGAATGCGGAAGTGTCTGAAGAATGGTTTGCATCTTTCTTAGTGAAAATTCCTGAAAATGCTGTAACTTTACAATATATTGTAGCTAGCACCTTTTGATTTTATAAAATGATTGCATTTATGTCTACATAATAATTAAAATTTCTTGTCAACCAAATTGTGTAGGGTAAAGTGTATTAAAAAGCCATAAAAATGATCAACACTGCATTTTTTTATAATGTATGCCTTATGTAGTAGGCAACCCATAATGCACATGTGTACGTATGTATGATACTTAAAACAATTGCCCAAAAGTTACTAAATTTAGTAACTTTTTCGGATGTAAATCAGACTTTTCAATTTACTCCTCTTAGTTTAAAAACAGAGTATAGTTTGACGTCTGTCAATAATTGATTAGTTTGGTGAATTTCTTGTTCGTTAAATTGTCCTGCCGAATTACACTCGAGGTTTGTATTTAAACCGAGCAAATTTGGGCTGTGGCAATTCAAATCTGTTTCCTTTAGCAATTGGACTCGAAAAACTGTCAACCTAAAAATGCTCCACCTGCGGTGTCGCATTTTTATTAGTTGACAGTTTTTCTCGTCTAATTGCTAGGCAACAGATTTTCATTACCTAAACAACCCAAATTTACTCGGTAAAATACAAACCTCTTGTGCAATTATAAGTGATAAAATATCAAAAAGGCATCGTTTCCCATATTTTGAAACAGACTGTTTTGTGCTTGAAACGCGAAGAGGATTGAAATGTGCTGTTATTTCTTTCCTATTTATGCAAGGTATGGAATTTATAAAATACCAACGGTATAGGCGCAAAAGGGTGTAGACTTGAGTTTATTTATATAGACGTAGATACTTATTTTGTAATTCCTTTTAGACAATGAATACAAAATACGTTTTAGATAATTCAACAACTTCCACCCTCGCTTCTCAAGTAACAAGTAAGCACCAGAATCAAGTTAACATTTGTTGTCAAAAACTTGTGTGACAATTTGCTGAAACGGTTTTATTACCTCTTGGAAAAAAAAATTTAGTTCTAAAGATATTTTTTAACAAAAATATGTAGTCCAAACAGCTTTTAAAACCAAATATTTCGTACGACAAATCGTTATGTAAGGATCTTTCTTCAAAGTGTTAACATCTACAAAACGTAAGTTCCACTCGCTTCTGAGTTTTATATGTAATTTGTAAACATGTAATTTAAGATGTTTGTGTTAAATAATGTAATGTGATTGTATCTAAATATACTTGCAATTTAACAACTGTGTATTCTTTATCTATATTTGTGATTTAGATCGAATTGGGGAAATTACTTCATGGATTTAGAAGCTGATTACCAGATGGCGCTACTCTGATTTTGATGCTTTAGTTCACAGTACACCCACCAGGGTCCGCCAAAATACCATACAAATTTGTAGCATTGCTGTTTCTATTCTGAGAAGGCCGTATTCTGTGGTTTCCGGTTTACGCTTTGAAATAGTAGTATGTAAAATGTTTGTATTTATTTAATGGAACCTGGGTAAATTCGACCAAAAAGACAAAAAATTGGAAAATTTGTTAAACTGCCATTGTAATATTAGTTTTTGTTTTTAATTACAAATTTAGTAATTGTGTAAGTCGTGTAAGTTTATTCGTTAAGTATCATATATTTTAGAACGCTTCAATGAGAGAATATCAATCGTAATGGTCAGATGTTTTGTAAAGGCGTTATCGGACAAATTAATTGGCTTTATTTACTAACCACGCCATGTGCGAGATAATGAAGCGGTGTTTCGAGTCTCACCAGGAAACTAGGAGATGGATCGGATGAGTGGAGGTGCATTGCCCATTACGCCCTTTAAGTACGAAGGGGAAAAAAACAAACGGGGTTTAACTAGCAAGGCGGGTGTTGCGGATCGTTTAAAAGAAGTATATGTCAATGTTACGCTAAATGTATTACGAGTAAGTTTTCTTGCAATGCAATGTGTCGGAACCCAGTCATGCCTTCACAGGAATTTTAAAAAGAAAGAAGAAAATAATGGTAATTTGAGATATTTAAGTCTATTGGGAGGTAACGCACACAGCAATATCTATTATATTATGTAATAGTGTGTTTGTTTTCAACACCTTCCGATAGTTGCATGAATTGCGAGATCTGTAAATTTTTGTTAAATAAACGCATGATTTAAAAGATTCGCTTTCAGTCACAGACCGCGTTCATCGAGTCACATTCACGAGTTTCGTTAAAAAATACATTCCATTTGCAATCTCGTTTTCTGTTTTTACTTACTCGCATTCAAATCAAATCTTTTCAGAGAAAACAAAAAATTCTCCAAACGAAAATATAATTTTTCTCTCTCTTTACCCTTTAAAAACCAAATCAACGAATAATGCAATTATTCATTGCGTCGATGCGTACTTGCACAAATTAATTTTATATTGTACATTGCTGTTGGTTACAAAGCAGGCCAATTAACTAGGATGAATGCGTTCGAATTTTTCACCGGACATGTACGACAAAAATTTCCATTTCAAATGCAACTATCGCCAAAAACTTCCGAATCTGATTGAAACTTCGCTCTAACATTGCAAGAACTTACCTTCTCCTCTGTGCTTTCCAGCATTACATCCAACCAGTGGTAAAAAGGTCCATCTTCTGCAAGTCCTTGGTGGTCAAAGCATGGGCCGCAACACAGCAAGGCGCTCATTGCTTGCAAAGCGGCCAGCTGGAGATCCGTCGACTTCTTATATGCTTGCTCCAGATCGCCGCTTCCGTGCCGTACCAAAGTGCCATAACGACCGGACCACGCCGAAAAAAGATTGAATAAATTCCTTCGTAAGTCCCTCTTCAGCAGCGTCTGACAGGTTTCCACTAAATGAAAATTGTAATAAAAACTCCCGCATCGGCTTATACTTACAGGAGAAGCTCTTAATCATTTTTCTAATAAAGTTGCAGAAATGAAGCGTAATTTCCTTAACAGCGCTGGAATTTTTATCAGGTTCGCTTTCCAAATATAATCTCGCTCCATCCATGTACTCGACAAACGTGGGATGAAGAGATTGGGCGTCTCTGTCCAACACGCAAGGACTATCGCCAAATGTTCCGTACTCCGCAATTAACTCCAAAACGCGTATTAATTGCAATCGTAACGCATCCCTACGCCGCCTTCGCCTCACGTTCTCCTGTTTGCGATCGACAGCTTCCCTAATATAGATCAAAAGTTCCTCCATTAAATCTCTGCAAATTACCACGATAACGCGACCTCTAATTACACAGGTACAATACATACTTGAGCGCGTCGCTGTTCACCTTTCCTAAAGCCAAAACCGCGGTGTCTCTGACGTCAGCAATTTCGCATCGCAAAAGTGGAACGACAAGTTTGTAAAGCGAAACGGGAGATATATTGACTCCTGGTGCTTTATTGTCGCTCCGTTCGGCGCTTAAGCTATCAGGCGATGAGCTAGAAGTTTAATAAGGGGTTGAACTCGTGGTAATCATAAACGGAACTCTTCGCACATGAATGATATCAATTAAATGATGTAATTTAGCGAAAGACTACAAGCTAGATACGCCCGAGCGCCTTTTAGCGCCGCTGTTACGAAGCAGAATAAAAACGAAATTTTCGTAAAACTTAATCTAACTCCATTCCATCCACTTTCATCCGGAACCTCATCATCATATTCCCTTTTTTTTTGCTAAAGAAATCCCTAAAAGCATATTGCCTAGACAGTCTATTTTTGTACAGAATGTCACTATTTTTTTATTGCGACAATACTTTTCCGGTAACCTCCGAGACCGATCCGAAACCGCCGACCTTGCCCGGAAGCATTACTTTAATCTTCTGGTGGCGCTCGAGTTAGTTCGCCCGTTCCGCCACATCGCATCCAGGTTGCCTCCGACTGCCGCTACTTTTGCCCGCTGGTGTGATTTAATTCCAATCATTTGTAAAATTCTTTACTTTTCGTTTCTTTTCATTTGATGTATAGCCTTTATGATTTTATTGCGGTTTAGCTTTTTTCCAGCTTAATTACAAAAATTCCTATTACGGACCTGTATTAGCTTTTTGATTAAATAAATAATTAGCTAGGACAATTAACGGTTTATATCAACAACCTATTTAATAGAAATCCAATGAGTGGATTAAAACAACAATTTAATAGGAAAAAAAACATAAAAACAAATCTAATTAAATTAACAGAAGATATAATTAGAATTAAACCCCCATAAAAAGAAATCAAGCGGATTGTATCGAGTGAACGCCCGGACCAAGCCGTTTCCGAATGCGTGCTAATCCCTTTTTCTGGAAATCCCATTCAAAGGTATTTCTGTGTGGCTGTAGAATGATGTGCAGGTGCACCATCCTGCTGTCACGAAGCACCCGATCTCCGCTTGAAAATTACCAGTTTTAGTGATCACTCTGTAGATCAACACCCGGTATTGAAAAACGTTTAAGTTGGGCGATTAGTTACGAAAGATTGTCGCCCCGCAAATATTTATTTCTGTGTAGGAGTTGGAAATATACGGTAGAAATTATTTGTCGTTAAGCACCGTTAAGCAAAAATAAGAGGCCGTATGTAATTTGCCGTTTGCAACCGTTCCTGTAGCAATATTTAAATTGTTTTTACAGCCGCCGAAAGCTCTCTTGTCAGGAAGAAGAGAGAGAATCAATCTCATTCGGTTTTAAGGCCGTTAATTACCCATTAATCGACTTTAGTCCAAGGAACACAAGGGAATTGCTGGACTGCCAAATTTGGAGATTTCATTTCGACTATTTGGATAAGTATAATTAATCGTAATTGGTTGAATGGGTTACAGTAACCGCGTCCGATTAAGTCGAGATTACATCCGTTAGGTGCGCCCTTAAAAAATTGAATTTTGACACCGATCTCGTATTTTTAAGACATCGTCTAGGTGGAAAACCCCAATTTATATAAAGTAAAGGCTTAATTTAAGGATCTTTTTGCCATTTTTATTTGTCATAAGTACGTTAAATTACCTAGTAGATTTTATTTTGCATTCAAACCGGTTAATTTTTGCATTTACATATTTAATTTACCGTACCGAATCTATAGCTTTTGCTTTTTCATGAACAGTAATTGCTACCGCTCCTTAATTGCCAGGTAAGCTTTTTGTCTCGCTTCCTGCATTTACTTTCCCGTAGAAACCGCTTCAAAATCCGATTATTAAAGTTTCCGCTTATGGAAATTGCCGTGCACTTAAATTTGTTTTAGCATTCACCACTGGCCGGTCGCTTACTCTTTACAATGACTGTGGCCGCAATTCTCCATTCGAGTTACCTGGAGCTTAGCATCGCAGACCGCATATTGTCCAGAAGCAAGAAAGACCGAACATTTCTGGTGGCGCCCGAAGCACTTCCGTTCCACCGGACATTAACCAATTAAAAATTAGACATCGCCATTTTGGGAGATATCCCGCCATTCTAGGCGTTCAAAATATTACGATGTAACTAAGCGTATAACGAATCGCCTATTTCGTATATGAAATCTACCAGCTTTAATGACCACAAAGTATACAATCCGTTTAAGATAAAAAGGTCACCTTAATATACATTTATTTGGCGAGATACGAAAAATTTCTCATTCATAAATTTATATGTGACGTAATTCGTTACTAAGAACCCATAGCTTCCAGATTTAATTATTTCTTTTAAGAGTGAGAAATAGAAGGTAAAAATAATGTTTTAAGTTCTAAACATAGTTAAACCTGATAAAGTAACCTGTCGCTTGATCCCAAAACTCCGGGACGCGATCGGTGTTAATTCAACTACCGAATTTCGGAATTTCAAGCCGACCAATTAAGTAAGTATAATTAAATTGGTTGCAGTATCAGTTAACGATTTTCAACAGTTTTTTTTAATCAATTTCATGCTTGCAGCTCGGGGTCCGTGTAATGTCATGTAACCCAAATTTCTAATTATTAACAATGCCAACAACGCAAATTTCTTAAAGAATTAATTTTATGCAAACCAAGAAAAAATCATAGTACCTCATATAGAGCTTCCTGAGGAAACGACGGTTTTCATAGAATCCAAACTCAGTACGGCCATTTGTAAAGGGATGCTACCTTCGAAATTGACCAATGTAAAGGCAAAATTGCATCTAAGAGAGGGCCGCAGTCGGCATTTCACCATTCTCTTAAAGATTGATGCGGCTGACTGTCTGCGTTTACGGTCTGCCGTCAAATAACTGGCTTGCTCAATACTATCTATTACGAATTTATTCAAAAATTCAAAACAGCAACAATTTAAAACTTTAAACTTTGAAAAGAGGAAATTTTTAAATATTCCAAAACCGCCACACTGGCTTTAAATTGATACGTCGGAAAACCTCCGGGCGATTAAAGTTGATTTTTCCCTCCTTTTTCGCAATAATCAAAAAATATAAAAAAACGGTTTGTCACGGTTTTACTTTTATACGTATAATTTCTCTCGATTTTAAAACACTCAGCAACTGGGTCAATCAAACCTCTTTTTGGTTAAATTGACCCGTAATTAATCTGCTTCCGATATTTTAACCGTCTACTACCAAAATAAATATTAAAAAATTGCCCCAACCAAATTTTATTCGAGACGGTTTGATGACGTTCTCGTGGTTCAAGGCGGAATGCTTTTCTATTGATCACCCGCAGTGAACTCCGAGACGAATGCTCTTATTCTCCTGGATTAATCCCTACTCATCTTTTCAATTTAAAAAGTCACCGACAAAAAGGTGCTAAGTAATTAAATCGGACATCTTTAATCATGAACCACTCTCGTGGTACAGATCAAACGTCGTCACGATAGACTGAAGAATGCGGGAAAGAAAAACAAAAGTTTCACAACATTTTATTTAAAGGAAAATTAACACATTATTCACCCCACTATGAAGGGAAGGACCCATCTTGTGCTAATTTCAATATTGTTTGCTATAATGCGGGTTTTAAAAATTCGACCAATAAAAAATGTTCATTTAAATGTTCCAGGAATTTTTTGAGAGGAGTTTAACTATTTCTGTGGGATGAATAGATTATACATAATTGAATACAGCGTACAACAAGTTAAAAAGTAATCGTAAACGATTTACATAAAGCGCATTTCCATTTGCATTCATTTCCCATTATTGTAAGATGCAACTTCTATTAAAATCGTAAAAATCCGGCCACAAATATGAAAGATAGCGTTGCACATGGGCAATCCATTTTTGACGTGCTACTTCAATTTCAGTTTATGAGAAGAATTTCATTTCAATGCTTTTCTAAATAAGAAAGTTGGAACTGCGCATGCGCAAACCTAAATTTTAAAACTAATGTTAGATTTTCCTTTGTTCCAAGCGCCTAAGTATCAAATTTCACTTAAATGCTTCCATAGATAAAAAAGTTGGCACTGCGCATGCGCAAAATAAAATTTTGAAACTGGCGCTAGATTTTCCTTTATTCCAAGTGCCTATGTATCAAATTTCATTTAAATTCTTCCATAAATAAAAAAGTTGGCACTGCGCATGCGCAAAACCAAATTTTGAAATTGGCGTTTGATTTTCCTTTATTCCAGTGCCTATGTATCAAATTTCATTTAAATTCTTCCATAAATAAAAAAGTTGGCACTGCGCATGCGCAAAACCAAATTTTGAAATTGGCGTTTGATTTTCCTTTATCCCAAATGCCTATGTATCAAATTTCGTTTAAATTCTTCCATAAATAAAAAAGTTGGCACTGCGCATGCGCAAAACCAAATTTTGAAATTGGCGTTTGATTTTCCTTTATCCCAAGTGCCTATGTATCAAATTTCGTTTAAATTCTTCCATAAATAAAAAAGTTGGCACTGCGCATGCGCAAAACCAAATTTTGAAATTGGCGTTTGATTTTCCTTTATTCGAAGTGCTTATGTATCAAATTTCGTTTAAATTCTTCCATAAATAAAAAAGTTGGCACTGCGCATGCGCAAAACCAAATTTTGAAATTGGCAACTGGCGCTAGACTTTCCTTTATTCCAAGTGCCTATGTATCAAATTTCATTCAAATACTTTTATAAGTAAAAAATTTTGCAATTCGGTTTATAAATGGTCGAGATGCGAAAAGGGCACTGTGAATTTTGAATCGATTCGATTCAACTTTCGGCGTTGCGTATTATATGGCTAAATCTATGCCCATATTGAATTTCATGCAATTCAGTTCATAACTAACGGAGATGTAAAAGTGATCGAACATTTCTAAACAAAGTTATCGTTCATACGGACAGATAGATGGACAGACAGACAAAGGAACAGACGGACAGACCAACAGGCAGACGACAGATAGCAATGCAAAATTATAAACGATCCTAGGATCGTTAATAAACGGCAAAAGTGTAAAATTATGGAACATGTAAAAAACGGTTTTTTGTTTTTTTTACAATAACTTTTTTTGTAAGCGGTACAGAAAAAATTCCTTCCTTGGTACAAGACTCGACACCATAACGAACCAAATAGCGAAAAAAGTAGAACAATAGCTCTTAAGATAAAGAACTAGTAGCGTTGCAAAACGAGCGGACGGACGGACGGACGGACAAAGTGGCCACAATAGCGCATTTTTTTTTTATTTTTGTGGAAATACGCTAAAAATGGACAAGTACCACTATAAAAGCTACGACAGAAGGAATAAAGAGCGTAATTATTCGTACATGCGAATAAATATTTAATTAAACTTCACGTGTCAAAGGGAATTTAAACGCAATTTAAACGCAATTTAAACATAGCAATGGGGTTGAAAACAAACCCTCAGAAGTTCGAATTTCAGCATAAATCGAATAATGTCAACACGAAAGAATGCAAAATTGAATTTTTGCTATTTAAAAGCGCACAGAGTAGAAATCGATTCCATAAACAATCCAGACTTCCTACATTGAAGAAATAAAACGCTATTATTAAAACGTCCGTGTTTGAGATATCGGCGCAATATGGTAATTTTAATTACAACCTTCAGGTCGCGATTAGGTTCATCAAAAGCGACGAGTATGAATGAATCTTTTGAATAATTGTCCACAAATCCACTTACCTTTCTCAAGAACTTGTACCCTCAGCCGATCACAAATCAAATTACTCAAACTGTGGGGTACTTTTTTTTAATGAAAAATGAGCAACGGTTCACTAGGAAACCATGTGTGGGCCATCAAGGACAACTAAGAGGGAAAATCCAAATATTCCAATTGTACAATTTCCAATATCCCCGCAATTTCTAGGATGACAAACAGATGTGAAAACCCTCATTCCAAAGTACTGTCGTTTACTTTGAATGCTTCTGTAGAATAGTGACAAACGGTTTAGGAATCTAAACTAGCACTACAACTAAAGCTACCACTACAAATACGATGAACCTAAAAACTGTGGAGCTCCTGTTGCAGTGTGTGTGTGTGTGATCAATGTATGATGTGTAATTTGCAATTTGGTGCAATAAACTAGTATTAATGTTCGTCACCTGATGCGTTTAGGCTGTTTCCGAATGGCTGAAAGTGGTAAGGTAAATCTTCCGGAAGAAATCAACCCTTGGGCTTGTACCAAATTTTCGAGACTCGTACTAAGGTCGCTCGATTCAACTATATTCTCCAGCGAACTTACAAAAAGTAAAGATATTTTACAATTGGTTACCGCGCACAGACACGGACGCATACATGTAACTAAGCGAACAATCTGCACCGAAAGCACTTCGACGAAAATCAATTGTAACTTACCTCAAACTTAAGTCCGGACTCGCGCATCTCACGATTGGGTTCGGAACTGGGGGAACGACTCGAAATGCAAACGTCACGTAGTTCTTCCAGAGGTGTATGTAAACGTCACGTTCGTTCGTGGGCTTCCGAACGGCGGCCGAACTTCGCAAAAGGGACGCTCTATTATCATTGACAGGGCTGTAACGATACAATCACAGACATTTTACAAAACACACCGATAAACTTACGTTGGGTCAATTACGGGGAAAAGCGTGTTCACCCGCGTGAATATGATAGGCCAACTGTGATTCACTACAGTCGGGCATAATCCCAAGATTCTGTCTCGTTCCAAAAATCCAAACAAGTAAATGCTCCACGGATCGAACACGTTGAGGTTGAAGCTCGACCCGTTTTTCAGATTGCCATCTTCGTGGAGCCCGGCTGTCCAGATGCAGGCGCTTCGGTCAGCGAGCCACTGTAAGTCAATGGATGACATCGCCTGCGCTGCCGCCTTCTCTGCCGCTGGGAGATGAGGTAGGCATTTTTCGAGGATCTGAGGACAGCAGCGATCAATAACGTCGATAACGGGAACGTCTTCGGAGCAGTTGATGGTTTTAAGCAAAATTTTGACGTCCTTTAAAATGTGAACGGAAAGTCGGCGTGGGGACAGACGGACATTGCAGAGCATAACCAGCGCGTATGCTTCGACAAGATGGAGTACGGAAGAGATCGGCTCCGATTTCTGCGAGTCCGGTTTCTTTGGGTTGCCCATGTCGCGGAAAACTGGTTTCGTGTGCTCGCTGCTGTTGGAGTCTTTGCCCAAACGCATGGTGGAAGTGTTTGTGATGTTCCCGGTGAAAGTGTTCTTCCACGCCGTTAGCAGCTGAAGAAGCATGCGTAGGCCATTGTCGACGAGCTGAGGGAAAGTGTCCAAAACGTCGCGGGCCAAAAACTGGGTAAAACCCCAAACGACGTCCTGTCGCCAGTCGGGAAAGTCGATGACTAAAGTTTGAAGACTTTGATACGCCAACCCTCGCAATTCCTCGTCCATGTGGACTGTCAGACGCGCCAAAAGATCGACTAACTCAGCGCCGGTCATTCCATCGGGAATCAAGCGAGGTACGGCAGCGACGCACGTCCGGAACAAGTCAATGCGTGGCTTACGTTCGCCAGTTATCATCTCATCCGGCTCTTTATTTACATTTTGGGTGCTCGTCATCATCAGCGGGCGCCCGTACTGCGCATCGAGCGCCCTGAGTATATCCACGAACACCCTGCGCACATGCGGAAAATACGCGCTCATCCCAATACTACGCGCCGTATCCTCAGTCAACATTTTATTAAGAAACGTCTTCCGGACCCTCAAAGTATTTCCACTGGGCAAAACTCCCATAGATCTGGGCATAGGGGGCTCCCCTTCTTTCTGCTGTAAGCTATCGGCGACGACCAAAAACGCACGTAGCCCAATACTCATACGTTCCGGGGTCAAAATTATTTTAATCGGACGCCCCACGGATAACAAATCGAAAACGATCTCCCTCATCGCAAAATCCAGACGTTCCTGCGCGATGAACTGAATAATCTTAACGAATATATTTAAAGGAGTGTCTCGCGGAACGACCGCCTTGGATCCCTTCGGAAAAAGGGAATTGACGATGCTCTGTAGGCGCGATTGGGTCGCCGAATTACTTTCGCACTTAATTCGTATCATGTAAACCCATAAAAGTCGATACAATGATTCTGAAAAAAACAATGAAGCTGTAACATGCACATTCATTAGGCTGCCACTAATTAAACTTGTCAAAATCGTTTGATGGGGGATTCAAATGTGATTAATTGTACTTGAAATGCGCTCAATACTCTGTCGTCGCTTGGATTACGTTAAATGACCAATTCCGAGAACTATTAAATAGTTGACTTTAAATAGGCCAGTGACGGAGATGACTGACGACTTTTCAAAATGTCCCTCGCGATTTGATGGATCAAAGGACAGCGACGTAAAGGCTTTTATTGACCCCGTGGAAATATACAAAGATTGGACGAACACGCTTTTGTCTTCCCATGCTTTTAGATGGATTCGCCGCTACGTGGTTCCAAGGGGTACGAACAACCCTGAACGACTGGAAAAACGCGGTCGATTTACTGAGAATCACTTTTGATCCCAAAAGAGGGAGAGACTTTCGATTCTTCGGCCGATAAACCGCTACCGTTCACAATAAAAAGAAGTGCATGTATTGCAAAAATGTTGGACATTTAAAAGAAGAGTGCTAAACTTGCAAAACATAGCCAAGCACGCGATAGTTGTGAGGGTACATCTAAACCTACTAGTTCAAAAACGCGGTCCCTTCAACTTCTAAAGCGATCAACAACAAAAATAAACGGCAGATCACATGCTATGGTTGCGGTGGTTCTGGGTACGTGAAAAGCAACTGCTCCACCTGTTGAGAAAAAATATCCAAATACGTTCCGACGTGCAGAAATTCTGTCTGGACCATTAGTTCCGGTTCAAATCAACACGCATTATGACTACCAGTTCATTTGTCGTAACACAGTTAGTATTTTTTTTATTAGTAAGTTAATGTCAAAATTGTATTACTACCAAGCTTGTTTACCAACACTTGTTTAACGTGTGTATGTAAAAATAAAATATTTATACTCGTATTACGACCATCATATTATTTTTTGAACAACCCGACAAAGAATCAAACGATGATTTTGATCTTAGGCGAGAGACCGATGGAGCACCATACACCGAAGATCTCATTATAACTCTTGCTGGTGGAGAAGTTAAGAGAACAAATCACATGCCAACCCTAGACTTAAAATCAAGGTAGGTACCACCATGTGTTCGTGCGACCCACAGACAGAGATAAAACTGTGTTTGGAACACATCCGCATGCCGTTTGGCTTAAAAAATGCGCCAGCTACAGTCCACCACCTCAAACAAATTAAAAATTTGGAAAATCTGTTATTTGAAGTAATTAGCTAACAGTAACATAACATTTTAAATCATTTTTGTACCATTAGGGTTACTTACCTAAAGCTACCCGACACATTTTAGGATCTCTATTCTTAAGATGTGACAAGCACATCGCTAAGAAATAGTGCCAACTCTGTAAGAAGAAAGTCTTCTGACTGACGCACAGTAGACAGGTAACGAGAGGAAAGAGAGCTAGCCGATGTTTCGACTTAGTACTGGCATCCAACGTTTGGGAGTACAGCATTTCGACAAAATTCTTCAAACAGGGAACGTTTACTTCATTTTTGACGATCTGGAAGTACAGATACCTAGAATAAAGTTCGAGAGCACAAATATCGATACTTACGGCGGCTACAGGTACAAGTATTTCCACAAATAAACCGGCAAGCGCGTGCTTAATATCTTTATCTTTAACCTCGAGAAAATACTGCGCACACTCTTGCATAAATTGGAATGAAGCCTCAAATTCCTCGATCGGTACCATTTTGACGCGAAAAAACTTCATACCCATTAGCAGGCTTATTATCGACTGTGTGGTGTGAGTTGTGGGTTCTTTCGATCGCCACTCCTTCAATTCGACCATGAATCGTTTGCGAACTGACATAAATCGCGACTGGGCCAACGCACCTATGACTTCCGCGTATAAGTCGGCGATAATGTGTATATTTGCCGAGTTGGGGCCCATTTGTGTACTGCAAGTAGACAAGATTAGGGGGTCCAGTGAATTTTCCTCCTATACCAGTTTCCCATTTAAGTTTAAGATTCAGTGCATTAAGAGACTGTATATAATGTCTGTCCGTCCGACTAGGTGTATGAGCACACAGATTTCCAAAATACTTTCACGCTTTCAATCAAATTCTGTTGTAGATTGTTGTAAAATTATAGAATAGTGAGAATTTGATTGCCTTGGAATTGCTTTTTGCACAGAAGGCAGTGGAATTCGTTCCTAAACTGGATCCTGAAAATGAAACGTACAGCCGACGATTCCAATGTCTTTGAAGATCAAACTTGAAGGTCAAGTAGCGGGCAAAATTGAAGGTTAAATAGACGGCAAATTTGAAGGTGAAATAGAGGGAGGATATGAAGGTAAAATACAGGACGCACCAATTCGGCTCGTTCGGCATAACTCGTGCTCTTCCGTAAACTCGCCCCTCTCCATCTACGGTCGCAAACGACGTTTATTAACGGCCAAACACATACTACACACTTTTCAATCCTACATCTAATATAAAAAACGGCTTTCTTTGCAAAACCGTAGAACTCAAATTTTTTTTTATATTGCCTTTATTTTATAGTGGGCGGAGTGTTAGCAATTTGCTAGTCTTCCCACTCAACCCACTATACAATCACAAACAGCCATGCCTTACCTGGGAATCGAACCCAGGACCCTTGTAGCCAAAGTTAGAGCTACTAACGTAAGCTCATCCGATGTACTTGTTCTTTAAGATTCGTTCGCAAAAGATTCACTTTCACTGGTTTCCGTTTTTGCACTTTTGCAGTTCAGGCTCAGGTTCATCTTGAATGGGTTGTGATATGGGTCAGCGCCTAAGCAATGGCGGCGACACGTTCGAGTATAAACAAAATATTAAATTGTTATTTTTATTTCTTAAATGCGTACGCTGCCCGACGTACTTAATGTGTGACACATATTTCAGTGGTAGTTTCTGAGATGTTACATGTTTCATATTTTTATTTCTGAGATGTAACATGCATATTATTTGGCAGTGTGTGAAGCCACAGTTATAAAAGTAAAAGGTATCAATTTTTAAAAAAATGGAAAAAGGTTTTGACCTTAAACGACAAAATATTGAAAATGTTCACCCAACGCAAACACTAACACAGCGTCCAGATTGGGCTCGAATATGTTTTAGACGAGGTTTTAGATCAGTAGCGAAAATTCCAATTTATAATTAAAAGCGAGTATTCGCAAGGGCAACTTACATAATACATAGCGCTCCAAAACCACAACAAAATGCAACTAACCTTTTACGGTTGTGTTCCAAAATCTCTATGACGCCTTCTTCCTTGACAACTATCTATTTACAATTGATAGCTCCATGCATGCGTACATATGAATAAATTTGTATAGTACATACAACACAAATAATAACTAATCTCGAACACCCTGTATGTAAAATTGTATTGTAGTGTACGCAACATATGCCATACGTGTATTGTGAGGTCCCACAAGCCAGCAGAGCCATTTTAGAAAAATGAAGGACGAAATAAATCAGAATTATAGGCTGATTATAGGCTTTTTTTTAGACACTACAACAAGTTTTCAGGCGGCATCCTTTAAACAAAAAAACTATGATTTTGCTGGCTAAAGAAGAAGCTAGCTGATCACATGTGCGATACGTTATGCGCATGCCCAAAATTTGTGCCTTGTAATTAATATCGATCCAATAACAGTCAGTGACTGAATAAAGACAGTGTGGTCATATGCTCTATATCCGCCATGTTTTTCCCTGTTAGAGAGAGAACGCATGTTTTTTGCCCAAAAATTGCGGAAGTTACCAGATTCTAGTAACTTCAATGTTAGGGATTGTTCCACCTGTTTGGAGACATCACTGTCAAGTAGGTATTTGAAATTTGAATTTTCTTTTACTAATAAATCAAATATATAGCAAGTTGTTGTGTTTCAGGTTTTAAAAAAAGTAATGTTAAAAGTGTCTTAGTTGTCTATGCATCTTCTCTTATATTATAGGAGAAGAAAAGTTGAAACGATATTCCTGAATTGGAAAGAAGTACAAAAAAAATTAAAATTATTCGTCTCATTATATTATTAACGAACCTCGAGATCGTTTATAATTTTGTATTGCTGCCTGTCTGTCCGTCTGTCTGTCCGTCTGTCTGGCAGTGTGTACGATAACTTTGTGTAGAAATGTCCGATCGCTTTAAAAATTGATATACACATGTTCTTCAGGATATAACAAAGTTCGCAATTGTTTTTCGGCTACGTAGACCAACGGGCCAAAAAGTTGCAGACCAAAAGCTGCGCAAACCTCCAAAAAGGGTTTCTAACTCTTGTTACAAAGAACATTAGAATGTCCGGTTTTCTGTGTTAGTAAATATTCCTTAAACTTCAGGCAACTATGCAGATGCAAACAAATACTGCGCATGCGCATAACAACTTTTGTATTTGCGCAATCCTAATTTTTTACTTGTTAATATAGTTAAATGAAATTCTGTATCTAGGCACTTCGAATAAAACTGAAACTAATGCCAAATCAAAAAATTTGTTTTGCGCATGCGCAGTCGGTTTTCTTTTATTTGTTAAGGTATTTAAATGAAATGTTGTATTCAGGCACCTCAAATAAAAGTAAAACTAATTCCATTTCAAAAAATTTGTGTTACAAGCTATGCTGATCAGGTGGGACAGAATCAACCCCTTAGGGTGTATTGTAAAAATGAGGTATGTGTGAAGATCTCGAGGATCGTTTGGTATTCAGTTGTATCGGATTTTTGAAATATAAGTTAGAGTTTAAATAAATATGTATATTAATTGGGCGAAAGCCCGTTGAGGGCCCAGAACAAGAGAGGGACAATAAATAGCCAATAAATAAATAATTTTTATTTATCCACTACATCTCCGAGAGGGGCAAAATCAAACTGATCTGAATGATAGTTTTTTTTGTTTAAAGGATGCCGCCTGAAAATTTGTTGTAGTGTCTAAAAAAAGCCTATAAATAGCCTATAATTTTGTGATCTGAATTTTTCGCCTTCGAAGCAAATCTCACAAGTGGTCAGCTAGCTTCGTCTTTAGCCAGCAGTGGCATAGTTTTTCTCTTTAAAGGATGCCGCCTGAAAATTTGTTAAAGTGTCCAAAAAGGGCCTATAATCAGCCTATAATTCTGATGTATTTCATCCTTCATTTTTCTAAAATGGCTCTGCTGTCTTGTGGGACCTTGTATTGTGCATTGCCTACTTAGAGTGGGTTCATAGCTCTCCATTCATCCGTTGCGTTAATCAAACGGATAGTACATTAACATTCCGTCGACATAGTACTGTTAAATGTAACAAACATAACCTTACTCTTGTGAAACACGGACCAACGGAAACATAAATGTTCAACTTCAACCAACTTTTCCGAATAAACGGACGACGTACGATTTAAAAATGTACTGTCTTGTGATTGGCTAACGAACAAACGGAAACCTATGAACGGAGAGCAATGAATCTTAATTTTAGATGCAACATGGCGGCTGAGCTCTTATATTGTCGTCTCTGTCTCTATAGTCACTGTAGCTTTAAATACAGGGTCTTTATAGAGTATAGAATCACTGTAGCTTTAAATTTTTGCCATCATCATCTAATGCATCAATCCATAAGCGTAATTTTAGTAAACATGTTTATGCTGCTACTCAATAGAGGACGCTTTTAAGTGAAACCCATTGAACTGTATACTTCAAGAATCAAGTGTGCGAGTGAGAAATGGGTCAGTTTACCACATTATTAAGTATCTATTCCATTAACAAATAGATATGGGCACTTATAAAAGCATCGACAAGCATTTATCTTTTGCTCTCTAAGGCCCCAACCTCCCACTATATTTACTTATCTGTATTTTTAACCAAATACATGTGATTGGTCCTACACATGCAATACAAAACAACGTGTCAGACAAGGATGACAATACCTACGTTATGATGGTTACCTAAAATCATAGGGGCACGCGACTTTGGCGCTCGATGCCGTTCAAGTTATAGAGTAATAATAGTACATATAACCTAAATTATTAATCTAGGAACTTTATGTTTATTGTAATTTATTATTATTTATTATTATTTATGTCTGTAATCTAGGGACTTTATATCTAATAGTATATTTGTGTTACCCATAAAGGTTAGCAATCTGTTGTTTGTATAAAAAAATATGCAGAGCTACACTTTCGGGTTTTTTCCAACAAACATGCCTTTGCACCCATATCCCAATGTCAGTTTTTTATTAGAATTGGCCAAAAAATATCGCCAATGGAATTCCGCGTAGTTGGCGCTCCAGGTGAGTGCGGGTCGCCACTGGTAAGAACGGTCAATTCTAAGAAAGGCTAATACCACATTGGATACAATCAAGTAAAAAGAAAAAGGACTAGTAGGAAAAGGAAAAAGAAAATCTCCCTAACCAAAGCAAAGTTCCCAATTCTGTTGTAATAAAGAAGACAAAGATGACTACAACACAAAAGCATTAAAGCAATCTTGTCATCAAGACAAGAACTGCCTGCGCCATCTAATCACGTTGTAATGTAATGTTTTGCCGGATTTGATAAGGAAACTTACAAGAGACAATACCGACTGCTGCAAAATAAAGAAACTTGTCAAGACATCTGGACAATTTGTGTGTTGCACCCCAGTTGATGGACAGATATCATGATCCCATAAATTTGTCAAAATTTATTTTGTAAAAATCGTTAACTCTGACTCACTCTGTATAATAGCTTCAATAATAAAAATACTAAAGGCAAGGAGCTCACCTTTCGCGGTACTTAAAATGTTTGAAAGCTAAGTTCTCGATGTAAAGCACCAAGTCCTCGTGACCTGGATGGAAAGACAACTGCCTTAAAACTTCTATCAAAACTAAACAAAAAATGAACTCGACAGCCAAATCTCGCCTCTCCTGTTGAATGTCGGCCTCGCTACGCTCAATTGTTTCGGGCGCATTCCCTGATACGATATACATGATACTAAAAACTCACGTTGAACAACATTAAATGATTAGAAGGCAAACCTTTTCGCTTTCTGGTCGGTTTTTTTCTGCTCGACACCCGGAACCTCGGACATTTGCCGTTCATACCACGAGAACAAAGCTCTGAGTAGCGACGGCAGGCAATGTTCGGCGACCGATCCGAAAGCGCTGAGCAACTGATCAAACTGGGAATCCTCGCCTCTCTGCAGAGTTTTCGAGAGCGGCTTCTCCTAATCGTACAATAAAAAATCCGTGGCAAAGAAGTGAAAGGTATAACGTACCGACGATTCGGTCATCACGCCCTCGATCTTCTTTTCTGCCTGTATGGTGAAATCGGCGAATAAATTGCGCATGACGAACTCGCCGGGACGAATCTCCATGTCGATGGAAAGGCCGCTGGGCTGATGCGAACGGTCTTTGTGGGTACCCCAAGGTAAAAACGTGCCGCGAATGTTGAACGTACTTGATGTGCTGCTGCTCGTGAGCTTGTCAACCTCTACAAATTGGCGTTTGAGTATTAACAGATAACTGCAAGGGGGAAACCACTCAAGGGATACACACTATCTTGACATTACAATGCATTACTCAATTTCCCACACTTCGTCCAAAATTCTCGGCTGTGTAGTTTTTTTATTATACACAGATCCCGAGTCTTGGATTGGTGCATATTATAATTTTAACAGGGGGGTTGATGGAGCTTTGAGCCTTTAGAGTCCTTAAAGCCTTTCGTTACCACTTAATGCCACAGGGGATAATCCATTGTTCTGGCAATACTGGCTTGCTCCAAAGTTACTTGTAATTCCTCATAAATACAAAAACAATCAGCTAATTCATAGTACTATAGTGAGTGGTTTCCCCTTCACATAACTGTGAAATGTGTACCTTGCATTCCAATGTTTGTAACCAATATAGTATTCGCACACTCTGTCGTGAACGTTGACGAACTTATATAGGTAGAAATGATCGACTTTTCAGAGAAGGACGTGTGACCGCTGTGTGTATCCGACCCGCTCTGTGTGGAATCCACATCGGAATCGGGACCACTTGATGCGACATCTAAAAACAAGTAGATAGAGGTAATACCGCACATGAGCCTCTTACCAGTCGCATTGTCGTGTCCTGCTGTGTAATCAATACCGTTGTCAGTCATCGCTATTCCCTTATAATCCTGTTAATAAATATTTAAATATAGCTAGAGACATTTTAAGGTTAAGTTGGCTAGGACGTTTCCCTTTTACACAAATTCGATTCTCCTAAATGCACAGTTTAATTAGGCGGTTACATGATTACGTTTAATTATAATTTAATTAAGCCCAAAAGGGCCATAAATAAAATTGTTTAATTATTTTGTTGATATTTTTTATGTTTGGATGTGTCTAACGATACGCACAAACTGCAGCTTGAAAGGGCGTTTACAATGATGTTGTACAGGGTATTTCTTTAAAATGGCCAGTTTTGGCAAAAAAACTGGAAAGATCTAAATTCACTTTTATTAATAGACTACTAATAGACTAATGAAAACTATTTCAAACAATCAAAGTCAACGGCATTTTTTATACCTACACATGATGCAATGGAGGTTAAATCATGTCAAATTTCAAAAACAAGAATAATGAAAAAAGAACATAAATAAATAAATGTAGAGTACTACAGTAAAACCACGGTAACCTTAGAAAAAGTATGCTTTGCGCAGCTAATATAGAAGGCATCAGTGGCGTATCCAGAAATTTTGTTCGGGGAGGGCTCGAACTTTTAAATACATAAAACAATTTTTACAAGACGAAATTTAATTTCCTATTTTTTTTACATTCTACAAATTTATCAATTACCATGTCATCGGCAATCACAATATCTCTATGGATTGCGAAGGCGTGAAATGTGAAACCGCAGTACAACAGTGCAGTGCAATTGCGCAGTGCGCTGATTGCTTGTTATGGAAATGGAAACATAATACACTAGCGATTAAAAACCCTAAAAACAGTTCAGTAAGCTTAGGTACCTGACATTAGCCCGTTTTGTGCATTCCTATATTTTTCTCGGAAAATTAGGTAGGTAAGCGTAACCCAAACTGTTAAAATATGTCTTTTTAAATACCCACTCTTTTTTTCCCGTTCTTACATATCCTTTCCTTATTGGCAGAAAATATTAAGATGATTGGCAACTTTTCGGGGGGGGGGGGCTGCAGCCCCTTCAGCCCCCCCTCTGAATACGCGTCTGGAAGGCATGGAAAGGGATTCTACATTCCCAGTAAGAAGTAGTTCGTTTGTAGGCTCAGTGCGCTATTGATTATTGCTCAGTCTAATGTTAAGTTAAATGACTATTGTAGAATTGAGTAATGTGTTATTAACTAGTAATAAATAATCGATAACTTTCTTAATTATATTGACATTAATACCATGAGTAATGTGCAAATACTACTTCTGTTCTGGTTGTAGTTCTCTGTTCCGAATGTACATTATAACCGAACCTGGTAAGAAACGCCGATCAAGTGCGGACGAATCCGAACATGTATGCGCAAATTTTCTAAGGTTACGATGGTTTTACTGTACCTGTATTGAATAACACAAAAAACCAACAAACTGCACAATGGTATCTCAACGACAGCTCAAACCAAGATAGCCCTAACGTAAAAAAGCGTTCCCGCTGTTGAGACGGCGCCGCAGGTACCGCTTCCCCGTCGCGTGGCTTCCAGTTTTCCAAAATGTGTGCATCGTCTTCGTCATATGTACTTACAGGATAAAACTGCTCAACTTCCTTGGAAATGAAACGAGACCAAAAAGAGCTGACCTTGAACATTAAATATGACACTTCACCTTGAAAATGATATGATAAAAAAGTTGACCTTGAAAATAAAATCACGCTCCAAAAAAGGAAGAATAGCGGGTGTTCATTCACCTTGACCTACTTTCCAAGGTGACCGCTGCGGTAGATGACTTGAACTTCACCTTGCGCTACTTTCCAAGGTCATAGCAAGGTAGTGAGCGAGCTTGTACGGTCCAGGTACGCCCTTGCTCATTTACAAATTTTAAAAACTCTGAAAGACCTTTCCTGAAACCAGAAGTTACGTACATCTCTTCCACAACTTTTCATTTCAGACGTCTCTAGGCTATTGTATTATTAAAAATGACTTAGGTAGTTTTATAGTGGGTCTGTAAGGTTATCGACACTTAGCTCTCGTTCCCGAATCTTATAAATGGCTTCTGAAGCATTGAAACACTTTTCAGATTAATACGATCTTACATAGCAATCTATACCTTCTACAAAACGTTTCTAGCGTATTTTCTGTGCGTCTTATCAAGCCCTTCCCTAAATTTTTAAGCTCTTTTAAGGCTCATTATAGTACCGTTAGTGATACGTCCCAAGACAATCAGTCTCGTCATCAAATCCTAGCGCAAATGCTTCCCAATAAGCTACTGCTTATAGTTAACAAATGGACGTCAAATATATTTATTAATTAGTAGTTAGCTTAAACATTTCTATATACATTCATGAAGACCCCATCTTTCGCCTGACACCAATTTTTGCTACAATACTTGGTATTTTTTTGCTCAATGACGTGGAAAGTGTACGCATTTCTTTGTTTGTCCGATTTATTACTCTCACTGGAGTGAACCACCTGCCCGTGTATTAAGATACAACTGCCTGAAACAGAAGGTGACATTAAATGACACGAAACAAGCGTGTCACACCTTTCTTAACCGGAACTGCGGTAAAACTGCTTTTCTGATAGTGCGGAGAGGGGCCGGTGTACATCAGCGGGGGATCGGCGGCGGGATCCGGATTTCGTATGAATCGCCTGTGTACGCCGCTTTTGTGCGAACCTCTCGCAAACCATAAGCAGCCATTTTCGAGTGTTGCATCGTCCAGTGCTATCCAAAAACCGATTGTTTTTAAAGGTTCCGTATATAGGTAGCTGGCATCTTGATGGGGTAATACTAAAACAATCCAAAAATTCTATAAGGTACCCACTCCTGAATAAATTGTTTCGTAAAACTATATCCAAAACAATGTTGTAAACCTTGCCCTCTGCTTCTTATCGTAATTAGAGCAGATAAGGCTATTTGTTAAAGTATTAAAAAATAATGAACGACACGTACCTTCGCCACCAATTTTTGGGTTTTTGAAAATATACATGCTCTGCACAATGACTGGCTCTGCCATTTTGAGTTGGAAGCAAACTTCTTTGACGCGTTCGTCGAAGGAAATCTTCCTAAACAGCTGGTTATCCCTATGCAGTGTGTGACCAATTTTATTAAAAGCCAAATGTGGATCCACCAACAGCTCACCGTCACCTCCAACGGCCCCCTTCTCATAAAAGAAACTCACCTTATCCGCACTATCCAAAAGGTACTGATTTTTAAGCTGGAACCAAACAAAACTTTAGGCAGCATAATTTAAATCCGCACCTACCGCTTCGTTATCATCTGTGCTGAATATCGCCGTTTCGGTTTGGGGTGGCATTTCGTCGATTACTTTATTTATTTCATTCTTGAGCTCCTCAGTCTCTTCAGACGATAAAAAGTTGTCAATGAGGACGTATCCATCTCTGTGAAACTACGAAAGTAATTATTACCGGCTGAATTATGATAACAATTCACTTACTTGTTCAAAAATGTTTTCAAACATGTTGAATTCGAGTTTAATGAGCGATTGCTCTTCTCACTTTGATTGAGATTATCTGCTGCGTTCTAAAGACTTGCGCGTTGGTTTATGAATGATTATGAGTAAGTTTTCCGTTCAAAATTTCAACTTGCGTAAGTGTGTTTACAGTTTAAAAATAGAATGCATCTCCCAATGTGGTTTTTATGAGATATTTTAAGAATACATTGCGTCCTTCAATACGCAATTTTTGCCGTGAATAAATATTTTGAGCGTGACTCCAACTTCCTTTTTGCGTCAAAAATTGTTTACATTCTCCTTTGTTTTACTCAAATATAATTAAAGCTATGCGGGGGGGTGCTTGGCTTACGCAAATAGAATGTAGGCTAAATTCTACAAAAGGCTTAATAGATTTATTTATAGACATCCTAGCTTATGCAAGTACTTGTAACAAAATAGAACACTTTGGTATCTTATCTATGAGTCGGTAAAAGCAGTGCGCCTCGAAAATTCATCTATTAATTAAAATGGTATAATTATGTAAAATATTATCAAAGTTCATATTTTATATCAATTTGAAAAATAGTGGCAGCGTTTCTCGTTTATGCAATACCATCATAAATGGCAATCTATTTACCACCTAGTAAAACGTGTCCTTGTTGAACCAGAGAAATGGAGATTCGATACAAGTGATAAATGTAATTATAAATCACAGTTTTTGTGAAGTCAGGTCTACATCAAGTGTTTAATGATTCCCATTCAAGCATGCGCAGTTCGATCTACATAACTCTATGGATCGGAAGGAAAAAAAAAGAATAAATTATAAACAAATTTTACAAAATATAATTATCAAATCATTCATCAACAGTTTAGCATTTATACAAACCTTGCATAATTTTCAACAATATAAAATTCGACCGTTTTTTGCTTGGAACAATTAAAATAGTGACCTTATATCTATAAGTGCGAAAGAGGAACAAAACCTTATAATTATAACTGTCAATTCAATCACAGTGCCGACCCCCATACATATATTTTAGACTGATGAATCATGATCTCATTTCTACTTCTCTACCTGCGATTAAGAATCTAATACCCGCACGCAAATGTTATGCTATTGTACACACCCTGTATAAAGAAGACTCATACACTTATAAAAAGTGGTATCTGTAGAGTATATTGTGACAATGTATCAAATAAATTAATATTATCATTATGCAAAATTGTTTCAAGATAGCAACAATAATTATCCACGTTTAGGCTTATCTAAATAATAAGTTATACGTTTTAGAGATAATAAAATGTCACTTTATAAATCCAATGATAATGACTAATTTTTATTGTTTCAGGTAAATTACTGTAAGTAACATTACTTAATGTACATGTATAGCTGAGATCAATTTAATGTTGGGACGTATGCGTAAGTATGCCATTTCGAATTTAGAACAGTTTTGTAAAATCGTTTCAACTGACTAACCTAAATCACAAACTAAAAACCAATTCTAACACATCTTACTATTTGGCTATCACACTAAGAAAAAAAACTACCCTGCTGCACCACGTTCTAATTCAACTATCTTGCAGATCTTCGTCAAACTCGGTGAACATAAACATGGCATCCTGAGGAGCTGCGTATCTTGCTACAGAATCTGGTAATGAAAAGATTAAATGGTAATTGTCTAAATAAACTAATTCTGAGATGGGCAACGAGCAAAGTGCAACGATACAAGATGAAGAAATGAGACAGAGCTACAGTGACTTAAGACCTTCACCTCAAGAATTGTGGGCAGTGCTTTCAAAAGTGCCGTATTGCTCATGCGAATTTTCTGAAAATTAAGAAGACATTCAATCAGAGCTGCAAAGAAAAAGAAGAGAAGTTCATGCAATTTTATTAAAACAGCCAAGCGCTCCAGACTGAAAATAAGCATTTCCACCCACCCTTTAATCTCCCTCAAATAAAAAACAAAGTGAGCTCCTTTTATCCTCAGCGTGCGAAAAGTATTCTCCTATTTTTTTAAATTTTTTTGTGACTGCTGGTACCAAACTGGTAACAAAAGCGTATTCGAGAAGGGGAGAGATCGACGCGACACGTGGCGGAGAAATATGTAACTAACCTAAACGGGATAAATAATAAGCATTATGGCTGAATGTACGTTAAATTCGTCCTCTTTAAAAAAAATAAGAGCAAGAATTATTGTTGTGTGCCTCAGTGTTTCACTGGATATGATACGATACATACAAAACACAATTTAACCCCGTTTACACCGCCCATTTTGTTTTGTGGTAGCGCCATCTGTTATCACTTCCCTTCTCGAATTAGCACCTCTGATTTGTTTGCATTTGTTTCTGAATTCAGATCTGTGGATAGGATATTATTGGATATGCCCTTTCAAATTTTGAAAATTGTTTCCAAAATTTCTACCCCAAGGAAGCACACCCTTGAACGAATTTACCTTTGTATGTTCTTTAGGTACAACATTGAAAACCTACTAATGAGTAAAAGACTCTTAAGTGATATGTGCAAATTATATTTGTAGATAATTTGAAAGTGAATATTCGATAAAATCAACCTTCCAAAAAATTTTTCAAACAGCGAACCAACCTGTTTCTTTTATCTTTTTTTTAAAGAAAGTGTAACAAAGCACCCGTTATTCGTCTTCACGTTTTTCGCCTTGACGTTTGCCAGTTTTAGTGATCACTCTGTAGATAAACACCCGGTATCTAGAAGCGTTGTAAGTTGGGCGGTTTGTTACAAAATGTTTCATGCTGAGAGTATTTGTGTTGGTTCTACGAAATGAAGATAAATGATTTAATTTCTAGAGTTGTGTTTCCGACTGTGCCACCGTAAATATAGCTGCAATTAATTCGCCATTTGCAACAATTCCCGTCAAGTAATTTCACTTACTTATGTTGCGTCTGCAAGCTCGTATCATTTAGATTTTAGAAGAAGACCAGGGCACATAGATATTTTATAATTTCAGCCACGTTAAGCCATTATTAGCGGGTTTTTGTTTTATATGGTAATTTAAATCGAGCATTAAAACTACAAGACCATGCCATGCAGGTTTACGCCGATATCAGTTTTGATAAGCGACCTTTATGTAGACCTGAGAAATTTCAATTAACAATGAGCCTTACTGGACTACCAACTTTAGAAATTTCAAGACGGCCAAATAAAAATGTCTAAAATTGGCAGTTTTTAACCTATATCTATCTACATCTTACATGGGTAGTAAGATACAATACCACCAAAAAGTCAAACTTTTCGCTTTCACCCTGTATCTCAGAAACAAACGTAACTAGATCGATACTGTTTGTGGTATTAAAAGTTTCACAAAAGAGTGGCACAGGGCCGCGAAACCGCAAGGGTCCATCTTTAACAGCTGAGATACACTGCAGTCCGCACTAAAATAGGACACATAGTACATAGAAATAGTCGGTAACATGACCTTTCGGGAAGTACTGATCAATTCATGGAAAATGCGCTAAAGGCGAAAACCTTTTTTTCATTTTTTAAAGAATTATTGGCAAAATAAAAAATAAATATTGGAAAAAGTATTCCTGTCGAACTAAAACTGACATATCTCGGCGTTTATTAGTAACTAGAATTAAATAGTGCATAAAGCCTGAAACAAATGAGACACGAATAGACGAATATGAATAGAAAACGTAAACCTCTCCAATTATGTTTTTAATTACCCAATCTCATGTAATACAATATTAGCGACCCACTTACCTATGTAAATAAGTAAGGTAATATTCACTCGAAGATTTTGTGCTTCATGATACCTCCTATTACATGTTTTCAAACTATCTCAACACGAAACTACTCCAATACATTGGCTATCTAATGTAAAAAATCTTTGCTCTCATGCCATATGAAGTTATAGCACTAATACTTCGCTGGTCGTTTCAATGTTAGCAATTATCAAATTAATGTCAGTTGCCAGGCATTTATGTACTAGCGCCATCTACATTCAACCCAAGAGGAATGTTATTGTTGTTAATTTAAGAAAAGAAAGCGATAGATGTACCTGAACCTTCATTAAAACAAGATCCCACCACCAGTTAATTTTTTGGAAATACATGACTATTTACAGTGCATAGTACGAGAAAATACTTTGTATAGCATGCCACTTAAGCGGGTTTAGACGCACCTTTCCGAAACTTTTCACTGCCTTGTATTAAGTATTGCACCAAAGCGTGGATGAGGCATGCAACAAGAGCAAAGATGCCAAACGCTCTAAACGTTTTTGAGCCACCAATCTCTTCAAGTAATAATCCCGCAATGAAACTTCCCAGTGAAACTCCGACACCTTCAAATACTGCACCAACCATTCCCTAAAATACAAAGTTACACATCAACTTTAATGAAGGAGATAAACCTGTGTCGTTGTTTCAGTTCCAGGTGGCGCCACAATGCTAGCATAGGAGGCCATGGTGGCATAGAACAGTCCAAACGTAAGTCCATTTAAACATTCTATCGGTAATGTCCACCATGGGTTTACCAGTATGGAATAAAACATAAATCGCACTCCCATGACCAAAAGCACTAAGCTCATCGCGTGCACATGGCCGATCCGCTTCAGTATCCAACTGGAGAGAAAAAAGAAGGGTAGTTCTCCTCCAAGACACTGAATACCCATAACTAAACCTTCGATTGTCTTAATGCAAGCTTGCGTTTCGTAGCTATGTTTGGACGCCAAATCTTCCAAATGCCAAAACAAAAAATTCCACATCATTGCCGTGCACAAACCCATGCAAATGCACCACAACGTAAATACTAAGATACGAATATTCGTTAAGAGCCTACACATATCTTTTAAAATACTGCTTGAAATCGCCTGATGTGAATACTTAAAAAAAAACGAGCCAATCAAATTTCTCTAAAAAAACCCGAACACTTACCTGTATTTGGTAAGAAACAACTACGCACAGTAATAACACCGCGACGCCCATGCCAAAAACCGGTACGTAGTTTTTGTCAGTCTCATCCGCATTGCTGAACTGGTCAACTAGGATTCCGGATATAATCGAGAAAATCCCCCACCCCAAAGCGCCACACATCCTTTGGTAGCCGTACTTGTGCGGTTTATGACCTAAACAGGAGTTATCATACGTTTAAAACGGGGGGGTCTTACCTAATAGCTGAAAACAAAGGGTGTCTGCCACACTAACCGTAACCGCCTGTCCGATCCACGCGATCAGGTAGACCATGAGGAGCAGCCAAAACTGGTGGTAATCGCTGACGTTCGTGACTTGTTCAGTCGTCGTCATCATGTTGTCGATGACTTGGGCATTGCAATTGATGTCGCAGTCTGTAGTGATCTGATGGTAAAGTGGGCAAAATGGTTCGATGTCTTGCGCTTGCTTGATTGTAACGCTAGGCGTTCTGAAATAAATGCAGGTGTCGATTTGAAAGGAATGGTTTAAGGGTACGCGCGCATCGAACGTGATTCGCGATGTTTTACGCTCGCAAGACGACGAGATGTTCCAATATTTACAGGCGATGTCCCAATCTCTCGCTTTGAAGGGACAGTCCATCTGAAAATGAGAATTGGGATCAAGACCTGCCTCGAGAAAATAATCAGCATACAGGGTGGTTCAAATTCGTGACTCGCCATTGGGACTGAGTTGCCCCTTTTTGTGACTTAAAAAAACGCACCGAAAAACTGAACATGTCAAATTTCGTTTTCATTTTCCCCAGCTTAAATGTTCGGAAAGAGGCATTTAGCACCTTCTATAGGCACTTTTTTTCTGAGAACCCGAATCTGTTTTAGAATTTCTATAACAGGCTACTGCTTTATTATTCCTTATGGACGCCATATTGGATTTTTACGGAATGAGATAGAGGACCACAAAAGAGAAATAATGGCGTGTCACACATAAATTTACAAGAAAAATTTCAAAATCAAATGTTTTACGTTCATTTCGCTACAAAACATCCACAGGTAACTAGATCTTACTGAATCAACATGGCTACTATTCCAATGCATTCAAATGACATAAAAGTCCAGTAAGCATTTTCTATCATTATTTTCGAACAAGATAGATATATGAAATAACTTATTGCACCATTGGTCTTTTAGTAAATAGTTCCATTAAACAAATGTGTACTCGAATTTTAAACAGGTACCCGTTCCTCTGGAATTTAAAAGTAAAATCAATTGTCACAGTGCGACATCAACGAAAAAAGAAATTTTTAAAAAACCCTATATTATATTAATATTTGTGTAGATATAAGAAATTCACGTTTGTATTTTAGAACAGCTTATGCTTCAATCCTTTTTGTAAGTAAAAGAAGAGACGTATTTAATGAGTCCAAAAGTTTCCTAACAAAAAATTTGTTATTTTAGAAACAAACCTTCAATGCGGTATTCTGCTGATGAGGTGACATTAGAAAATGGTCATGCAGTACTACGGTTGCATCCCTACCATTGCGTTTTCAATTCCAACGAAAATATATGAAGAAATTGCAAACACTATAACCGATACATTGGTAGGAAAAGTATACATGCTGTCCATTTTTCGAGTGCCACTATGGGGATCTCACTTATCTTAAGAGATAGAAAGTTGGTTAAATGAGGGCAAAGTTGCCAATTTTCTCTCTTCTCAAAAAATTAAAAATTGTATTTTTAGGAAAAATGTGATACTGAACCACCATGTGTGATATATCGTTATAAAGAGAAAAAAAGACGTAATCTCAAAATGCGAAAATTCAAAATGGCGCCCATAAGAAAAACTAAAGTTTCCACGCGTTTCTCCGTCATCTTGAAAGTTATTAAAAACAGGATGCCATATTTGAAATATCCATTAAAAGTGTCCGAATAATGTGTTAATTAGAAATGTCTACTACGATTAGTTTATGATAAAAAAAATTAAAAACGAAAATCAGAAATTTTCGTTTTTTTGCGATATCTTCAAAACTATTGAAAATATTTCAAATTTCTTTTCAGATTCTTATTCGGCACGAAAATTGGCAACTTTGCCCCCATTTAACCAACATTCTATCTCTTAAGATAAGCCAGATCCCCATAGTGGCACTCGAAAAATGGACACCGTGTATGGCAGAAAAAATTGTTTAGATACGCACTGTAAAGCATACCAACAAAATTATTTTAGATTAGTGGCAGAGAGAAGTTCAGTTTGACCGAGAAGTGGCCCCACTAATAATTACTTAATTTGGAAGATGACATTTTTTGTAACTCAGATTAGTGCTGCCCCGGTTTATTCAAATATCAACCTCAACATCAGTGGCGTACGTAGAAATGTATTCTGGGGGGGGGGGGGATTAAACAAGTTCGTGGCACATACAGTCACCCAGTGCGTACTAGAAGGTGGGGGGAGGGGGCTAGGGCTAAGAAATAGAAATTGGGTTGCAGGTTGCTGATGCTGGTAGTCATTTATCTATTTATTATTGTACAGGCGAAAAAGATTAGATTAGAATGGTATTTTATTTCTTACTGCTGACAGGCCCCTTTATTGCTTTTGCTTTAATTAGTCAACGAACACTGAATAATAGGTATATTTATGGGCAAAAAACCACTTTCGACAAAAAATTCAAAGGGCTGTAACTTTTGACCTAGTAGTCCGATATTGGAACTGTTTGGAATTATGGATTCTACAGGCCACATTCTATAAGAAAATATTTTTTTCCGGTCGATCTGAGACAATTTTTTTTTCTGGGCAAAAAAAAGGCAGTTATTACGTATAACCTTCCTTTTTTACCAAAAATCGACTGCACCAAAATTTCTCGGGAAAACACTTTTTCTTATTAATTTGGGTGCGTAGAATCCAAATCAATTCGTACTTTNCATCCACATCTGAAGAGGTCTAAAACTTTTTAACTACTATTTTGACGGTTCTGAATTTTTAGACACTGATAGACAGTTTACTTGCAAGCATTTTTTGTCTCTTGATGAATATCGCTATCTGTGATGGTTTACGAAAAAAAAAAAAATTTAGGCATGATGAATGGCATGCACCATACATGCGATTGTTCCTCAAAAACCATAAGTGCAAGCAAGAAGTAGGCTATGAAACCGTAGTGCAAGCAAGTAATGTAGAATAAACGAACACAACAGAGTAAGTCAATGTAATGTATTAATTTAAACGTACTAAATGTTCAAAGTGACCACCATTTTCACGCATACAAAGCATTATACGGCGTAATAAATTAAACTGTGCCCTTTGCAACATTGGTACGTTATTTTTTAAAGTTTTAAGTCTTCAAGCAAAACGTAAATTGTTAAAGTTTAAGAAACAACAAACAAACGTTACGCCACTCTAAGGTTTAACAGCCATCTTCTGATTTTTTGAGGAACAATCGCATGTATGGTGCATGCCATTCATCATGCCTAAATTTTTTTTTTTTCGTAAACCATCACAGATAGCGATATTCATCAAGAGACAAAAAATGCTTGCAAGTAAACTGTCTATCAGTGTCTAAAAATTCAGAACCGTCAAAATAGTAGTTAAAAAGTTTTAGACCTCTTCAGATGTGGATGGTCAGTATTTTACCACCTACATAGCAACTACAATCAAAACGATGATATGACAAAGACCCTTTTTACATTAGACATTCACATCCCGACTTTCATTTTAATCGGCAAAACCATTTTCTGATAAAATAAAAACGATTTCTTTTTTGAATCTTTGGCGGTAGATAGCGCCTTAACGAAGCACTTTTGGATAGAGGTAAGTAGAGTTAAATCGTCCTATTTTGATACCAAGAACTCCTGGTAGCGCGTTGTACAGACCTTTTAGGGACACCCTGTATATACCTTTATTTTAAAGTGGGCGGAGCGGATAGCGGAGTATTACCTAAATACCTAATAGCTATGATAATAACTCAATTCTTCTGGGGGGGATATATCTCCTTCATCCCCCCCGTAAATACGCCACTGCTCAACATTTGAAGTCACCAAAATGGCCGGTAAACGGCGCCTGTGGTGGTTTAAAATGCATGGAGATCCTAGTCCTAAAGAAACAAGTCTTCGGTAAAAAAGGCAGTGGTTCGATTTTTACCAGGACAAAAACAGAAAGATCCCTAATGTTAGGTCGAAAGTTTATCGCCCTTGCGACCAGCTGGAACCGAGGCTGGAACGATGCACGTTGATGTTTTTGAAAAAATGTGACGTTCCTAGAACCTACAAATTCGTGACTTAATTTTTATTGTTACAAAATTTGAAATATTTCATGGATTTTCTTTTTCATTTGTTGCCTTTGTTAATTTAGTTTATGTATTTCATATTTGTGGGGGCTATGCCAGGGTTTTTCTCCTGAAGGTTTCCCTGACAGCGCCTGATTGTGTGCGTAATATATTTTATATGTTCTCTTATTTTCTTCGCACAAAATTATGAGTTTTCTTTTCTCATTTGTGTATGAAAGAACTGCCAGTTTTCACACCGACTGCTACCCAGATTCAAAGGCGTGGTTTATTACAAAAAAACAATTACAATGATTTTTTTTTAATTTTTCCTTTATGCCCAAATAATAATGGCCACCTTCTTAGTAAAAGATCGCGACATAGACAACCTGTTACAAAGAACTACCGAAACATTTTGTTAGTAATTGGTCAATAAAAGTCGTTGATGTAATGGATATTGATTTCATGATGCTATGTAAACATACTTAGTCATGACGTCATAATACATCAATGACGTGTGCGCAAATTAAGGAAAATCCTACTTATGCCCTTCATAATTTTGTAAAAAATTCATTCTTCCCTTAAAGGAAGTGCACAAAGCTATTCTGACCTCAAAGAAATATATCTGGGTATTTAAGAAGCTGAAAATAACAAATCCAAAGTTCAATTTTGAAGATTTAGTTCAACTACGATACTTGGCACGACAACACAAAAGTCAATAGGTGTCTTAACTATTCTGGCATGGAAAATAGTATTCATTTATTTGTCAAGTCATAACCGATCTTTGTACGCTTGGTCAAACGCTATTAAAATATACAATTGATGTAGAATTTCGCTCTGTATCCTTTTATTTAAAAGTGTCTATTTAAACCACATCAAAGAATTAGAAATTTTAGATCAATTTTAAATAGCGGCTATTAACCAATGCTACTTACAATTTGAAAATTTCGTACCTACTTATTTTATTGCAATCTCTGAATTAAACATCGGCACACACGCACAAGGGATAATAAATGAGCCCGAGAATGAGCCTTTATTCTACACAAAATTTTAAAAAATGGTAAAAGCAATATTTCAACAGTCATCATTCCATTTTTAAAACTTTGTATTTTTCTTTGAAAGAGATTGGTTCGATATGTAAGCAAATTCAAAAGAACTGTTTTTACTCTTAAATTTTTATTAATTTGTGGAAACTTAATACACTTTGTGCCCACTAAATTGTGAGGCTATGTGAGCAACCCTGGACACGGTGTGGTGATTGACTCGATTATAGAAAACTCTAAAGAGGTGGGTAAATAATCAGCAAATACCAACAATTCTCCAAATCAGGGATTAAGCTCTGGTCGCGGTTATCGCATTTTTGCGACAAGGAAAATCAATGAAATTTATGAGTTTGAGCTTATTTCATCTTGCTGAACAAAAGCAACGTACAAGTAACTTATACATCTAATAAATAAGTATCAAATGATACAAATGCTACAAGAACATTACTTTTGCAACAGTTTCTAAGTGCCTATAGCATTTTTGCCCAAAGTAATTTTCTCCCAGCTTAAACCCTACTCCAAACACTTAAAATTGTAAAATGACCTTAGTCGAGATAGTTCGAAGTGACCAAAGACTTATTCTTTTTTTTAAATCCAAAATACAGAAGCCGTTTATACTACCTTACAACATTGTTAACGATCAGTCTACTAATAATAATCAAAAACAACTGTGTATAAGCATCCTTATTGGGAAAATTTGCGCTTCCCACATGTAATACTCACTGTACAAATAACGTCTTTCTCCTTAACATTGCTCTGTATCTTTGTCAGCGCGTAATTATCTAAATTATCACGGCATATCTCGAAACCCGCTTCCGCCGCATCACAGACAAAGTGAGCCCGTGCGAGGCTCTTAGTTTGCGGAATCGGGGGTAGGAAAATCATCGAGAAAAAAGCGGCAGCCGCCACGCACTGAGCTACTAAAAATATCAACTTTCTGCACTGGAACTTGTCGGCGAGCGATCCCATCAGTGGCTTTGCGAGCATTCCCGAAAACGACAGAACCGTGTATATAATGCCGACTATAAAACTGGAAAGGCCCAATTGTCGCGCGTACACGCTCATGAAAGGTACTATCGGTGCGGTACCTGTAAGTTCACATGTTAAGCTAAGGTTAAATCGTTCCGTTAGGATTTTACCAGCGTTCCATAAGAAATAGTGGCCCTTCATGGGCAGAAGGTCCTTGTTTATTTTTAAATTCATTGTTTTACAGTCGTCGAATAATCGAAAAGGCTAAAACAATGCGGTTGTAAGCACAGGATCCCATTTATTGAAGTTGAACTCTTACCTAATAATAAATAAAAATTGAGCTAAAATAAATAAATAATGCAAAAGTAAGTACTACTGCATGTTTGCTAAGTACTCAATTACGCGAAATGTGAGAGAATGAATTAATTAATGAGACTGACCTTCATTATTTAATTGATAATAAATTATAGGTTAGATTTTCAGTAAAAGGCGATGTTGTCAATTATATGAGTTTGTGCGTAGACGTGGCAAGCGTGCGCAATTTGGATTTCTTATCAGAAAGTTTAGTCACAAAGAAGAGTTTTTTTAAGTTTCATCAACACACAAATGTTTTGTCCAGATTTTTCGATAACTTTCTAAAACAATATCAATCCCTTCCAGGTTTTCCGAAACTTTTTATTGTCTTTCTCTAATTTAGGGAGGTTTGGAAGGGTGCTAGAAAGCTCTAGAAACGGTCCAGAATTCTATCTAATTTTTTCTAAGCACTTCCCCGAAATTTTACTGATTACTAAACCCGTAGAAAGGGCTTGCGGAACTTTTACAAAGCACGAGAAATTTTGGAAAGCGTTACGCTCTCAAAAGTATTCTACATGCTAAACTTCGTTACAGCTTACAGGGGATCATTTATAACATTAACTGGGCTCTAAAAGCACTGGGACGACTGGAAAACCAATAGAAGGGTCTGAAAAGTATATCTGGATCGCATTCGATAGCTCTGGAAACCTTTCTGTATGTTTTCCAACTTTGTGTAATGCTGTCGATTTTTAGGTCTTCTATATAACTTTTCTGTACTTTTTTTGCGTTTTTTAAGTCATTTAAAGAGTCACTAGAACTTTGACAGATCGGCCAAGCCTCTGGAAAGTTTCGAAAAAGACTTAGACTCATAGATTAAAACGTCTTATATGCATATTGAACAGAGACAACATGTTTAGTTCTCGCTGGTATTGAAAACAAATTTAATAAAAATTGCCTCTGCCTATTACGCCAAGTATGTGGCCCAAAAACAGGCGCACGGGCTTATTATATAGACATAAAAATGCTAACCTTGATAAAAATGCACAAAATTTATCATATTTCACAAAAATACGGGTATTGTACCTCACTGACCTTATGACCTAATGAATTATCCTTATTCCTTTATTTTCGTGACCCGCCACTGGAATTCGTAGTGAGTTTTTTTAGGACATGAAAAATAGAAACTAATTACTATTAGACAATAATTCACAAAATTTAATTATATATAATTTTCCATAAGTTTTTGCTTCTAAAAGACAACATGCCCCATGCATTGTAAATTGGTAAATAAGAATAAATTATAAATGACGCATATTTAAATTTTTACTACGAAACCGCTACGAACGCAAGCCGAATGGCAACCGAATGCGCGGTAAATCTCTTCGTAGCACTCACAGCTAACCGGTGCGGCCATTTTAGCACGGCTCGAATCACTCTTTGGCGTTAGTCTCGTAAAAGGTGATTTTTCGCTGCAACTACCGTCGCAAATTATCCACTCAGTTGTGCTTTGTGTTAACAAACGTACGTAAATTAAATTTTACATAAAATGGGCGATGAAAAGAAGGTAAGTGTCGCTTGTTATCGTTTCTAACCGTACATTTAATCCCCTTGTTTTTTGTGTGATTGAAAAGCATGTTTTGTTGCAGAATACGGAATCAGAACACATCAATCTTAAAGTTCTCGGCCAAGATAATGCCGTAGTACAATTCAAGATTAAAAAACACACTCCCTTAAGAAAGTTGATGAGCGCATACTGTGACCGTGCAGTAAGTTTCAAGACGACCCGTTCCATTAGGTGTACCTAACGTTTGGTTTCTTTAGGGTCTAAGTATGCAAGTGGTACGTTTTCGCTTTGACGGCAGTCCAATTAACGAAACAGACACTCCCACCACTTTGGATATGGAGGAGGGCGACACCATCGAAGTATACCAACAGCAAACCGGGGGATCTGTATGTTAAGAATGAATCGTTTGTTTTTAGGAACTACTTTTATCGAACTTTAATTGTAGTTTCTAAGAATGTCATATTTATGTACTATACCAATTAGTTAGAAAGTAATGTTAAGATAAGTTTTCGTAAAATTTTGACTAATTCAATATTCCTTTTGTATTTTATATTGATGCAACATTAAGGTTGATTTGTGTAGTTTACCAGTTCTCGTCTCATGTTTGTTTTTTACTCTCCAAATTTAAAATAAATTTCTAAGCTAATCGCTTTTTTTAATTTTATTAGCGATAGATCTGGAGTAATTTATGTTACAATAAAAGTAATCAACATTCAACCACTCATTTGTGAATTTTTTTAACCAATCATTCGTGATACCTACATTTGAACACGAGACTTTTTGTGCGTTCCATTTGCAACGTTATGGTTTTAGCCACACAATTCTAGCTTAAACCAGACGTTATTTATACCCACACAGCTTTACAATAAATTACGTTTTAATTAATACATTTATTAAAATTAACACAACATGAAATCCTATTACTTCTCTAAAGGTGCGTAATTAAGTAACTTTTCAATTAAATCTACATGTCCGAGGAGCATCCGTCGACAGCAGTAACGTTTCAAACCCAAGGCGTCTAAGGCATCACCCTCTGTATATTCCGCCTGTAAGAGCCCTAAATATGCCTCCCATTTGTTACCAATAACTTTTCCACACGTAAAACAGCGAACAGGAATGATCATGGTGCTGCCCTTCAACAAAGATAAAGGTTATGTTTATGTTAGGTCATTCAAAATGGGATATCTACCGAATGTGGAGGACAACACTCAAGTTAATTAGTTATATCGTGATAAGAATAATTCTGAAGATTATCGCAGTGAAGAAAAGTCGAATTTGATGAATTTTTATTTTTGATTATTTCACAACACAAATATATCGTGGTTCGTGGTGGCTCCCTCTGCTTGAACTTATATGATAACCGAAAGTGCACGTGGATCTAGTACCGGTATTATACAGGTATCACTTGGTTATTTGTTGGGATGGTGCCATTATTTGTAAATCCCTGCCACAATCTAAGAAAAAAAATGAGGGAAAGCCCGAAATCGATCGCCATATTAGAAAATGAATACAATTTTCTAGGAGGGTTTTTAAAGTTAAGTTGTTTTCACTGAAACGTTAGAGAATAATTGTTGTTTGCTGTATAATCAAATCGAATTTTATTTCGAGTCAGTTCCCACATCGATGCGTTCTTGTAATGTTATAAATATTGTGAGTGATAAATAATAATTACTGCTATAAATTAATCCTTTTCAAGACTACTATAAATTTATTGTTAGTAATTGTAAATAAATAAATCTCGTAATTAAATAAAGCCCTAAACTGTTAATAAAAGTTTGATAAAGGAATTTTCACAGCCTTTTGTGCATAAGCTTCTTATCTCAAGTTGGCAAATAAAATCTAAAAGTTGTGTTTTCTAAAATTGAATGACCCTGCACTATGATTCCTTCAAGCTATGCAGCATTTGTCCTCCAATTAAAAGCATTAAATTTTATATTATCGCCTTTTTTCGCAAATGGTTTCTTTTAAAGCGTTAATCTGAGTTTCCTGATCTCCTGCTAGGTAACTTAGGTAGTATACTTAGCTATACCACAAGAAATTAATTTTAATTTCTTGTATAATATTAATGTAGAGCAATCATGGCGATTATTTTTCAAGACAATGACACCAATTTACATAACGTACTTGAGAAAATGGACCATTTTGCAGATAAATGCTGTTACTGACCTTTCAGTTCAATGTATCCATGTCCTATGAGATTTTTATAGAAAGTGATAACATACCTACTTTTGAAAAAATGTGGGTCCATTGACCAGAACAACATAAAGAATGGAAAATTTCGATTGATGAGTAAATAAATCACTTTTTTGTGGAGAGCAATCAGTTATCGTCAAAACGTTGTCTTGGCCAGCGCGTGCATTTGCGCTGTGATTGACGAAGTGAATGAAACACCATTCGGGCATACCTCTCCACATTTTCAAAAATGAAGTCTTACAGTACGTTTGATACACAAAATGACAACGAGCCAAAAAGTGGAAAATCTACGGATATTGTGAGTGGTGCGCGTTTTAAATGAAAAGTACTATACCTGTTCATGTTTAAGGAATCGTCGAGCTCGGTGGAATCGATTACGGAAATTGGGCGCAAAGGAATTGGAACGCTGACTGCCGCCCTGTTTATCACTGGTGAAATGGGAGGAAGTGGTATTTTGGCACTTCCAAAAGCCATTGTCGATTCCGGAGGTAAGTGCACTATCAAAAAATTAAATTAAGGGCACCCTTAGACCCTTCGGTAAAGACCAAAGGGTAACCAACGGTAAGATTGTTTTTGTAAAATTTCGCAATTCCATAAAACGTAACGTTTATCTTTAGCAATGAACCAAGGAACTCATTTTAAATCACTTACTTATCAGCATTTTTAACCATAAAGTACTTAAAATCTGAATTAGATCCTTGCATTTTCAAGGCTGTTTATATAAGCACCTTTTCCATGGGCATTCTCGAGTATGGTGTCTGCTGAAGAAGCTACCAGTATTTTACTCAACACAATTTTACGTATAACAAATTACAAAAATATGACATAGTGTATAAATTGTATCATTTTCCTAATTATTTTTATCTTTTAATTGATAAAGTTGCTGGGAAAGAAGCAACTATTCCTTGCGTTAGTGTGAACTGTGAACTGTTAAAAACAAAACATGGGAAAATCACTATCTAAAATGTGTATAATCTGATAGGTACTGTGTACGTGGGGTTTTCTTGCGATCACATCCCCAACTGTCTAGTTTAATCGAGAACAAGAAAGATATACTTTGACTTCATCACAACCTTACACTCTATACATGTGGTGATTCATGATCATGACCCATTTTGTTATCCTACTACACTGAATACAGTACATACTTTGTACCTATCACGCGTATGATCATCCCTCCTTTGTGTTATAATCGCAGCCGACCCACCTTTAATGTTAAAAAAATTTGATTTTCGTTCTATAACAGTCTTTCAACAATTTGAAGTCAGAACAAATTTTTCGAAAATATATAGGTAGTCGTTTTGCTGGCGAAATTTATTTATTTATTATTTATTATTCCTCTCTTGTCCTGGGCCCTCAACAGGCGTGCGCCTTTTAAATACTTTTGAGAGCTTTTTAAGGCCTTTTGGAAACATTTGCACGTCCTTTCCACGCCTTTTTGGTCCGTCCAGATTTTCATAATGTCTTTAGTCATTTAAACTTATAACAACGCATTAAATAACATACTCTCCTCCCAATAACACCGAAAAGAACATTAATAAAGTTTTAATTTCTCTCATAGGTTGGATAGGAGTAGTGCTGCTCATAGTATTCTGCCTCAACGCGTGTTACGGAGGAATATGCCTAGGCCACTGTTGGACCATACTCGAGGAAAGATACTCGGAGTGTCGCAACAGTACACGAAACCCCTACAGCACAATCGCGTCCAAAGCAGTTGGAAGATGGGGAAGGTAGTACTCACTATTACATCTCTCAAAGGCAACATTTAACTAAACACAAGCTTGCAGCGTTGTAGTCTCGTGCAGTATTCAAATTACTTTATTTGGAGCCGGAACCGTCTACCTACTCCTATCGTCGCAAGTATTGCAAAAGCTTCTAAAGTATTTATTACCTGATCTCAGTTTCTGTTTTTGGTTTTTAATTATTGCCATAATGCTTACGCCGGCAATGTGGTTGGGATCGCCCAAGGATTTTAGGTAAAGTGCCTACTGTAATGGAGAATTTCTCTATGTGACTGTTGCAGTTTAGCTGGTATTATTGCAACAAGCACTACAGTTTTGGCGTGCATTTTTATATTTGCGCAATCTATAATAGACGGAAAGCATGGAACGAGCCGAGTTCCGCATAAAATACACAGCTTTCATGATTTTTTTCTCGCATTTGGCATTTTGCTTTTTTCCTATGGAGGCGCGTCAACCTTTCCAACTATTCAAAATGACATGAAGGATAAGAAGAAGTTCACGACAAGCGTGTGCATTGCTTTTACCGGTAAGTACGTACTAAGATTCACTTAGCTCGCTAACTTCATTTGTTACAGTAATTATGGCATTGTACTTACCGGTAACGATTGGTGGATATATGGTATATGGGGAGCACGTGAACACTAATGTGATACTGTCCCTGTCGAGATCACCTTTATCATTCTTCGCCGAAATATTCATGGGCATTCATTTGGTAGCCGCTTTCTTAATCATCATTAACCCAGTATGCCAGGAATTGGAAGAAATCTTTGATGTCCCTCATAGTAGGCCCATCGTCCAATGTTCAGCAATATAATAGTTAACTTTTAGATTTTCATTGGAAAAGATGTGTTTTGCGTACAGTTATGATACTCATTATGACTGTTATAGGCGAATTCATACCAGATTTTGGCAAGATTGTATCATTAGTAGGAGGATCTACTATTACTCTTTTAACGTTTGTACTACCGCCGTATTTTTACATGAGACTTTGCAGTCAGAAAAGCAATGACTGGCCTGAAAGGTACGAAAGCGCAAAGACTTGAGCCAGTAACCTGATATCAGCATTTCAGGCATATACCATTCTACATTAGAATATATCTCTGGGAGCTGATCCTTGTTGGAATAATTGGAGGATTAGCTTCAACGTATAGTGCAATTGGGGCAATTTTTGGTTCGCATATGACCAAGCCTTGTCTTTGGATTAAATATTAGAAAATTATTAGCTTCTGTTACTATAACCTCTCTTCCCTTTTTTATGGTTCCGTCCGTGTTTGCCTCCGACGCGAATGGAACTCTACATATTTTTTTAAGAGTCAGACCTAAGGAAACTATTAGCAACGAGAGAAAGACCAACAAAAACGTGTTTTCGAAATACATATAGTTAGGGGTGCAGCTTGTAAAGGTTACGGAAAAGTCAGTGTTGCAGCGGACTAAGAAATTAGGGCTGCGAATTTTGACATGAAGAAAGCGTTAAACATATTAATTTGATTAAAATTAATTTAATTTTAATTTTCACTGTATATTGACATTATCCAAAATATTTCGTGTAAACGTGCCTTTACACTTACGGGAAGTTGGTCTGTGGTTACGGTACCGCTAATGGTTCTTCAACCGGTCCAAATCGAAAGTATAGGTTAGGTTTCACAATTCTCAAAGGTTTTATTTATAATCTCTTTAATTAATTACTGAATAATGTCCACTCTGGAATCTATAACCGGCGCGCTAGAAAAAGCGAGGGTGACACCAAAGACTATAACATTCGAGGGCAAATCTCTAAAGTTAGACACCGAAGAAAATGGTAAGCGTTTTCCAAACACACAAGTGGCTCACATTCATTTCCGACTTCCCAGCTAAAGTTATTGTCGACGCGATCGCCGGCTGTAAAGATCTGGAGTGCCTCAACCTTGAGGGTAACACGCTTGGAGTCGAAGCGGCTAAGGCGATCGCGACCGCCTTAGAAAGGCAAAGTAAACTGCACCGTGCGCTGTGGAAAGACATGTTTACTGGTCGCATGAAGTCTGAAATACCGAAAGCGTTGGTAAGTCGGTTACTGGGACTTAGGGTTTGTATTTTGTGTAATTTTAGGAGTATCTCGGAGCCGGGCTCGTTAAGGCCGGTGCGCGGCTGACTGAGCTTGACCTAAGTGACAACGCGTTCGGCCCGATCGGTGTGCAAGGTTTAGCTGCACTGCTTCGCAGTTCGTCCTGTTACGCCCTGCAAGAGTTGAGGTTAAACAATAACGGTTTGGGAATTACCGGCGGGAAGCTTTTAGCGGATGCGTTAACTGAATGTTACACTTGTAGCAATAAACTTGGTAAACCCATGGCTCTAAAGGTGTTTGTTGCTGGACGGAATCGACTCGAAAACGATGGAGCAAAGGCTTTGGCGCAAGTTTTTAAGGTAGGCAAGTAGATATACTGTGTGGCACTAGCAAAACTGTAGCATAGGCAACCAATATAACAGTACATCCCAGGACCTCGATATTGCTAATTGTGTAGGGGAGGATATGTGCTTACTAATTCGAATTCTCAAAGCAAATTCTGCAGGCTGGTCCAATATACCTTCACACAAAGTAATATGTACATAATTTTAGAATGCGAAAAAGAGATAGTGGGGATATTTATATAAAATGCTACAGTTTTGTTATGCAAGGGCCATTAATTCTGTGGGAAGCTGTACCTATTCTAAACTAAATTCACTGCACGATTCACAGACCATTGGAACTTTGGAGGAAGTAGCGATGCCTCAGAATGGTATTTATCACAAAGGCATTGAAGCGCTTGCAGATGCTTTCGTGCACAACAAAAACTTACAAATTTTAAATTTGAATGACAACACCATCGGGCCTAAGGGCGCCAAGCTTATCGCAAACGCCCTCCCACATCTTCAGAGGCTCAAATCGATTAATTTCGGCGACTGTTTACTCAAAACCAAAGGCACAATTGCCTTAGCCGCGAGTCTGCGTAGCGGACATGAAAACCTCGAAGAGCTCATTCTCGGTTTTAACGAGATTAACATTGCGGGCGGGACGGAGATTGCCAAAGCGATGGCCGGTAAACCGAAATTAAGAAATCTAGTGCTAGATGGGAATCATTTCGATCGTAATGGCAAAACAGAAATTACCGACGCACTTAAGAGGATTGGTAAACTGAACGCGCTCGACAGCTTGGACGAGTGCGACTCGGAAAAAGAGGACGATAGCGAGGACGAAGAGAGTGAACCGGAGGAAGTGGAAGAAATTGTACAAGAAAGTGTGTCTTACGAGAACTTTGTTAATGTCCCTAATGCCGCTAACTTTTATAATCTCGGTAATGACCGAAATAATATTATCTTGGGAGAAGTGAAGAAGGATCATAGTACAATGATTCCCATTCTAATGCACGTCAGTGCTTTGGGTGCAGATAAACAGGAGAAAGTAGCGCAATGTGCTGTTGGATGTAGTGAACAATTATATCGCGAACTTTACACATGGGCTGAGAAGAATGATACAGTATCCCTGGTTAACAATAATCTTTTGGTTCATTTAGGTTTAATTAAGGTATGTATGGTCATGGGCGCGCACAGAGATTTTGAATTTTAACAAAAGAATATCATCAATAGTAAATGTACTTGTCTCATGTTTAAAAATAAGGGTGGGGAGTCTCTATGTCCTCATGCCTAATTATTCCTCACTAATATTGTTTCTATGCAAGCTCCCATGCGAGTGGTTTTATTTGCGTTTTAAGTACTGCAATTGATATGTTTTAGTGTGAAGATAAAAAATTTAAACCGAAATGGAATACGGAGGCGTGTTTGTCCACGTTAAAAGCTGTACTTACAAAACAATGCATTCCGCAAAGTGCAACTGCAACTTTAAAATTTTTTGTTGATAAGTAATGTGACATTCCTGTGACAATTGTATTGTATAATTGGCTCATAATTAAATTATTGTAAATTAAAACTTTTTTAACAAAAATTTGTTAGATTGCCTTCGTTGTGTGTATCCTTCTCTGTTTCATGTAATAAAGGTGTATCTATTTCGATTAAATTTATTTGGATCAATTAAATGTGAGGTGGTGGAAGCATTTTCTGTTTTAAATAGAATTCGATTTATTCTATTTCAAATCAATCTGTTTTTATTACTGTAATTAGAGAAGTTTGACAAAAATGGATTTAGGGTTGGTCTTTAATTCAAGATTGCCACATAACGTCAATTTTCGCTCATCTGTATGTTATTGCAAAATGCCTAAAAAATAAGTCAAAGACTACTATGAATTCATTTTATTTTATTTTGCGTTTATTTTTGAGTGGGCGCGGTTTCAGCGAAGGCTGGTCTACCAACCAACCCACTATACATTTACAAATATCCATGCCCGAACCAGGGACCTTTAGCTGAACTGCGCCACACGGGCCGGCTTGAATTAAAATTAATTTCTCTGTCTGCTTCTATCACATGGAGAGAGCAGATGCGCACCTCTTTCATTCGTTGCCTACACCATGAGCAACTTGACGTAATTTTTTTAGACAACTCATTTGCAATGTGTTTGTTTACACATCAAAATTACTAAAAAATGTATTGCATTCGGTACCTAAGCAGATGGGCAAAGTTTGATCTTATGTGGGATCTTAGACTATAAGAGCTCTTTTACACGGGGATACCGTATCCGAGATACAGTCTGCCATTAGAATTCGTGTCCAATACACCTCGCAGACTTTGGCTATTCTCTCTAACTGCTCTTGCACATTGGTATTTTAAGTGCTAATATAAGAAAGTATCTTTGTGTAATCAGTTCCATATGAACCAATATGGAAATGGGAGGTAGTAGGTTATATAGCCGATTGCTCCGGGATTGACCCTGAGCAAAGAATTATACATTCTTTGCCCGGAGGTGGACGTCGGCCCGTGTGGCGCAGTTCAGTTGAACCTGGACTGTGGTGCCAGGGTTCCCTGGTTCGAATCTGGGTTCGGGCATGGATATTTGTAAATGTATAGTGAGCTGGGTTGGTACAGCATCCTTGGCTGAAACCCTGCCCACTCAAAAATAAAGGCAAATAAATAAACATCATAGAGCTTCGCAGTCCAAGTGCATTATGGTTGCATTGAATGCAGTCGTTGACGAGATGAAGGGGGGGGGGACGCTTCCCCCGGCTGCCACGGGTTCCACTGAAATCCGCAGAGTGCCATTGTGGCGGAATGCGAAGGCTATGCATATCGGACTGGTTGGAGCGGACCGTTGCTCTAATCCTTGGATTCAGAACGAGCGTATGGAGGACATTCTTCTGCAGGGAAGAACCTGATAGAGTCCTTGCATTTGGTGTCAATGAAGCATACTATGGGGCATTCCCAGCGCACGCAGGGGTCTCGCAAGTTACATTTGCAACTTTGCGACAGAGGGGGCACAATCCCTTTTGCTGTCGACCTCCAGAGGACGCCGAGGATTACTACCGACGCGCTTTCAGAGGTCGAGGAAGATGTCGACGAACTTTTGGCTTGTGTGGCGGTTTTTTTGGCTCTGAACATTAGGGTAATAATCGCAATATCACGGGGGGGGGGGGAGGCTAATATATGATGGACGATGTAACCTTACAGTAATTTTCATTACTGAACCCTAAAGGCCTGTTGTTGTCTAGAAACAACTATATGGAATGGAGAAAAACCCTCTGGTGGAAAGGGTGCAAATAGAAATAGGTCTGGTAAGACGTTAGCAGGCTGATCTAAATGGACCATTTTAAATCTAGGTGAGCTTAGAAATACTGCAATAAAGAGCTCAGAGGCTCTTATTCTAACAAGTATAGAATAAACTCTGTCAATTGCCTAGAAGGCTTCATATAGCGGTTAAAAATATTAGAGCTTTTTCATTTTCCCGAGCATGATTAGATGAAAATTAAAAAAAAAAGTTAATCGATCTGCCTTTATTTATTGCTATACAGGTCGTCTCACCTTGACTTTACAGTGCAGGTGAACAATGCGCAATGTCATTAGAATATGATTTGTAAAAAATGGGCTGCCCGCGGGTTCGATTCACCACTATAATGATGATCGTTGATGTAGTCTATACAAATAATAATGAATGTTTGTCTGTCTGTCTCTATGCTTTTCTAAACCTTTTATCAGATTGCAAGGAAACTTTGAGGAATGGTTCGACGTATGCCCGCGAATTTTTCTGATGTAGGAAAACACTTATCAAAACCCCCATGGGAACGGGAAAAAAAGGGGTTTTACGTTTCACAATCGAAATTGCTGCAGATAGAGGCTTGACATTTAGTAATGAGACCGCAGGCGTAAAGGTCTACTTCGAAAACACTTCCCGAAATTACCACAGGAACGGGAAAAAATAGATACAGGTACCACATTAACTAAAGAAAGGTTATAACAAAATAGTTTTATGGAATTATAATACAAAGGGTGTAGTAACTATATACGATATAGGAGTATGTATGGAATAGCATATCGGGCAAGTGCCCTCTATGCTTCTGCTGGCACATATGAAGTATTTTGATGCAATTTTCCACAATCGTTTTGATATAAATGTGACTGAATTCCATTGCCTGGCCTCGCTCTCAGCCTCTACGTCCGACATGAAACAGCGACCTTCAAGTGCTTCTTCACAAGCCCAAAAACAGGGACATGTTAACCATGGTGGCCTTTACAACCTCACTTTTGTAATGTTCTAAATGGTTCTTTGGTGTAAGTACTAAATAAAAGATTTTTTATAAATTTTTTATTTCACCATCCATGCCAGGGTGTAAAAAAACAGACAATACACGACTAACTACCTAATTAATAACATACCAGGTAGATTATAACCAAACGTACCTTATAAAATAAATGATCGTTGGTACAAAATAGAAATGTTTTGTAAAAAAGACACATTTACAAATTGGCTGAAAGTTTAGTTTTCGCTTGCAAGGCATCCGCAATTTGTTTGCCCAAATCTTTGTCTACTTCTGAGAAATGGACAATCATACGCTTTTGTATGAAATCCGCCGCGTCCTTGAGGTGATCGGCGATGTTGGCGACTAGTCGCTTTTTGTGTGCCGCATCTAGCACATTACGATAGAAGTTTCTTGGTTGGGAGAAGTTATCTTCGTCTCCGCCGTCGTGGCGCTGTACGTCTCCAGATACGGAATAAGGTGGAAGAAGTCGTTTCGCGCGGGCGTCATCGGTGGGACCGCCGAAGCTGTTGGGGTGGTAGTTAGGCGCACCGCCTTGGTGGTGGATTGTTTGTGGTCCATCTCTTTGATAATTTTGAACTTTGAAGGGGCAGTTGACGGGTAACTGTAGATAATTGGGGCCCAAACGATGACGGTGAGTGTCTCCGTATGAGAAGAGACGGCCCAGCAACATCTTGTCTGGAGATGGCTCGATTCCGGGCACCAAGTGGGCGGGGCTGAATGCAATCTGTTCCACTTGGGCGAAGTAATTGGTTGGATTTTCATTGAGGACTAGTTTTCCAACTTTGATCAGAGGATAGTCGGCGTGAGGCCAAACCTTTGTTAGATCAAACGGATTGAAGCTGCAAGTGGCAGCCTGCTCCATGGTCATCACCTGAATGTGCATTGTGTATGATGGATAACGTCCATCGGCAATGGCATTGTACAAATCTCTGATGCCGTAGTCGGGATCAGACGATATCAAATCATTGACACGTTGTGTATCCACGCATTTGATACCTTGATCAGTTTTGTAATGGAATTTGCAGTAGACCGCTTTGCCTTGATCGTTAATCATTTTGAATGTATGTGATCCATAACCATTCATGTGTCTGTAGCCATCGGGAATACCGCGATCTGAGAACATAATCATCATTTGATGCATGGCTTCCGGCCTCAAGCTGAAGAAATCCCAGAACATATTCGGATCCTTGAGATGGGTGGCGGGGTTTCTTTTTTGAGTATGGATAAAGTTCGGGAACAAGATTGGGTCACGGATGAAGAAGACCGGGGTGTTATTTCCGACAAGATCCCAAATACCATCTTCCGTATAGAATTTTACCGCGAAACCACGCGGATCTCTCACGGTATCGGCCGAACCCGACTCACCGCCGACGGTCGAGAAACGAACGCCGATTCTCGTCTTCTGGCCGACCTTGAAAACCTTCGCGGCACAGTACTTGCTGATGTCGTGGGTTACTTCGAAGTATCCGAAGGCACCCGCGCCTTTCGCGTGCACCACACGTTCGGGAATGCGTTCACGATCGAAATGGGATATTTCATCGAGAAAGTGGACGTCTTGCAGAAGGATGGGTCCGTGCGGGCCCACCGTCAATGTGGCGTCCTTTACGGCCAAGGGGCATCCGGTTCCCGTCGTTGCTGATTCCTTAGTCTAAAACAATCGAAAATATTTTAGTACGGCACAGCGGAAGTAATTAAATTAATCAAAGGAAATGGTTATTCGTACTTAATAATTGAGTGCAATTTTTGTTGGTTGATTTGGTCCAATTTGCGTATAGAATATTATTCAGATTCAAGAGCAGGCACATGGGGGGGGGGGGGTCAGCTCGACATTTAAGAGATAAGTAGATTTATTTCAGTGCAATTTTAGAAATGCCATCAGGCATCAGCCACCGGCCACGTATCCTTTATGACAAATTCATAAATTCGGGCTTTAATTTAAGAGGGCTTAAAAGGAAGGAATCTCAAAAAGTGTTGGTTTGGTATCAAAAATTTTCACGTGTAAATTTATCTGGTGTTGATACAGAAACGAAAAATTGTTTAATCGACGGAGTTTTTTGAACTGTGTACGCCTTATCAGTGGTACACATTCTAGAAGTTCAATATTTCAATGTTACTCAATCGTACGTTTCCATGGAAGATAACAAATATGTCCCTACCATCCATTAGTTTTTTACCTAGGTACTTAAAAGTGTACCTACGCAAGTACAATTTTCTGCATAATCATAATGGCACTTTGGACCTAAGTATGTGGCGGTGACATTTTCACCACTCTTGAATAAATACCTATTAATGTAAAAGGGTTCAAAGTTAAACGAGTAGGTACTTATATTAATTCGTATAATTAACCCGCCATTTTGTTATCGTGATGAGTCGGCGAAATTTTAAATAAATAATGGAAGCGATAAAGGCGAAATGAAAACGGCCCACATTTGGAAGATGAGAAAGTTGTCATGGCCTGTCATTGCAAAATTTCCAACTTGTTCGAAACTGGAACATAATGAAAGTATGCAATGCGTAATTTAGTATTTTCGTTATAATTATTACGAGTACATTTGCAATCGCCCAGTGATAAGAAAAATAAAGGTCACACTAAAAGCGACTAAATATAGCTTAAATATATCTGTGGGAATTAACATATTTACTTTGTTTTTATGTGGACCAGTTTCGCGATATTTAACATTGAATAGGTAGACTTTTCTTCTCGCGCAAATAAGGTCACTTGATGGAAGTGAGGTTGTATCCTACGGTTCAATAATACTCAAAATCGACATGGAAAGAATTGTCTTGAACCAACATCGTACGAAATTTACACTCATTTTGTTATTTGAAATAAAACACCCTATATCACATTGGCGAAGCTTCAAGACATTTTGGAAAGTTTTCTACTTATAAAAGTACAAATTAATTCAAAATTATTCATGTTAAAAAGAGGACAGGATCCTAATTTAATCTTGTACACTAAACCCGTTTAATACTCCCATACTTTATTAACTAATACCAGTTGACGGGGCCAAGTAAAAAAAGACCTTTTTTTAACGGACCACTCTATATCTAATCAGCTAAAAATATGTGATATTAAATTCAAAAATGTAACGCAACCCGGGATGATATTAAATAAACATTCCAAAAAAAATTCAGAGTAAAAAAGGGCCCAATGATTCGAAAAATACACAAATATGATTGTTGAATTTCTTTAATTTTTCTAAATTTTTTTATCTTTTTGAATCAATATTGAATTTTTTGTAAGTTTTAAAAGAGAATCTAATATGCTATCTTTTTAAATGAAAATATATAGGGTGTTTCCATTTAAACAAATGAGATTAACTCCGATAACTTTTTACCTGGCTCCATATACTTATTCTAAAAACGGAAGATTATTTGACAATCATTATAATGAAACTTCTGTCATAAACATGCACATTTTTGAATATTTATTGAGACATTGTTATTGCGCTGAGAATTTCAATTCCAACGAAAATTCGCCGCAATCAAGCAACTCACTCATTATGAGTCAACGTTCACGTTCAAGAAACGTCAACCCTCCAAAAAACTTGTCGATTCTCGATTTTAGAATAATTACTATCTACCTACAGGGTGTCAGCACATTTCTAGAGTATCTCCGTAATTGTTATTGTTATGGAAAAAGTAATCGGCATTTTGCTTTTGGAGTCAAACTTAAAATGGTAACATCAAAATTTGAAAATATTCGCTTGCTGAAGAGATACAGGAGAAAACAAAAAAAATTCAGAATAACTATACAAAAGTGTCTTTATGACTGTTGAAAAATCTGCAGTTTTCAAAATAAGTTTACGGGGCCGGGTAAAAAATGAGGCCGATAACTTTTTTACCTGACCCCGTATACTTTCATATTTTGAAAACGGCAGATTATTTAACAATCACTATAATGAAACTTCTGTAATAAACATGCATATTTTTGCATATTTATTGAAGTATTCTTATTGCTCCATACATATTGCCTATTGAATTCTTCACATTTTCAAGAGCTTCCAGTCTCTCACCTTTACGTAGATTTTCTTTAAATTTCAAATAATTATTTTCAAAATTCTACTTCGGGGGCAAAATTTGCCTAAAGAAAAAAATTAGCCGCTCCCCATCGAGCTACTCACTCACTAGGAACTTGTTCTACGGGACGTTCGCGTTCAAGGTAGGCTCCGGGGGGGGGGGGGGGCAATTGTTCCCGGATGAATTTACAGAACAGGAATCAAACAAACACAACTCGTTTAAGCGTTTTCCTAACCAAAATACTTATAGGTCAAGATTGTCGGCATAATCTCTGCAAAAATTTCGAGTTTGTGTCATTTACCCGCCACAAGAAAATTTTAAAAGGCGTGAATATGCTATTTTTTTATGGAGACCATATTGCGAATTTTTATTTTTTTAGATCGTGATGTTTTTACACCCCATTAACTTTGTATGAATCAAAAGGGACATTTCAATATTCGAAGAATGGGCAATTACTTCATGCCCACCCTGTATCGCGTATTCAGTGTGGACTATTCCTGTGCATCCGAGTGTACTTGCATCAGTAATTTTTCGCGACATTTTTAAATGAAACTGTTCTTCCTTGATCATATCTCGAAGCAGAGATCTCAGGAGGACGAAATTAACACACTTTTTACATAAAGAATATACAGGGAATCAACATTCCTATCACTAATGATTAGTTAATAATGCAACCTCATCAGGATGTTGTATTGTAAGCATTTGAATTGAAAGTCATTTTTGAATTAGATAAACCGATCAGGCGTTTAAGAAACGGAAAGAATCTAAAAGTTCCATTCAAATACTTACTGTCGCTTAACAAACAAGTTAAAAATAAAAAACCTTGAATATCTAAGTAGCTTCCATAACTTGTTTATTAAATTTACATAGCCGATGATAGACGCAATATTTTTGATAAAATCTATTGGGATTTAATTTGTGTCCCCCTAACAAAAACCAAAAGAAGGTAGACTCCCACAAAGCCTACTTTGCCCATATAAGTCAGGTAATTACTTTATTAATTAACCTGGATTTCTATGTTAATTAGTTTCCGTTCTCAAGACGCTTGATCACAAAGTGCAACAAAATGTAATACGGGGCCTCACTTTCCGATTTTGTGAAATTTAAAGAAAAGGGGGAGGCTTATCATTATGCAGCATTACTCAGCTGTTAGATTAGAGCGACAACCTATGACCTTTGTGACTTATTTTCCTAATTTAAATCCAACGTTCTACTTGCACAATATATAATTGAAGCCCTAAGCTGACAAAGCAGGATCGGCATAAAAAAAATCAGTACGCCACTGGCACAAAGCAAACGCTAACAACGTGACATGACCTATCAGTATCAATAATCATTCGCGTGCAAATTGAATATCAAGAGTTGAAATAAGCGAAATTCTTACCGCATTTTGCTTTTTCCAATCCACCAATTGATTTGCAGCCTTATCGTAGGAAGCCATGTTGCAGTAACACTGAATTAAACTTTTCGGTCTGAACTCCGCGTTTGACGGAGCGCAAGCCGGTCTTGCTTTAAATAGGTCGGTTATCAGCTGGTTGCCCAACCATGGGCGTAACATGCGATAGCCTATCATTTTCGGCCGCGGCTCAAAGTTGATGAATGAGGTTGCAGGTATTCGGTGCGTACGTGTCTATGGCAACAATAATATATAAACAATAAAATTAATTGTTTCAAAGTACCTATACTCTATCAGTCTATCGGGTCTGTCTGTACTATATGCGCGTATCTTATCTAAGTCTCTTCTGCGTCAACTCGGGGAAGTGATACAAATTTACTTAAAAGGCTCGTCTCGAAATAACCAAGTAGTCGGTCAATCAGTTATCAATTATGATATCTACCAATTGCGCAGCGCGCCAAAAACATTGATAGCAAGCAGTACAGTCAGTAATCAGTATACATTGTAATACTGCAAAACAAAGAGGTGTTTGCGGGTTTATGCTCCAGTTTTGGCAGCTCTTCCGGTTTTTAAGGGCCTTTGGGGGAAGAACATCGCACTCGCTTGTACTCCGCTAATTCAAGGAGTTGGTGAAATGTGCTGGTGGCGGTGGTGCCAAAGCTGAGGAGATGAAAGGGGCCCTGAAAAGGCAGAAGAAAGATTTTGAGGGGTGTCCAATTAGGGATCGAGATCTATGCGCCGGACGAGACTATAAGAAGTGGGAAAAATTACTCTATTTTGATGATATTCTAAAGGGCAAGCGGTGGTCCCCCAAAGGAAAAAATCCTTCTAAAATTAAGCGTTCACCTCGCCATGGGGAGAACGACGGTTTTTCTAACTGACAGCATATTCGGTTATCTACATCCAAAAGTTACGTCTTTTTTAATTTAATTTAATTAATTACGTCCTTCCCAGACGTCTTAAAAATACGGTGCCGGTGTCAAAATTCACGTTTTTTAAAGAAGCACCTAATAGACTTAATTTGAGGCTGTAATCCATTCAACTAATTAAACAACGGTTAATTATACTTATCCAAATAGTCGGAATGAAATCTCCAAATTCGGCAATCCAGCAATGCCCTTTTCTTCTGTGGAATGTGAGGGCAAGCGGCCTAATCTGTTATCACTTATCATATTTTCCTTGAACTGCACGACCTTGCCGGTTTAATGCTGGCTGCATACCAACGTCGGCGACGAAACATTAGGATGCATGGCAGCGAGAGGATTCCCTCAAGGTGGGGTGCTGTCAGGCTGTTATCTCTTCTGTGAAATGCTTGAAAAACTATAATCTTCCCTCTAAAATTCAGAAATGCTCGACTTTTCTCCAAGATTATAGCCTGAAGAGCTGTCAGAAGTGAAAAAAATTATGCTCCTTTGATTATATTGAGAGGTACAGTGGATAAGCTACCAAAAAATATGTCTTTTTAAGGGTAATTAACCAAAGAAGACAAAATTTTGATGCACCACAAAAGAAACACTCCTTGCAGAAGATAAGCTTTCTTGAGAGCAACAATAATGGAGAACCCTGCCGAGTTTTAAATAATTTATTTTTTTGATATAAATGTAAAAATATTGATACAATATTATTTACAGTAGATCAAGACTAAACAAACACTTTCATTGTCTCTTCTACAGCAGATCGACATAGCGGACAGTTGTAAGCATAATTTCGTATACGACCGACACACTGCTCGCACAAACACAAGTGACGGCAGGGTAAAAGTAACATACATCTACTGCTGTCCTGACAAACTAAGCACAAGTTTCTATTGGACTGGTAATCGAGCTCATCATCCGAACTGCTGCTTTCCGATTTGTCAGATGGTGGAGGTACTGGTCGAGGATTTGCATTTCTGTATTGAGCACGTCTAACTGGTAATTGAAACCGTGAGAAACTTCTCCCGATCATTTGGAGCAATAGCTGCACTTTTTGGTATATGATCCCTTGCAATTTGATAAAAACTACAATAATAAAAAATCCGAAAACTAATCCAGCTAAGGAATCGATAGGAACATCAGTAATGAAATCATATCCGCAATGCAACACATTCTTCGTGCTGTCAATTGAGTGAATCGTTAAATTAAAGATTTCACTGGTAAGCAGGCCCACATAGTAAGTTGTCATCGTACACAAGTAGACCACGAATAAAGGAATCAAGGTAAGAGCAAACCATATTCCGGATCCAATCAGTAATATCCACTCCTTTGTTGTTACACACACTGTCGCAGTAAGCCTTATTAGCTTGGCCATAACACTGAAGAAACCATTGTAGATTCCCACAACTCCCAATATTGTGTTAGAAATGACTGTTTTTATAACGTCATAAATGCAAAATACAAACTCAAATATTGCACCGATTACATTAAAGATGTACTGAGTGAGGTGCGAAATATCCTTCCAAAAGATAGAAAAGTCTTCTGTCAGTATCTTCGTTATCGTTTGTATACCAGTTGTGATGTTTCCGGTGTATTCTAAAAAAATAGTAATTCCATTCACGATGGTTTGTCCCGTTTTAAAGCTCAAGGCGAAGCAGAGGTAACCGACATATTTCACAAAATTAAAAACTTGTATAATTGCCTCAATCATTCGGGAGAATTTTTCGAAATTTTACATAAAACATAACCTCAAACAGTTAAGAAACCGTTACGTGACGTTTACTTGATAAATATTGCAGTAGAGCTACTTGCAGAGAAATGACCTACTGTCAGTTTGCTCGTGGATAGGCAACACATTATACACATCTTTTATATTTGTGCCTCTAATGAGCTCACGAAATGAATTCCTGTACCAGGATACAAAAACACGGAAAGCAATTTATTTGGCTCTTTGTAATTACACCCATTTCTCGTAAAATTAATTGATGCACCCTTTCTTGGCAATTTTTACTACCCTTTGAGGCCGAAGTAATCGTTTTCGCAGTCTTCGAAGGCGGTTCGCCTCTCTCAGTCTACACTAGTTTAGCTCTAGCTTTGTTTTTGGAGTATAGTGTCGATTCCTGGTTTCGTCCATGCTAACAGTAGGCGTATAAAATCTCCGCCGATTCCTTGGCAACAGGTTCAAAGCTATTTCCACCCCGTAAAACTTTCATCCAAAACACTCAACATTGCCCAAAACTAAAAAAAACATCTTTCACACGATGGATAGGTAGGGAGGTGAAGGAGAAATCTACGCCTTCTTTCGAAGGGCCCACGTCCGTCGCTTTTCAAGGAATCCAAAGGCTCAGGATGCAGGGCGAAAGGGCATCCGCGGTGAGTCCTCTAGTACAACGGGGGGCAATCTTTGTGCAGGATACGTCACGACACCTATACCATTCCCGGTTTCCGTGTAGCTCCCATTACTTTTCCGAAAGTTCCTCGTTTTCCCTTCGCGCTTCATTGAAATAGCCCTCTTTGGGTTCTTTTTATTTCAGACATACTTTTTGATGCGCTCTCTCTCATTGTTTCCCCTCAGAATCCTCCCTATGCTAGTCCTAGATGTTCTGTATTGTGGGAGAAGTACATGTTTCCTACTCAGTGGTTGTTTTGACCACATCCTAGTAAGCCCCTCGTGCCACCGGGACACTTTCTATGAGTTTTTCTGCTACTTCAGTGGCCAAGTGGCTTCCAACGCATTCATTATGGAAATTATTATCCAAACTTTCAATCTCTACATGACGGTTTTGCTCGAGTTTTTTTTACCCTTCTGCGTCTCAGGTATTCTCGAATATATTGAACCACACATACATGTGATCAGGGAGAGTCAGGAAAAAACTTTCATATTAGGGATTCGGGTAGGTGCGTGGATTGTGGAAAACGTAACGAGGAAGGACATGCAACTTTTGAGTGCGAAATATGGGAGGGTGTGCTATGATGGATGGCATTTTGCGGATAGGGAAGCTATTTTAGAAGTCGGAAATATAAGCGGTGTATTGTTAAAGAAATACACAAACAGTAGGTATGTAGAGGTAATTGTGACTACAACCATTGAATAAATTCAATGCTACAACTAAAGAGACAGTAAGTAGGACGTCAAGGAAGAAAATACATTTAGAGAGTCACTGGAAGCATGGTTTACGATTCCTATCCTCATGTTTTTAATACTCCAACGCCCTATCAGACATTAGTGTAGCGTAGGACTAGAAATGGTTTTGTAGAAAATCAAAATATTTATATACAGTATGTGGTGTCAATAAGAAAAGTGATGTAATCGAGTTTCGTCTCGGGTCGTAAAACTGGCGTAAATTTAAATTTGGCGCCATAACTTTATATGGTAAAGCACGCCGCCCTTGATCTCGGACATTTCAGTAACCAATAGTGCATCCGGCATCGTTAAGTAATGGAGCAGCTGGCGTCGTAGAAACTCTCGAATTAGTTGCCGATTGCAATAATCGAAATATAATTAAATAATAATTCGGAAATTGATGTGTAACATTTCTTTTTAACGATGGAGAACTCAAACTCGGACGGTGTCGTCCTACCGGACATTTCCGAAGCCGAACATCTTGCGAGTGAGCACGATGGCGGCGAGAATGGCGAAACTGTTGTGGAAACAAAAAATCCACGAATTTCCGTGCAGACAGTTCGACATGCAGGGGTTCCAGTTACGCTGCCCGTGGGTTCTCTCATTACTGGTGCGTTCAATGTCATCACCCAGGATCAGCTGCCCCATTTTAAACCGATGCTGTGCGTGGATAATAATGGCTACATTGCCACTGACGGATCAGGGGGTGAGCTGAAGACCATTGTGATACAGGAGGATGTTACCGGAGGGGGCACCATGGCTACCCCCGTTACTGTTACACCCACCTCCGCTTCGGGGTCGTGGAGCGAAGCCGCCAGTATGCCCGTGTTACCCATTCGTTGTAAAAACACCTCGGCAGAGCTACACAAGAACCGCTTCGGGTCGGGTGGAAGGGGCCGCTGTATCAAACTAGGAAACAACTGGTACACACCGAGTGAGTTCGAGGCGCTGTGCGGACGGGCATCGAGTAAAGACTGGAAACGCAGTATCCGATTCGGCGGACGGAGTTTGCAGACCCTAATAGACGAGGCGATAATTTTACCACACGCTACCAGCTGCACGTGTGCGGCATGTTGCGACGACGAATCCGCAACAGGCCCGGTACGGCTCTTCACCCCCTACAAACGTAAACGCAGAAAAGAAAACGACGGCTCGATGAAGCGGCGCGAGCACAGCGGCGACGACAGCGAGGACAATCAGATCAACATACAAACGAAAGAGGAGGCCTGGCAGAATCTCGCCGAGGGCTTGGACTCAAATGAGTATCAGCTCATGGAGCCGGTCGGTAGCGTCGATCCCACCATCATCTTGAAAAGGCTGGAGGAGATCGCCACCAATATCAACAGACAGGCGGCCGAGTTCCGGCGAGGTATCGAGGAAATTCGAGAGGCCTGGAAGAATCAGTCCGATAAATTTCAACGGGAAAAGGATGCGGCAATTCTCGCCGCTCGAGTGGAGGCACAGGTAGCGGCCTTACAGCCGGATGGCAACTCGGATTCCACCTTGCAGCCGGCGTTAGACAACGAACACCAAAAGAAGGTAATTATACTGAACATGTGCTTAAAACATGCGGCCTGCTTGATGCATACTGACAGTATTATATTTTCATTGGACAGCACATTGACCAATGACAAATCAAAAGAGACAAGGTAGTAATCTCTTTTTTTTTACAGTGTGCCAATTGCAACCGCGAAGCGTTGGCCGAATGTTCCCTCTGCAGGCGTACACCTTACTGTTCGACATTCTGCCAACGCAAAGACTGGGCCTCGCATCAAGTGGAGTGCGTAAGAGGGGTCTCATCCGATGCTGCACCTCAGCAGTCGATAATGTTAATAGTGGAAAGTGCCGAGCAACAGTAGATTAAGTTTTATATTTGATAACGTGATATTTTCTAGAATTATGTTACGAAAGTTGATAGATTTATAACATTTTTAAGTTAGCGATTGTTTTGATTGCGGTGTGCAATTTTGAAACAAAAAGAAACGATAATTTTTACATTAAGATTGAAAATTTGTACATAAATTAAATAGGATCTAAGGAGCAGAATTTTTTATCTCTTGATCACGTTTGGATTTTGAACTTGTTGGTTATTTATTATTACAATGCGACCTAAACATTTCGGTAGCTCTTATTTTCACATTTATTTGTAATTAGAGTAATTATTGCATTCTCCACAATTTGCTTAGCAATGGTGTTTAGGTGATATTTTACATTTCTTGTAAGTACATTTTACGGCTATGGCACAATGTATTTTTCATTTGTATTTTATTTATCTGTTCTTTTGTAATCACTCTTATCTTTACGTGATTAAATTTCTTATGATACTTTCCTTATTTAATGCCCAGAGCTCTTATTTCAAAACTAACCACTGAATGTAATGTGCGATTTTGATAGCAGGGACATTTTAAAGGCCAAAAATTCTCTGACGACAATAAAATTAGGATAGTCTGGTTCTGGATTAATTTTGAGAAAAAGTCAAATACGAAATAAATGAGTTACACATTTCAAGTTTTAATAGTTATACAAGGTCGTAAAGTCATCGAGTTTCACCAGATGGTTAGTTACCCATTATTGTGGTGTAGAATACAAAACTTTATTGTATAGCAGAAGCCATAGAAATTATAAAACTTGAAAATTCTGTAGGTATTTAATTTAGACGTCCAAAATAGCCAGGCTTAGGTTATCCAGTCGTTTCTATGGAAACTATTGTATTCTGTTCTGCACTTCATTTTATTTCGTGCGCCGCTTCCCATTTTTAATTAGAATGACAGATGTTACTGGGAATTTGGAATGTGGAATGATTTATTCCACTTTATCTACACTTGCCGTTAAAGTGACCACTTTTATCTACTCTAACTGTTAAAGCTTACTCATTCAAACCTATTTAACATCTATAAAATACAATTAATTAAATTCTCAATGGTCTTCACTGGTCCACGGACAATAATATACCTACAGTTCATATTGAAATTCTTCACGGCGAGCGCGTCATGGACATTAACAAAAGTGTCTCTTATTATTGTAATTTGTCTACATTTATAATGTTATTCAGTTATTCTGGGTCTTATAGCTTAGCCAATGTATCTTTTAATATACTTATAGGTAGGCAAGTACCTATAATGAAAGTATCGCAATTTTTCTTACTTCTGGCCACTCTCCAGTTATAGTCTTTCGATCGATCTAGGACTAGTAGACTTTCTACTCGTATTAATGCTAGAGGCAAGAATATACCTAGTCTTCTATAAAGTACTTTAGTTTGTCCACTGTATCCACTCTGTACCAGTTTTCAAAGCGATCGTAATAATAATAATTTATTAGACCTTTGTAGCTATTTTACAATAGATAAGGCAAGTCACACAAAGAAAACGTCGTGCACATGATACGTACGCCTTTCTGAAATGAATCCTATAGCGATTTTGGAACAGATCCATTTTTGACCATCCGTTTGTCCGTGTGCATGATAACTTGTTTAGAAACGTGCGATCGCTTTGAAAATTGGTACATATGGCCTTAAGGATATAAGAAAAGTCCTTATTGTTTTTAAGTTACGTACGTAGACTATCGAGTTCGGTATTCAGATGTATCGGATTTTTATATTTGATTTTGTGACAATGGAAACTTTCCCTAAACATTTCTAAATTGTTCCCAAATTTTTGAATAACTTAAAAGTACCTACTGCCTGTTTTTGAGACCGGAAAAAAAAATTGTCTGAGATCGACCGAGAATAGTTATTTGTTTCATTAGTACAAAAAATGTCAGTTTTCGGGACGAGGAAGATAGTTGCTGGACGACGCGTTAGCACTCTGGCGGAGTGCAATCCATGTCGCTATCAGTTTCAGTCATTTCTAGTGTATACACAATTAATATTGTTATATTTTGTATTGAAATAAAAAACTTACCATACAGTTTTTTAATTAAAATTAATTGCAATTAACTTTTTCAAATTTTGAATTCAAAATGACAGATAATAGTGCAATGGGTTTGAAGTAGATGGCGTTACGCGCGACGGCGGGTTGTATACGTATTAAAATTACGTTCATCGAATATGTAAATTACGTTACACATGGTTTAAATAAAAATAGGGAGCGTAAATCATTTTCAATACATGTACAATACGTATAGGTAACATCATTATTTGCATTGAATATGCAAAAATATTTGATTTGTATGTATAGAAATATCTTACAACCTGCAATGTAAAACGATGTCAATGGGACATATCTCCGTGATTGTAATTTTTTAATTGGCCCACCTTCAAGGTCAATTTCTTTTTGGTACTAGGACCAAAAGTATCCACTTTTTGTACAGTTGCCATGGTGAAAGCGATTAATCCGCAAAACGTCAATTTTACGTACCGAACACTGTCACAAAATAGCGTCTTATTCAGGTGGTTGGAGAAAAAAACATTTTCTTATAGAATTTGGCCCGTAGAATCCATAATTTCAAACAGTTTGAATATTGGGCTACTAGATCAAAAGTTACAGCCCTTTGAATTTTCTTTCGAAATTGGTTTCTAGTCTATAACTTTTGATTGAGAAGTGTGATCGAAAAAGTACGAATTGTTTTGGATTCTACGCACCAATATTTATAAGAAAAAGTGTTTTCCCGAGAAATTTTGGTGTAGTCGATTTTTGGTGAAAAAGGAAGGTTATACACTGCCCTTTTTTGAGCCCCGAAGAAAAAATTGTCTCAGATCGACCCAGAAAAAAATTTTTCTTATAGAATGTGGCCTGTAGAATCCATAATTTCAAACAGTTCCAAGATTGGGCTACTAGTTCAAAAGTTACAGCCCTTTGAATTTTCTTTCGAATTGGTTTCTAGTCTATAACTTTTGATTGAGAAGTCTGATCGAAAAAGTACGAATTGTTTTGGATTCTACGCACAAAAATTAATAAGAAAAAGTGTTTTCCCGAGAAATTTTGGTGCAGTCGATTTTTGGTAAAAAAGGAAGGTTATACACTGCCTTTTTTTGAGCACCGAAAAAAAAATTGTCTCAGATCGACCCGGAAAAAAAATTTTCTTATAGAATGTGGCCTGTAGAATCCATAATTTCAAACAGTTCCCAGATTGGGCTACTAGTTCAAAAGTTACAGCCCTTTGAATTTTTTTTCGAAATTGGTTTCTAGTCTATAACCTTTGATTGAGAAGTCTGATCGAAAAAGTACGAATTGATTTGGATTCTACGCACCCAAATTAATAAGAAAAAGTGTTTCCCCGAGAAATTTTGGTGTAGTCGATTTTTGGTAAAAAAGGAAGGTTATACACTGCCTTTTTTTGAGCCCCGAAAAAAAATTGTCTCAGATCGACCCGGAAAAAAAAATTTTCTTATAGAATGTGGCCTGTAGAATCCATAATTTCAAACAGTTCCAAGATTGGGCTACTAGTTCAAAAGTTACAGCCCTTTGAATTTTTTTTCGAAATTGGTTTGTCTATAACTTTTGATTGAGAAGTCTGATCGAAAAAGTACGAATTGTTTTGGATTCTACGCACCAAAATTAATAAGAAAAAGTGTTTTCCCGAGAAATTTTGGAGTAGTCGATTTTTGATAAAAATAGAAAGGTTAAGTATTCAAATACTATGCGAAGTATTCGAATACTTCTCAAAGTATTCAAATACCTTGCGAAGTATTCGAATACTAAATATTTGTGAAAGTATTTGAGTTACAAATACAAATACTGCTTCCATAAAGGTATTTAATTACAAAGTATTTGAATACTTTAAAGGATTTGAATACTAAAAAATATTTACAAAATCGAATACTGCCCAGCTCTGGAACCAGAGCATCGGAAGGCTTCCATACGGGTAAACGATTGGGACGAGTGGAAGGATCGAGGCAGCCTTGGGCACGGGTGGAAGGAATGTTCGATCCCTTTCTCGCAAAAAGGGGATGTCTTACTAAGAGCAAAGAGTTACAAAATCACTCTCCCAGACAGGGAGCAGTAGCTAAACTCAAATCTCCCGTTCCTCAGGGACCGGTATATGGTTTACAGACGGGTCCTTAACGGAAAGGGGAACGGGCATGGGTATATACGGTGATCTAATAGAGTAAGCTTGACCTGGGTGCCAGCGCCCTGCAGAACTTGGGGTAACGAAAGGACGGACGAGCTGACTCGCGACGGCAGCGGTGGAGTCTTCGTCGGACCAGACCCCACCCTCCTTCGTTGTCAGAGCCAGGATGAAAGACTGGGTGACCAGTCAATTCCCGGCTGATGTTCGGTACGTAAATATGCTCGATGTGTCACAATTGATTCAGGTCAAAGATAACATAATTTTTCACGGTTACAAATTTACCCATTTGGAACAAAGTGGTAATGTTTAAGATATAAATTGGACAACTAAGGAGTATTTACGAGTGATTTGCTTTCAGCTGATATTTAATTTAAGGACAACCTATTTTATGCTTTTACAGCGTGCAGAATGGCAATATTTCCGATAAATTCGAAGTACTCCTCGCTATTTCCGTCAATCTTAGACAACTTCAAATTTCTTATCGCAATAAGCATATCATTTCTTATCTCACTAAAAAAATCATCCGGGAGTGGAAGAGGAACTAATGACTGCTGAAGCTCTGAAAAAGACCAATAAACATTTATAGATTAGAAGTCATACGTACGTTGGAAATATTTCATTGGAAACGAATGGTGTTTTTTGTCAATGCGCAGTGAAAGTATCTTGTATCCCATTTTATTCACAAAGTTTTCAATGTCTTTCTTGATGTTTAAAGAGTCTTTGTAAGGACTACAGTACTTCTCCCAGTCGGGAAAGTACCCCGACAATTTCTCATTATTTGCAAGAGTCTCATATAACTGAAAAGTGGATGCCTTCGCCGCAAAGTAAAACAGAATTTCTCCACCAGGCTTTAACATTTTGCTCACATTTTCGAAAGCGGCCCTAGAATTACGTTTTATTTTCACAAACCTTGAGAACGTACACTACTTATGGTCGCTGAATTGATGAAAGCAGAGAAACGAAACGGCATAATCGAATTTCTGCTCCAACTCTTCCGGTACTTCATCGTTCACTATGTCCAAGACCCGGAAGGAAAATATTGGTTTTTCTTCGTAGTTATTTCTCGCGTATTCGATAAATTCAGGGCACTTATCCACACCCACTATTTCACTTGTGGATTTTGGTAAGATTGGATAGAGGATGTCGTGCGTTACATTGCCGGGTCCACAACCAATATCGAGCACTTTACAGCCTTCCTTCCACAAAGCAGCCTCTTTAAAATTCGACAAAATCTGGACCGCCGTCTTTTCGGGTAGGCTCCCATATTGTATATACACTTCTCCTCGACCCATTTCAAACATAAGCTTAGACTGTGTGCTGTAGTGCCTAATTTGCAACCTTATACTACTTTATACAAAAGGAACAAGGTCCTTTGTCCATTGTATCTTGAAAGCATAAATAAATTTGCATTCAAAACACTTGTTATGCGTAGTTTCGTCTTTGAATTTTATATTCAAAAGTTTCGTATAGTAGGTACCATTGAATAAAGAAATCATTTTAACTCAACGATAGTACCTATAGTATTAAAGCAAGGTCCTTTTGTGTTTTACGTAAAACCGTGTCTTCCAGATTTTTTATAACACTGAAACTTATTTTATCCGAAATCGTCTTTTTATTAATATTTTCTCATGATTTTATAGTGACGCAAAACGTTGCGCATTGCCCAAGTCTGGCGTAGGTAGCAACAATGGCAAGTAATAGAATCAACAAATTAAAACAAATTGGTTTGATAATATTTGTGAACCCGAATATTAAAAAAAAGCGAGTTGCGTATGTACTAAATTATTTCAAAATCCAAAGACGCATTCGCTTTAGTGTAAACCAATGTACGTTTCCTACTCTTTGGAAAAACGTAAAGTTTGCCCAATATTAAAATCAGGCGTAGCAACAAATATAGAAAATTATAGGCCAATATCAATATTATCTAATTTTTCGAAGGTTTAAGAAATCGTCTTGTATGAAAAACTTTATTATGGATTTAAACCGGACCTATCAGAGTATCAACATGGATTTGTTCAGAAATTTGTTGTCGATCAACAACGACAAGTAGACGTTATATTTACTGATTTTAGTAAAACTTTTGACCAAATTTACCACCTTATTATTTTAAGGAAGCTTGAAGAATATATGGGCTTAGTTCCTTTATTATTCAGCTCATTAGATCCTATTTAACGAATCGGAGTCAATTGGGCCCTTTTCTTTTCTTGGTCTTTATTAATGATTTGCCTGCTATAGATGTAAACGATATTGAAAAAGTACAAAGACGATTTGTAAAATATCTACACTTTCGGGTAAATGGTTATTATCCAGCCAAGGGTATTCCCTACTACTAAAGCAATTTGACTTGATGGCTCTTAAAACTAGAAGACAACTATTCTTTCCTATACAACTTAGTACATAATAATATCGACTGCCTCATCGCTGCTAGCCGTAATAAGATTTTCTGTGCCTCCCTTCAACTTCAGATATGCGACTGTGTTTAAGTTGCCAAAATATCGAACGAATGTTATGTTCAACTCCCCAATTTATGAGATGTGTTATTATTATAATAGTACTTGTAACTCTATTGAGCTTTTTAACACTACTTTAAAGAATTACAATTCATCAATGAAAGTATTTAATTTTTAAGGCTTCTGTTTATGTTCATTTAATTATTATTATGGAATAATCTACTACAATTACCTTTGTTACTTGGTTGGTATCATATTTTATTTAAAGAATGTTATATTTCTTTCTATCCCTAGTGAATGTACATTGTAACTTAACATTGTCACTTATTGGTTAATCTGTTGGTGACAATAAATATTCTTATTATTAAGAGTGAAATTATGTATATAATTTAAATTACACTGACTACTGTGCCGTTTTAAACGTCAGTGCCACCAGCAGCTAGCAAAACCCATAAAGAGAGGAGATTCGCCCTTATCAATAACGGTTTTGGTAGTAAGCCAAATGACTGATCGATATTTAAATTGAAAATACCACATTAACTTCAGATCTGGGCCTAATGAATGAGGTTTGTCCCAGAAATAGAGGGCAACTTAGATATATAAGCATATACAGAGTGTCACAACGCAAACGAAACAGACTGAATAACTCGCAAAGAGATAGTTTTTGGAATAAACGCAGAAACAAGTCGATTTTGGTTGGTAGGAGGGCATATATTACTTAAACATTTCCTAAGCAGGGTTGTCACCCTTTCAATAATTTTGAACGTTGGGTCGAGCGACACATCTAATTTAATTAAATGTTTATGCAGCGGGTAGGCCGTGGTAATAAAAAATTAAACAATGCCAGAAAGTACCTAAACATTTGCAGAAATCTTTTTTTTATTATATTTTTTACACAGTATGAGCGAGGCTAGCAAAGACCAACACACTGTTGCAGAACCTGACATACTATTTAAAACAAGTAGTACTTAACATTACTCTGTACTATGTAATTGGGCGTAATCCTGTTGAGGGCCTAGAACAAGAGGGTCAATAAATAAATAAATAAATTACTGTAGGTACGATTGTATACGAATTACTTAAAACATTATTATTCGTGGTCGTGGCACTTCGTTAATTTGTAGGAGGCGGTGATCGCACTGCAGCAAGAGACCTTTAAATTGGAGTTACGAGATAACCACAGAGTCGATGCTAAAAAAAAGTCACAAATAGTAATTTATTTTAAATGTTTGAGTTCATATTTGTCACGTGAAGTTAGTAGTGCATTTTTACAACATTGAACTATTGGAGTCCAAAAAATTGGGTTTGTTGCCGTCTTAAAGTTCAAAAAAAGCTCATAAAAATTAACCGATTTACAATTTTTGAGCTGTCAAATTGACGTGAAGTTAGCAGGTCATTTGTCAATTTGATTTGAAATTACAATGAGAGCTCAAAAATTGAAAATGGTCTCGTTTAAAAGCTCATAAAGGTTGATCAGATTATAATTGAAGTTAACGGAGCATTTCTTCAAAATTGATTTGTGAACTAACTATATAAGAACTCAAAAATTGCAAACGGTACCGTTGAAAAGCTTAAAATAATAAAACATTGAACAATTGTTTAGTCTATACTCGTCCTTCCCGCTTCAGGGACGTCAAAGTGTGTGCCAGAAACGAAAAAGTTTAAACTGTAGGACCAGTAGCGGTACAGACGGACAAATTGCGGACAATAGCGTTCTTTCTCTTTTTGGAAAATGCGCTAAAACCCCGGGGGTATCTGAAAGAACCGTAGATTTAGGAAAGAACTGAAGAATGGGCGGAATGTGAAGGATTAAAAATGAATTAAAGATGAGAGTTTTAAAAGAATCTGAAAAAACTGAAGAATCGGACGAATCCAAAGAATCGAAATAATTTGAAAAATTGTTGTGTCACAGGACAGTACAAGGTCTTCTTTAAGATACCACGTAAAACCATTTTTAGCGCATTTCCACAAAAATAAAAAAAATGCGCTATTGTGGCCCCTTTGTCCGTCCGGCTGTCCGTCCGTCCGTCCGTCCGTCTGTTCCTTTGTCTGTCTGTCCATCTATCTGTCCGTGTGAACGATAACTTTGTTTAGAAATGTTAGATCGCTTTTACATCTCCGTTAGTTAAAAACTGAATTGCATGAAATTCAATATGGGCATAGCTTTAGCCATATAATACGCAATTCCAAAAGTTGAATCGAATGGAATCGATTCAAAATTCACAGTGCCCTTTTCGCATCTCGACCATTTATAAACCGAATTGCAAACTTTTTTACTTATAAAAGTATTTGAATGAAATTTGATACATAGGCACTTGAAATAAAGGAAAATCAACCGCCAATTTCAAAATTTGGTTTTGCGCATGCGCAGTGCCAACATTTTTATTTATGGAAGAATTTAAATGAAATGTGATACATAGGCACTTGGAATAAAGGAAAATCTAGCGCCAGTTTCAAACTTTTATTTTGCGCATGCGCAGTGCCAACTTTTTTATCTATGGAAGCATTTAAGTGAAATTTGATACTTAGGCGCTTGGAACAAAGGAAAATCTAACATTAGTTTCAAAATTTAGGTTTGCGCATGCGCAGTTCCAACTTTCTTATTTAGAAAAGCATTGAAATGAAATTCTTCTCATAAACTGAAATTGAAGTAGCACGTCAAAAATGGATTGCCCATGTGCAACGCTATCTTTCATATTTGTGGCCGGATTTTTACGATTTTAATAGAAGTTGCATCTTACAAATGGGAAATGAATGCAAGTGGAAATGCGCTTTATGTAAATCGTTTACGATTACTTTTTAACTTGTTATTTATGTGGGCGATTCAGTTCACTCAATATTGAAACAAAATTAAAATTAACGTTTCAACACTTTCAACTCGACATGTTGCTTCAAGTCTCAAGCTACAAGTTTTGATTTCAAATTTCGAGTCACAGGTTTATAAATCGTTCAAACGTTAATACCGTTTATTAAAGATCATTTAGAGTTTCTATGGACTTTTTGGTGGCCTATGAAAGCTTTTATGCGTCTTTAAAGGTCGCTAGGGATGATTAAGAATTGCAAATAAAAATTTCGAGGAATCTCCAAGAGCCTACAAGGGGAATTATTAATATTCTTTTGTCTTTTTAGAAATTTAAGAGATTGCAAAAGGTCCGAGAGTCTTCAATAAACATCAAAAGTTTACAAAGGCCTCTTGGAGAAGTCCTTTGGAGCTTTCTTGAGACTTTAGAAGCCCTTAAAAGCACGTCAAAGTCTTGATTAAAACCTCTTACCAGTCTTACCAGAATTTATGAGGGCTTTATTGGCCTGTAAGAGTCGTATGTTTCTTTTCCAAAAGTTTTCGATGGTCCCCACAGCAAAGAGTAACTAATAATTATTCTTTGCCCACATCCTTCTAGTAAACTGTAAAGCTTCTAACAGGAGCTTTGCAATCTCTAAGGATTTCTAACTGCATTTAACAATAACTAACATCCTTGTGAGGGCTTCAAAACACTTCCAAGAGGCCACATAAGATCCTCTTAAATCTTTTGAGAAAAACCTTAAGATTTTTTTAAGTGTTTAACAATCTCCGAAGATTGTTTCATTAACTATCGATTGTTTGGGCGCCTTTTCTAAATCGATCGGGATCTAGAGACAACGGAATATCGTAGAACTTTCGAGCTTTCAGCATTATATTAGTACTAGCGTGTTAATTCCTATATCGCTTAGTCTGAAAGCTTAAAGCCGAAGTCGATAATCTACGAATCTCCCTTAAATTTGTATGTAGTTCACCGGGCGAGCGAGATGAATTTTTTTGTAAAGAGTTTTATTCTTGACGAAAATTCCGGTTAATTTTGAATCATAATGGATTAACCTTATAAAGGTCATTCGGAATTGTAGACAGAGCTTTGTTAAAGAAAATTA